CATCACACTTAAGTTGTCATTATTGTGGTCAACCAGGTCATTTTCTAAGGGACTGTCGTACACGTGAACATGAATTAAGAGGACGAGGACGTGGATATTCTATGAATAGAGGAGGACGTGGATATTCCATGAATAGAGGAGGTCGTGGATATTCTATGAATAGAGGAGGTCATGGGTATTCTATGAATAGAGGAGGTCATGGTTTTTCTGTAAATAATAGAGGAAGAGGTGCATACAACTCTAGATTTTTTCGTGGACGAGGAAATTACAATAATGAGCGATCCAGGAATGAATATGAGCATCAGGGAAATAGTTTTCATACAACAATCGCTAACAACACAACAACAAATGAAAAACAAAATACAAAGAGAGGAGAAATAGAGTGGTTGCTCGACAGCGGTTGTACAGATCATATCATTAACACAGATGATTACTTTGAATCTTGTGAGACATTAAAGCAACCTGTGAAAGTCAAAATTGGTGATGGAAGAATACTAGAAGCTACAAAGGTTGGAAATATAAAGGCGTGTTTTCTAGTTTATGGAGAAAAATCAGAAGTGATGTTGACAAATGTATTCTACGTTAAAGAAATGAGAGCAAACTTATTAAGTTATTCAAAAATCACAGACAAAAAACTCAATTGTGTCAAAGGGGAGATTGGCAAAAATATATAACCCATACAGAAAAGTAATAGCAGTTGCAATTAAAGATGAAAGACTATATAAAATGAGAAGCTACGTTAATGAAAATAACCTGGAAGCAAATGTAAGTAAAAGTATGACTGTGAAAGAGAAATTACACCGCACATTGGGACATGTAAACTTCAATAATTTAGAAAGGATGTGCAGAAATGAAACATTAGAAGGACTGCCTAAAGAGATTGAACCGGAATATTTAAAATGTGCGACATGTATCCTTACTAATATTATAAATCTGAAAGTGAGTTTGTTTGTTTGTTTGTTTGTTCCGACTTCACGCCGTAACTACGAAACCGATTGCATTGAATTTTTGCAGACGTAAAGTTAGTAGTCTGGATAAAATAATAGGGTACTTTTTATCTCGAAAAAATTTGATATTCCCGAGGAAAAACAAAAGTATTGGTATAGATGGCGCTGTGTGTATTGGTATATGTCACATAGGCTACTTTTTATTCTTTTGTGACGCGAGCGAAGCCGCGGGTAAAAGCTAGTAGAAAATAAAATGCATAACTTACCTTTTCAAAACAACAGAAGAAAGGCAGATGATATACTACAGATAGTTCATACAGATTTGAATGGACCTCATCAAACAGTAGGAGAAAATGGTGAAAAATACTTTTTAAGTTTTATAGATGACTACAGTAAACTGGTTAAAGTCTATTGTATCCAGACAAAACATGAAGTATATAATTGCTTAGTGCAATATGTTAATGAAGTACAAAATCTCACTGAAAAGACGATAAAAGAAATACGTTGTGACAATGGCACAGAATATATAAATTCAAGAGTTTATCAGTTTGCAAGAGAAAAGGGAATCATAATAAAACCGTGTCCAGCATATGTTCATGAATTGAATGGAACTGCCGAGAGGTATAATAGGTCTTTAATGGATATGGCAAGATGTCTGTTAACAGAAGCAAAGGTTGACAGAAAATATTGGCCAGAAATAATCAAAACAGCTGCATATCTCAAAAATAGAATCTTGACTAATACTATTGAACGAAAAAGTCCATATGAAATATTTTTCAAAAGGAAGCCTACAGTGAAATTTCTGAAAATGTATGGTAGTAGAGTCTTTGTACGAATACCAGAAGAAAAAAGGAAATCTAAATGGGACAAGAAAGCAGAAACTGGAATTTTACTTGGATATACAGACACTGGATATCGAGTATTAATTAACAACAAAGTAATAGTAGCGAGACATTGTGATATTGTAGAAGAAGACATGAAACTGTGTGGGTTTCAAGATGAAAGAGAAGAGAATTTAGAAGAGGAAAAGGAAAGTAAATTTGAAATATCAGAATGGGTGGAAGGAAGTGATACGGATAAACCAAACAGAAATGATGATATAGAAATTGATGAAGACATGACTACAAAGAAATCAAAAAGACAAGTTAAACCTCCAAAACGATTTGATGAAGAGTTCGGCTATTATTGTATCAGTGTAAACTATTGTGACGCTATGATTCCAGAAAACTTTCAGGAGGCGATTAATTGTGACGATGCAGATAAATGGAAGGCAGCCATGGATCGTGAGATGAGCAGCCTGGTGAAAAACAAAACATGGACACTAGTTGACAAGCCAACAAAGGACAAAAAAGTGATTGATGTGAAATGGGTATACAAAAAGAAGAGTGAGTGTGAGTATAAAGCCAGATTAGTGGTTAGAGGGTTTCAGCAAATTGATTGTGTAGATGATACTTATTCTCCTGTAGCCAAAATGCCAACTTTAAAGCTTTTATTGTCATATTGTTGCCAAAATTCTATGGAAATCCATCAAATGGATGTAGAAACAGCATTTTTAAATGCCAGAGTTTTGTCTGAAGTTTATGTAAAACAGCCAACAGGTTATGAAGATAGCTCTGATAAAGTTTACAAGTTAAATAAATCTTTGTATGGCCTAAAAGAGAGCCCACGTGCTTGGTATGAATGTTTCAACAATTATTTGACTGAACTAGGGTTTCAAAGATGCAAATATGATTATTGTTTATATTTAAAAAAGGAAAAAGATTTAACTGTTTACATTTTATTATTTGTAGATGATTTGTTGATTTGCTGCAGAGATGAAAATATCATTGACTATATTAAAAATAAGCTATCCAATAAATTTAAAATGAAAGATTTAGGTAGAGTAAGAAAATACATTGGTATTGACATTGAGTATAACTATGAACAAAACAATATTTTAACTTTGAGTCAGGAACTTTACATTGAGTCTTTAGCAAAACGCTATAATATTGAAAATGCTAAATTATACAGAACACCTATGGAAATTAATTTAAAATTAGAAAATGGTGAGTTAAATGAAAACATAAAGTACAGAAATTTAATAGGAGCACTGCTATACATCAGTTCTGGCACTAGACCAGACATTTCATTCTCTGTAAATTACTTAAGCCGTTTTCAAAATTGTTGTAATGAAACACATTTTAAATATGCTCTTAGGGTGTTAAAATATTTGTTTTTAACTAAAACATTAAAACTTAAATATTATAAATATTATAATGCTGATATATTAGACTGCTATGTTGATTCTGATTGGGCAGGAGATGTATTAGATCGTAAATCTACTACCGGATATGTAATTAGATTGTATGGAAATGTTGTCTTGTGGAAATGTAAGAAACAAAATTGTGTGACAAAATCATCTACTTTTGCAGAATACATTGCCCTGTCCGAAGCAGTAACTGAAATAAAATTTTTGATAAGCTTAATTAATGATGTATTTACAAAAATTTCTAAACCATTAAGAATTTATGAAGATAATTCAAGTGCTGTAGCCATAGCTAAATTTGGAAATTTTACTAAGAACTCTAAGCACATTGAGGTGCATTATCACTATATTCATGAAAGTGTCAAAGAAAATTTAATTGAAGTTATTAAAATAGAGTCTGAAAATAATGTTGCAGATATATTAACTAAAGCTCTTGGAAGTGTTAAATTTGTTAAATTCCGTGAATTATTAAACATAAGTTAGATTTATATAATACATAATTTGTTTAATAAGTTTAAATTTATATAAAACTGTTTAGTTACTTGAACCTGTTCTTAGAGCTAATTTGAATGTTTTGAATTACTTGTGCTATGTACTGATTGCAATATAAATGTAAGGACATAGTATAAAGAACACAGTAGGTTATCTAAGGCCGCCCGCCGAGTTATTAGCCTACTCTTGCGTTGATCCCCAGGGTTGTCACTTTTACTTTTAGTTAATATTTTCGAACAAGCAGCACTTGATCTAAATGTATGAAATGAAAAGCATATTATGATCGAATATTTTATCAATTTATAAATTTAGTAAAAATTAAAAGCTTATAAAAAAGATTATTAACTTCTTAAATAAAACTTTAGCTCTATACATAGTATTCAGAAAGTAAATTGGGAATACATTTATATGGAAAAATGCACTCGGCTACGCTCTAACAAATCAGATAAACTGTGAAATAAACAATACAATACTACATTTTTTTATAATATTTAAGTATAGTAGGTAATTACTATTTCTGGTTTGAGTAGGAACATAAGAATGATAAGTAAGAATAAGTAAGTAGGTAGGTATCTCATCATCAAGTACCTACAAATTATATTATGCTAGAAAAAGTGACTAGCTTACCTTTCCTGTTCAATAGGTACCTAATCTGAACAGAGACAGTTCTGGAATCGATTAATTATTAAGACACCCAAACACACAGCAATACGTTCTTCTACGATTATCAGACATTTTTTATTTCATTGAACAGTGCCGAAAAGCCGTGAAGCGCGCGCGAACCTCGTACAGTGTCAGCCCTGCCTGGCGCACTGAGAAACGGGTCGAGATTTTGTTAAAGTGTGCGTGCGTCGACGCATAGATACTATGGCGCACACATATAAGCCGCGCGCGGAGCATTTGTATGAAGATAACCTACTTTGTTCTTTATACTATGGTAAGGAGGCATGTTGGTAATAATAATAAGCTTTACATTTATATTGGCAACACTGAATACTGATTTTTCCTATCTTGTAGTAGTAAAAATGAATATAATGTCTGTGAATAATTTAAAGTTTACAAGCTAAATAAAAGGAAGTATGAACATTAAATTTTGATTTATTCTTTAAATTAAGAATGAATAAATAAGTTATTGTTAGCAGTATGAATCGTTTAAAACGTTAACGAAAAATCGACTAAAAATACCACTCTAGCAAAAACCGTACTTCTAATAACTGTCAACAAGCAAACAAATACACATCACTATTCGATAAAACCGACTTTGGTTTTGTTTTGTTATGATCAGAATTTTGTATTTCTTCGTAAAATAAATAAAAATGAATGGAAAGGATAGTTATAGTGTATCAGATATGAATAATATGTGTCGGACTTGCCTCAAAGTGCCACGAGAAGTATTTCCAATGACTGTTATAGAACTAAACACTTATCAAAATCTTACTCAAAAGGTTAGTCGGAAATTTTGTTGATTACTTACAATGTTATTGAAATATTAGCTATTTAGCGTAGCCTATATCCTTCTCCGTATTCCTAACTACATGTGTGCAAAATATCAAGAAGATTGGATATGTAGATACAGAGAAAAAAGGATGAAACATCAAAGTGATTTTAAACTTTCGTAATGTACAATATATTTATTTACTTTAAAATAATATTACATTACAGTCCTTAAACCAAGGTGTTATACATTTCAAATAATTATAAGGAAATTTTGTTTCTGAATTGTTTAATTTTTATTTCTTAAATTTAATTACCTAATTAGTTTGTTTTGAAGTACCTAAATAATAGTGTTTATATAAGATTAACAGTATAACTTAATGGCGTAAACTGGAGTGTTATATATGTACATTTTCTAAATAAATAAATAAATGGAGAAAAAGTCCTTAACCTCTTGTCTGTTGAAAGTTGCGGGTATAATGTGTTTTAAACCGGGAGCCAGTGTTTCAACAGATTTTTTATTTTATATTTTTTATTGTATCATTCAACAGGTTAAATGACATTTGTATAAAAAAATACGAAAAACCTTACAAACTATGACACGTTTTAACAATAATAACAACAAAGACATTTACAACACAATATCCTTACTAATATTATAAATCAGAAAGTGAGTTTGTTTGTTCCACTTTCACGCCGTAACCTATAAACCGATTGCTTTGAATTTTTGCAGACGTAAAGTTTGAAGTCCGGATTAAATAATAGGGTACTTTTTAACCCGGAAAAATTTTATATTCCCGAGGGAAAACAAAAATATTGGTATAGATGGTGCTGTATGTATTGGTATATGTCACATAGGCTACTTTTTATCCTTTTGTGACACGAGCGAAGCCGATAGCTAGTATAATTTAAAGTAATGCATTTATACACTCTACAGACCCGTGAAGTACTTAACAGGTTACCAGGGCTCCGGCTCAACGTGCAGGAGTAGGAACGGGGTGGTTTTTAGTCAGTAAGAGTCTGATACTCCCTCTCGCTTCACCCAGGCGGGAGAAGGCATTGGATGATTTTCCCCCCTCAAAAAAAAATACACTCACACTAATTTCATTAATTCTTTCATTAACCCGTCGAGCATCCGCATTCCTTATGATCCAACAAGTGCACAAGTGACATTTGGAGAAAGAAAGAAAAAAAATGCTCTATTTGGCCATTGGCACACGAAGACAAGGATCATTACAATAGAAATAAAAAATGCAGTCAAAATAAAAACAAAACATTAATAATAGATTTTATAAAACAGAAAGCTGCATGGAGCATTTTTTCTTATGATCCACTGGGTGCTCATAAGGACGCTCGAGGGGTTAATTCTTTGCACACAGTCTTCCAGCTTGACCCAAATATACCATACTCCAGTTATGATGCCAGGAGATCGTTTATAAGTGTGAGGCCACAAACAAGTGGACATGCATGAACATACATGGATAATAGACATACATGTCGCCACAGACTGACTGCACGGTCGGTGCGATGGCTGGGCAACCGGCTGCCGTGCAGGTGCCGCGGGTTCGAACCCGCACGGAACAACACTTAGAGTTATCAACAAATTGTTGTTTCGGGTCTGCGTGTTATGTGTATGTGAATTTGTATGTTTGTAAACGCACCCAAGGGACAGGCGAAAACCCTAGTGTAAGGCAATGCTTTTTAAAAAAAATAATCAAACATAATTGTACCATGTCACATCTGATATATTTCAGGTAGTTAGTATGGACGATAAACTAAATATTTGTGTGCTCTGCAAGTGGATACTGAGAAAATGTTACAAGTTCACTCAACAGTGCCTGAAAGTTGATGAAATACTCAAAAACATTGAGCAGGTTCGTAAATTATTGTTTTTTTGCTATGGTATAAGTAGGTAACCGAGCAGACGATGGTATATAAGCAATCGGTACTACCCATAGTAGCCATGGACAACACTATACGAGTAACAAGTGCAAGTGTAAGTGTGCTAGAGCCATACTTCGGCACGAATGGGCCGGCTCGACCGGAGTGATCCACAGCCTCACGGAAACCCATAGTGAAGCTACGCTTGCATTGTGTTTTGTCATGTGAGTGAGGTTACTGGAGGCCCAATTACCCCTTTCCCAAACGATCCTCAAACTCCTAATCCCCAAAAGGCCGGTAACATACTTATAACGCCTCTGGTGTTTCAGCCGTCCATAAGGTGATAAGTCTGTTCGTTTACCGGTTTTTGCAACAAAAAATGCCGATTTGGGGATTTAGGAATTTGAGAATCGTTGATTCTCAATTCAGATTGAGATTCAGATATTGGGGAGGGGGGGAGGGGGGGGGGGGGTATTTGGGCCTCCGGTAACCTCATTTACACGACGAAACACTACGCAAGCGTTGTTCCCGTCGGTTTCTTCGGCCGTTGAATCGCTCCGATTGAGCCGGCCCATTCGTGCCGAAGCATGGCACTCCCACACAGGTATATAATAATTATAAATAGTAATTTATTATAATCTGTATTAAAACGCGAACTTTACTTTCTAGCTTCACAAATGTGACTAACTGTGACAAGGATGGGCAATGAATTAAAACTCATATGACATTATTTATAGATGCGACCCCTTAATTTTAAACTACCCTTAATACTTTCAGGAAACAAAACCCCACACAATACAACCCGCACCAATAAACCTGCAACAATCTACAACAGAGCTACATTACGTCGGACCAGAATATGACACACATATAGACCACCCAGAGAGACACGCGAACGACACTATATGTTATGAATATGATGATCATATAGCCCATGATGACGATGAAGATGAAATACCTCTAGTTCTGTTACAAGATGATTTCAAGAGTAAGAGGAGATCCAGTTATGAGGTAATTGGGACGATGACAGGGTATGAAAATTAAAAATCTAATTAGTCCGTAAGTTAGGTAATGAAAAATATTAGACACGTATTTTTTTATTTTGTCATATAATGAAATAATACTTAGATAAAACGAATCAAAGTTTAGGAGTGGAGGCTAAAACGTTATTTCTATGTGTGCGTTACCCAGGCCAGATGTTGTCGAAAATGGTCATTTGAATCTTATAGACAATTAGTTGTGCGGCTTCTGTAATTGTTGCGCTTACAGTTTTTTAATTATTTCACAAATACATTTCCTGCTGGGGTAACGTTACCCCAGCTAGTCCTTTCTCTTTCTAATGGGAATATTTAAATAATTACTAGCTATAAAATTAGTTGTCTAGATGAAGTAAATGTTGTGCCTTGTTTTGTATTTGTTCTTTCATCGGTTGCGAAGTTATTCGAGATTTTGCTGGGGTAACGTTTTCTGCTATGCTGCGTTTTCGCTTTTTTGTAACCACCTAAACTTATCTATAAAATTCAAACTTATATATATATATTAACTTCTTACTTATCTATAAGATTCAAAAGACCATTTTCGACAACATCTGTCCTGGGTAACGCACACCATCTCTACATATAAAATGTACATACAAGTGACGTGACGCGACATATCAAATCAATATATCGTCGAAAGTATTTGTTGCTGTAAGAAAATAAAAAATACGTGTCTAATGATTTGAAATAATCTACCAGACGGACTTTAAATTAAAAATTAGGCATTACCCTATTGTGTGTACTTTGTATAATATTAAACTGTCAAACACCAAGCGGTCACCGGTGACCGCGACCTATTGTTCTTTAATTGTGTCTATAAAACCGGTACTCGACGAGTTAAGGCTGGTTTCACGATTAAATAACGGTGTGGAATGCCACTACTGACCAAAGGACCAAAGGCTTCTTACACGGACGGAGAAAGTTTGAGCAATAATCACCACGTTTGCTCAATGCGGGTTGTCGATTTCAAACTTACAATTGGAATTACAAGCCCAAGTTTCCTCACAATGTTGTCCTTCACCGCTTGTCAGTGGTGTTTAGATAATCTTAGACGGTACATATAACTCGGAAAAAGTCACATTGGTACTTGCCGTTGGTAGGTTTCGAAACCTCAGTCATGAGAAGCGGGCATTTTAAACCTCCGGGCCACCACGACATCATAGATACACATACTTAAAACATATTTCAAGTGAATTCTGTCACGTATTTTCAGCCGTCCCCGCAAGTAATAGAGATCAAACTAGAACCCATATTAAAAGAAGAGTTAATAGAAGATTTACCCACAAAAGTGAGAAGTAAAAGAAAGAGAAAAAAAGAGATTAGAGAAGGATTCTCCTCTCGGATGGTGCAGGAGACTGAAGAGTATGTAGTTATTAAACTTAGTAAGGAGCAGGTGAGGAATATTATATCTATACTTGCGCCTGTCCGCGGCTTCGCCCGCGTTCTCGTAGGTTTATAAACAGTCTATTTTTTATGGAAGAAGTCGGTAAACGAGCAGATGGATCACCTGATGGTAAGCAATTAGCGTCGCTCATGGACACGTGTGTGTTACCCAGGCCAGATTTTGACGAAAATGGTCATTTGAATCTTATAGATAATAGTTTTTTAATTATTTCACGAAAACATTTCCTGCTGGAGTAACGTTACCCCAGCCAAACCTTTTTCTTTCTAATGGGAATATTTATATAATTATTAGCTATAAAATTGGTTGTCTAGATGAAGTAAATGTTGTGCCTTATGTGAATGTGAACCTAAAAAAGTGAAAGGCGGGGAAAAGAGAAGGGATAATATTAAAAAAAAAACAAAAATCCTTCGATGATAATACGCGTGATGTCACGTTATATAATATTGTTTTTTATTTGTTCTAGGTACTATCAGAACTAGCGGAGAAAGCGAAATCGGACTCCTACGTCAGGTCGCCGTATAAATGTGAACAATGTGTCAAAGCGTTTAATTTCGAAGATGTACTGCAAACTCACATGGACAGACATAAACAGGTGATTTTTGATACACAGGTTATATACATTAAATTTACCACCACCACCGGGTCCCGGTCATTTGGGAGGCGTACGAGGGCCCGAAGCGAACTGCGCATAGGCTCTTTAGACAACTTTAATCTAAATGTTTTGTTGGCACGGTGGCTAGGCAACTGGCTGACGCGCAACGTGTCGCGGGTTCGATTCCCGCACGGAACAATTCTTTGTGTGATCCACAGATTGTTGTTCCGGGTCTGGGTGTCATGTGTATGTGAACTTGTATGTTTGTAAACGCACCCACGACACAGGAGAAAATCTTAGTGTGGGGCAACGTTTTTTTTTTAATGTAATGTACACACAAACCGGCGAATATCCCTGTATGCATAACAATGGAAATGCACCCAAGGACAGTCCCCGGTTAGTGTAGAACTATTGTAGATAATGGAAAAAATAAAGGTAGGGCAATGGATGGATTGCTGTGGATCGGTGAATTGGGAACTATTAAAAAAATAAAAATAAATAAAATTTATTCATAATTCAAAAATGCAAAATACAAAAATATGTTTCAAGTAAGTAAAATTGATCTCATAAAGTTAGATGCCTGCACTAGGATAATCCTGTATCGCATGACTATGGTATGGATGACTATGGCACCTGCCGAAACAATGTATTCATTTTATTTCTAATATCATACTGTGCTCCGAACAGCGTTACCGTAGGTGTATAATAGGGTACTTGCCAACTAGTCAAATTCAATAATTTTTTCGAATTGTCAAAAACGACAGTTTTCTATGAATTTTGTACGAGATTGTGTATTGTGACGTCACGTGTTTTTAGAGTCAAACAGCATACTTATTTCTTAAAAATTTGCTGGCAAAATACTAAAATTAAGTTGTTCATAAAATCAATTAATGGAAGTGTGTTTTTTAAATACATATTTTATTGTACTGAACAGTCGAAATCATTTATTGTTGACTAGCTTGTGCTCGCGACTTCGTACGCACAATCCTGTTTTCTCCCGTTCCTATAAGATTTTCAGGATTTTTTTTCTATCATAAGAACCTTCTCCTGATAATAACAAACACAACAAAAAAAAAACAACTTGAGAATGGCTGGACAGATTCCGCCGCTCGGCCAACGAAGTATAAGAGTAATTTTTTGCAGGAGCACGGCGCCTACAAATGTGATATTTGCTTCCAGTACTGTCCGAGCGTCGTCTCACTAAGAGGGCATATTAAATCACATACCACTAGGTGAGTGGGCATTCAAATTATTTATTTAAATAGGTATACCAAAGGTAACAATAGGTATTGGGCTTATACAGTCGCCAATAGGGTAGATGCCTAATTTTTATTTTAATGTCCGTCTGGTAGATTATTTTAAATCGTTAGACTCGTATATGTGTGAATAGATATTATTAAACGTTGGTTATAACAAAATAAAACACATAATGTAAAAATGACAATGAAAGAAAGAAAGAAAAAACATTTGGCAATTGGCACACAAAACAAAATTATATATAAAAAAAATACTCACACAAATACAAAATATTAATAACAGCTTGAACAAATTTACACTGATTCCTAAGAAGCCATGTACAAAATATGATAAGAATCCCCTTAACCATTTCAAAGATGTAGCAAAAGCAAAAACGTTACCCCATCAAAATCTCGAATAACTTCGCAATCGATGAAAGAACAAATACAAACTAAGGCACAACATTTACTTCATCTAGACAACAAATTTTACAGCTACTAATTATTTAATTATTCCGATTAGAAAGAAAAAGGTAGGCTAGGGTAACGTTACCCCGTAATAAATTTAAAAATGTGTGCAACAATTACAGAAGCTGCAAAACTAATTATCTATAAGATCAAACGACTATTTTCGACAACATCTGGCCTGGGTAACGCACACGTTCGCCCGCGTTCCCTAACTTCACTGACAGACAGACGGACAGACAATTCATTTTGTGACGTTTCAAAATTGCCTTATTAAGTTTTAATGGAAATAAATGCTTTAACTTTGACTTCCCGTGGGATAAAAAGTCCGTTCCGAGCTGACCCATTCGTGTCAAGCATGGCTTTCCCACACATTTCTTTTTTTATGGGATAAGCCGGTATACGAGCAGACGGATTACCCAATGGTCAACAATCGGCGTCGCCCATGGACACACGGAATACCAGAGGTTACTAATAAGTGCGTTACTGGCCTCAGGATCATTGGGAATTTAGGGCTTAGGAATGGGAGAAATTGGGTTTCCCGGTATCCTGAGTGTGGTTGACCTTGGTGTGGTCCGACAAAACACAACGCTTTAGTGGTTTCACTATGGTTTTCTTCTCGGCCGTGGTATCACTGTGGTTGAGCCGACACATTCGTGCCGAAGCATGGCTCTCACACAATTCTATCGTTATACTACTTATTTTCAGGTACAAGTGCAAAGTTTGCGGTCACATTCGCCTCTCCCGGCAGAATCTATTAGAGCATCACGCCATAGCACACACGGTGACGCCAGCGTCATACACCTGTGACAAATGCCAATTCTCAACAAAGTAAGTGACGGAGGGTAGTTTCCTTAATTTTATTTTAATGTCCGTCTGGTACATTAATTTAAAGCTTTAGACATATGTTTTTTCTTTTCTCACAAAATTAAATACTTTCGACTTTTTCCGAGTTAAATGTACTTTCTAAGATTATTTAGACACCACTGAGAAATGGTGAAGGAAAACATTGTGCGGAAACCTGGGTATAATAATCTCTATCTATTAGTTTGAAATCGCCAACCCACATGGAGCTAGAATGGTGATTAATGCTCAAACCTTCTCCGTATTAGAGAGCCCATTGCAAAGCACTGCTCTAACTAGACTATATGGTATTTTTTAAAGAACATTGCTCTATACTAGGCTTGTTTCATGTGTCGTGGGTGCGTTTACAAACATACAATATCACACAAAGAGTTGATCAGTGCGGGAATCGAACCCGCGACACGTTGCGCGGCAGCCGGTTGTCCAGCCACCGCACTAACCGTATTTTTAATTTCTTGATGAATATTATCTGATACAAGTATTTTATTAATTGGTGACGTATGTCGTATAAAAGTCAATTTAGTTACCTTTACAATGAATGTCCGTATGGATTGAGGAGCCACTTTCGATTTAAAAAGGAAGCTCGCCCCCTTATTTAGTAGGGAAGTAAATAATTTTGTAGACCGAATTCTGAAATTTGTAGTATAATATGTCTAAAGTTATGTAACTGTGAATGTGGCTCCTCAATCCAAACATCTGAATTGAGGAGCCACCTGAAACACGGAAAGTATTTCATGTATATTTTTGAAAATTTTGTATCATTTAGTAGCAATTGTGTATAGTGTCTACTAAAAATTTGAGCCCAGTATTGTTTATATTCAAGTATATACAATACTTTTAATGTGGCTCCTCGATCTATACACAAGAGCATGAATTGCCATGAAAGTTATTGGTCAATTTATATTCCACTCTAAAGACATTTAGTAGTAAGTGTGTTCGAATTTGTAGTATATGGACAAAGTAGTAGACTGAGCGAATTTAATAAATAAATGTATTTCATTTGGCTCCTCAATCGTGACGTCTGCATAATAAATAATTGACTGTACCTACCTGAGATCAAAACGGAATAAAATACCAGAGACACTAACATTTAGTATAAACGGTCTACTAAATACATATGCACAGATCAACATTGTATATGTTCGGTATCTGAAAAACAAATCACTTCTGAATATTCCTTACGAATTCGCTATTTAGGGTGACCATGTTATATGAATTAAACTAGGATGATTCATTTTTAAAATTTAATTTTTCGACAATATTCGGTACAAAGATTATTCCTAAGTTAATCCAATTTAATTTATTTATCTCATTTGAGGGTAACTGAAAATTATTGTCGAAAGTATCTACCCTCATATTTATTTAGTAATCTGACATTCATTAACGACGGAGCTCACTTGTTTGCGCACATATTTAAGTTTAATTTCTGTTCCTAAACTATATTAATATTCATCACGTCATAATTGTTGACTTGTGAGGATACTATTTGCTGCTGCAATAGTGCATAATAAGTGACTGATAACTTCACTTTGATTTCCTGTTGGGAATGTAAGTACCTATATTGTATCAATTATTATTAGTTAACTTTATAAAGAATAGTATAAGTTATGTTAGGAATGTCATTGTTTCAGAACTATTATGCCGAAAGGTCGTAAATCAAAGGTAGATCTTGAAGATCAAAAACAAGTTTTTACTAAATATGCTGAGATACTACAAAATTCCAACATTAAAAGTAGTGATCGAATTTTCTTAACCATCTCTAAAGAACTTAATTTTAAAATGTCCCCATTAGCTTTGTTTATATCATTGAAACGCAACCGTCACTTTTTTTTTCAATATCACGATTCACTTCTTGTGAAACAGACAACTGGTGAAAGCCATACTATTAAAAGTGCTAGTAATAGCAGTTGTCTAACAAACGCATCATTTGAAGATAACGATTTTGATTTAGAGAACAGTAAACAAAAAGAAACAAAAACATTTTCATATGAAATGGATTTGTATGACTGGAAAAAAATTCAGCCTCTATATGCATACCAGAGAAGAACAGGCACTAACACCTATAAGAAATACAGGACAATGCCAAAGTTCAAATGGAGTAATTTGTTGAAGGAAAACATTTATAAATATACAAAGTTACCTTGCACTTGGACCTTAAAGCGCGAAAAGGTTGTTAATAATAAAATCTCTGTGAAAGGTAATTGTTCCCAGTGTACGGCATGCGTTCAGATAAAAAGTTATGCAACTACAGACAAAATACACACAATTTTCTGTAAAATTACCAATATAGATAAAAATATCAAACATAACCCAAAAAAGAAATTTAAATTAACGCCCTATAAAAGACAACAATTAGCAAAAATATTAAAGTACAAATCTGCAATAGTAGTTCATAATGAGTTAGCCTCAACAATCATAGGCGATAAAAAAGATGAAAATGAGGTTTCAAGTATACCAGCGTTGCCTTCTCTTGCTGCTTTACGTCAAATAAAATCTGAGGTCCGGAAAGGACAGTGGTTTGATTCTAATCCGATTATATCTTTATTGGCTATGGCGAAAAGTACACATAAAAATATAATCCGCAGTCTTAGCGTACACCCTGACTTCTTTGTTTATTATTGGAGCGAAGAACAAATTGATTATTATAATCAATATCTACGGAAATTTGAAAGAGTTACTCTTACAATCGACGCTACTGGCTCATTTTTTCAAACTATGCGCCTCGCTGATGGAACAAAGATCACCAAAAGACTATTTCTGTATGCAGGTCTTATAACAGGAAATCTTAAATTAAAATCTGTGCCCGTATTACAAATGGTCACCGATGCACACGGCAAGCAATCTATATTATATTGGCTAAATCAATGGAAACGTTCAATTCATAGAACACCTCACGAAATTATTTCTGACGATTCTTCTGCCCTGGTTGCCGCTAGTACTGAAGCTTTTACGGTGTTTAGCAGTACAAAAGAGTATATAAAGAACCTATTTTCAATTTTAGAAGGAGAGACTTCAGACGTCCCCTCTACTTTTATCAGACTGGACTCTAGTCATTTCATAAAAACTTTGCACAACCTAAAATGTTTTAATGATGTAGATCCACGCATAAAATATTTTTATATTCGCTGCATTATGTTTTTAAAAAAATGTGAAGATTTTGAAATCGCAAAAGAAGTCATCTTGGATATGATTAGGGTTTGCCTTTGTCAATACGATGATGATTTGACTACCAGTACAAGTTCCGATTGTCAAACCTCCTTAAGCAGGCTTATGGCGCGATTGAAAAATATTGACTTAGATCATACGGTGAAACTCAGCTGTATGGATGACGACCAATTAATTTACAAAACTGAAGAATATCATACTGCGGGTATTGATTTTTTTGTTTGGTTGGATGATAAAATAGCTCAGTTGCGACAAAAATCAATGAAAATTAAAGAAATCAATAAAAATTTATATTTTTATCCACCATTTATACCTGAATTTAGAAGAATTCTTGGAAAACTTCCATTGTGGTCTAATCTGTTATGTCCATTTTTCAAAATTGATAATACTGCTCCATCATCGTCAGGAATTGAGAGCTACTTCAAAACTTTGAAACAATTGCTTTTCAAAACAAAATTACTAAAGTACCGAATTGATGAATTTGTAAAAATACATTCTAATTACTTGAATACAGAAATTGCACTTGCTACAAGTGATCTTGTTAATGATACACAGAATAAAGATACTAAACGCCCTCGAAAAAGGAAGCATTCACTTACAAAATCTCAAACGGAGGTGAAAAAAAGAAAAATATCAAAATCTTTAAGATCAAAGAAAATTAATCGGTCATTTACTACTGAATCAATATTTTCTGATCGTCCTTCCTTCGTCGAAAATTGGAGAGGTGAAGCAGAAACTAATGTGATATCAACAAAATTAAAAATAAAATTTGTAAAAAATGGCAATTTATGCGATGCTGTAACTATCGGCAAAAGTTCCACTAAAGTGGGTTTGCAAAACACGTGTTGCTTTGATTCAGTCATGCATTTTTTATGTGTGGCATATATTCAAAGTAGAAATTTTCAAGCAATAATAAACACATATTCTGACGATTTAATTCCTCAATATATTAAACTTTTATCAGATCCTGGTTCTAGTGACTGTGATATATACAGAATGAGATCGGAAATCGGCGTGCTGTATTTTGATAGAAGAGACAGCCGCTGTGAATTTGCTTGCAATGTGTCCTTCATTTTTGAACATATAGCTTTGAAGTATTGTTTTAGTGCAATTTGGAATAAGAAGTGTACTAATGATTCATGCGAATTTACCCCAATATCTAGACAGATCGCTTTTTTGCCTTTAAATCTGAATATAATTTGTGTTTTTGGAATCCAAAGTTTAGAAGAGGCAATTTGTATTGTAGAAGAAAATAACGTTTGCACATCTTGTAACCACCAAACAGTGTGTAAATATACTGTAGCAAAAACAGTGTCATTTGAACTAAATGTTTCTACGAGGTTTAGAGTAAACGAGGTACCAGAAACTATAATGATTTCAAGTAGCTTATATACTTTAATAGGCGTTATAGAATTTATCCCTGCGATTAGCGAAGCTGGAATGGGTCACTATAAATGTCACTACCCAGCGAATGATGAGATGTTTTGTTATGACGACTATGATTCTCACTGTAAAATTCATAGAAGCACCGACCAACCAATATTAATTCATTCTTTAACTTATGTCGAAATTGACTAGATACTAAATATCCTAAACCTATGAAGAATCTTTGTACCGAATATTGTCGAAAAATTAAATTTCAAAAATGAATCATCCTAGTTTAATTCATATAACATGGTCACCCTAAATAGCGAATTCGTAAGGAATATTCAGAAGTGATTTGTTTTTCAGATACCGAACATATACAATGTTGATCTGTGCATATGTATTTAGTAGACCGTTTATACTAAATGTTAGTGTCTCTGGTATTTTATTCCGTTTTGATCTCAGGTAGGTACAGTCAATTATTTATTATGCAGACGTCACGATTGAGGAGCCAAATGAAATGCATTTATTAATTAAATTCGCTCAGTCTACTACTTTGTCCATATACTACAAATTCGAACACACTTACTAAATGTCTTTAGAGTGGAATATAAATTGACCAATAACTTTCATGGCAATTCATGCTCTTGTGTATAGATCGAGGAGCCACATTAAAAGTATTGTATATACTTGAATATAAACAATACTGGGCTCAAATTTTTAGTAGACACTATACACAATTGCTACTAAATGATACAAAATTTTCAAAAATATACATGAAATACTTTCCGTGTTTCAGGTGGCTCCTCAATTCAGATGTTTGGATTGAGGAGCCACATTCACAGTTACATAACTTTAGACATATTATACTACAAATTTCAGAATTCGGTCTACAAAATTATTTACTTCCCTACTAAATAAGGGGGCGAGCTTCCTTTTTAAATCGAAAGTGGCTCCTCAATCCATACGGACATTACAGTGAGAGCATTTTCAAAGTTATAGAGGGTTCAATAAAATGAAAAAAAAAAAACGATAGCGGCTCCTTTTGTGTGGTCCCAAGTGTATAAGTTTGATGACAATTACCATTGGAGTACAATGGAATTTCTTGTTCGTTCTTCTCCATTCGAATCTACATTTTGGAATGACCACCTAGCTTCACTGACGGACTGACTGACATACTATTACTTTTTTGTATTTGTTGACGTTTCAAAAGTACCTCGTTGGCCTAGTCGCAAGTGCGACTGCCGGGCAAGGGGTCTCGGGTTCGATTCCCGGGTCGGGTAAAGTATTTTTTTTTATTCTCAGTAGAAGCATGGTGTCTGGAATTGTGCCCGGTATATGGCAATAGACTCATCCCCTATTACATGGGACTCATTACATAAATAGTGAGAAGTGGCGTAATGTGCGCCTCTGCCTTCCCGCTCGGGGTTAAAAGGCGTGATGTTATTTTTTTCAAAAGTACCAAATTATGGTTTAATTAAAATAAATGCTTTGACTTTGACATTTCATTTAAATTATTGACTAAATGTATTATTTATTTATTTATCTTTATATCACACAGATCTAAGCCCCACAAAACCGTTGGAATGGTTTGACTCCGGGGTCGAGTCGCTAAACATTACAACTAAATGTACTTATATTTAAATGTTATACAGGCGTTAAAACTTATACTTACTTATTATTAGGACATTTCTAAATAATATGAATATATGAATGTATGTGTGTTTACAGTAAGCGTACGGTGATACAGCGACATGTCAAGACTCACTCGTCGAGCGAGCGTCACGCGTGTCATCAGTGTGGGAAATTGTTCACCACCATGGAGTCCCTGAGGGTTCATACTTTGTGAGTAAACTACATTAACTAATTATAAACACACTAGCTACTGCCGCGCGGTTTCACACGCTCTGTTAAGCTCCTATTAGTCGTAGCGTAATGCTTTATAGCCTATAGTCATCCTCGATAAATGCGCTATCCAACACAAAAAATATTATTCAAATTATACTTGTAGTTACAGAGATAAGCGCGTTCAAACAAAAAAACAAACTCTTCCGCTTTATATAATCTTATAAGATGACAGCACGGTTGAGCAACCGGCTGCCACCGGTTACCACGGTCATTCACTTCCTAATGACTTTTATCGTATTATCTCATTAATTATCCATTGTACTGAACTGAAATTTTACTGATATACAACTGAACTAAACAACTAATTATTGACATAACATTCAGTTCATATATCCAACCAGTGGCCAAATAACACCGCGCGCATCAAGACCGTGCTCGTGAAGAACTCAGTATCATCATAACTTGTTCAATACTAACAAGATATAATATATATATATATATATATATTTAATTATTTACATATTATATTTATGCTTCATATTAGTATGTAGTATTGGTATGTAGTTTATGTACTAGGATACCTTTATACATATGTACGTACATTTATCATCCTCGTTTTTATTTATTTTTTTCGATAGATGAAAACTTCTTTTGAAACCTACTGCAACACTTCTCTGCATCACCCTATGGTTGGCTGGTAGAGAATGCCATTCGGCATTAAGTCCGCCATTGTATACAGTTGTACATAAAGTGTTAAATAAAATAAAAAAAATAAAATAAAAAGATATTAATGAAACTTCACATGCATTTGAAGGCAGTTACAAGCTTTAAAATAACGTTTAAAGTTAGTTTTTAGAGTTCTTATTGATAGTCCTGGGACCATTTGAAATGTTTTTCTATTTATTGAAATAACCCTTAAGCCATTTTTTTATTGCACAACAAATTTAAAAAGAAGCCATGTGCAAAACATGATAAGAATCCGCTTAACCATTTTAAATCTAGCAAAACCAAAAACGTTACCCCAGCAGAATCTCAAATAATTTCGCAACCGATGAAAGAACAAATACAAAATAAGGCACAACATTTACTTCATCTAGACAATTAATTTTATAGCTAGTAATTATTTAAATATCCCATTAAAAAAAATTGGTCTGGCTGGGGTAACGTTACCCCAGCAGGAAATGTTTTTGTGACATAATTTAAAAACTTTAAGCGCAACACATTTAAAAATGTGCGCAACAATTACAGAAACTGCACAACTAATTATCTATAAGATTCAAATGACCATTTTCGACAACATCTGGCCTGGGTAACAACAATCAGAACATAATAAATTATAATGTACCCATGTTTTGATTTCAGACGTCACGACAAATCGAAGCGTCTTCGTTGCGATCTGTGCGACAAATACTTTCTGTACGCGTCGTCTCTGCTCAAACACAAACAGGCGCATCAACGCGAGGACTACTACTGCGTCGAGTGCGATGTCAGGTTCAAAACTCCGGTGAGGCAAATTTCATTTAGGGCTCGTACAGAAAACTGCGATGCGACGTCGCATCGCAAAAATGTGCGAGCTCCCTCTACGCATCGCAAGAACTTGCGAATTGATTCGCATCGCGCATCAAAATCTTATCTTCCCAAAATCTTCTTTGTTTCTTTTTCCTGTATCTGTGCACGCTTCTTTTTACGATCCATATCACGACCTAGTTTTCAATTTTAAAATACATTTAGTACGATTGACTAGTTCGTTGGTCTAGTGGTCGCAAGTGCGACTGTTGGGCCAGGGGTCTCGGGTTCGATTCCCGGGTAGAGGAAAGTATTACTGGGTTTTAAAAAAAATCTTAGTAGTAGCACGGAGTCTAGAAATGTGTCTGGTATATGACAATAGGCTCACCCCCTATTACATGGGTCTCATAACATAAATAGTGAAAAACTAAAAAGCAAAAAATAACTATTATTAGTACTGATAGGTTACCCACCCACTGATAAGTAAGAAGTCGGTGCCATAAGTTCCATACAAAATTCATTAAAACCTTAATAGGTACCTAATTCACAATTTTGTGGACATTAAATTATATCATTATGATATGAGCTTATGGCACCGACTTCTAACCTATCAGTGGGTGGGTAACCTATCAGTACTAATAATAGTTATTTTTTGCTTTTTAGTTTTGATTTTTTGTTTGTTATTAGTTTTTGGATTTTTGAAGTCGGTTTTTTAAACGCAGTTTTTATTTTATTATTTTATCATTTTCAGTGTAAAGCTACATATACCCGTTTTGTTACTTATAATGTACATAGGTGCAAAGTTCTAATCAATACAAATTATACAAGCCCAAACACAAGGTAGTTACAGTATACCGTTGAGGAGTTCCCTTAACAATTACACTTCTTCATCATCAGACCCTTAATGACAGCCCCACTGTATCTAGGTGTAAAGTCCTCATCAATACAAATTAATCAAGCCTAAACACAAGGTAGTTAATATAAACCGCTGAGGAGTTCCCTCGACTGTCTGTCGGCTCCATCATCAGGTCGACTCCAGACCCTTATCAAATTGTAGTGTTTAAAAATCGTAATTGGAAAACATAATAGACGCATTACTTGCCCATAGAATTTTCAAGGCTGATGTTGCATGAGTAATACGAAAACAAAATACGGTTAAAATTGTAAAATCAATTTCTGATGGGGATTCTCTTCAATGAATTAGTGGACTGTATGTTGAACGGGTATATTAATATAATTAAAACGGTAAGTAAAAATGGCTTGTGTCCGAACGACCCCAATGTCAATATGCGCCGCTTGTCGCTCCGTGCGCCCCGCCTACCTCCCGGAAGCGTCCGGCTGCGTTAACGCGCAGACAATTTTCTTTGTCAGCATTTCGCGCGGACCGGTCTGTTTACACCCTATGTAAATGTTCTTTGAATTACTTATAGGAAAAACCGACAATTTATATAGAGATGTAAGCGCCATCTTTACATAAAATCTCCGAGTAGAACTACTATTATTTTATTTATTTTTTGTTGCAGGAGAATTTAAGACTGCATTTCAAGAAAGCTAAAAGACATCGAGACTCCTCGTCCTACAGGTACGACTATTTATCATAGCGAGATGATTTATATATATATATATATATATATATATAAAGCCTTCCTCTATAAATGAACAATACAATACAAAAATAAGTTTTCGAATAAGGATGATGACAGGGTATGAAAATTAAAAATATAATTGGTCCGTCAGTTAGGTAGTGAAAAAATATAATACACGTATTTTTTTATTTTGTTGTGTGATAAAATGATACTTAGATATAACGAATCAAAGTTTAGGAGTAGGGGCTAAAACGTCATTTCTACGTATAAAATGTACATAGAAGTGACGTCACGCGACATTTCAAATCAATATATCGTTGAAAGTTGTTATTTTTAAATAATCTACCAGACGGACATTAAAATAAAAATTAGTAATCTACCCTATTGGAGCAGTATTTTCTGAGATCAAGTGTGGGAGAGCTATGCTCCGGCACCACCAACGAGCAGAAAACCGACGTGGAACAACGCTTGCTTTATGTTCCGTCGTGTGAGTGAGGTTACCGGAGGCCTGATTACCCTCCTCCTCGTTCTCCAAACTCCCCAATCCCTAAAACCCCACAACAATCGTCAAAACCTAATCCCCAAAAGGTCGGTAACGGGCTTCTAACACCTCTGGTGTTCCAGGTGTCCATGGGCGACGCCGAACGCTTACTATCAGGTGATTCGTCTGCTCGTTTACCGGCTTATCTCATAAAAAAGGTAGTTTTATATTTTTTACTAATATTTGTTGTTCTCAACAGGTATGGATGCGCACAATGTCCGCTCCGGTTCGTGAGCGCATCATCGTGCGCAGTGCACGAGTCCAGGGCGCACGGCGCGCCGCGGACACACGCGTGCGGCGCCTGCGCCCGGCGATACAGCTCCAGGGACGCACTGAGAGCGCATACGTGGCGCGTACATCAACGGGGTAAGGGGGGGACGTAGGGGGTGAGGGGGGACAGAGTAATAAATAATAAATAAAAAAGTAAAATTAAAATGTGTTTATTTCTTTAAATCTATACAATTAAGTTGCCGGGGCTTCCCAGAAAAGAAATACGGAGATACTTGTGATGGGATAAACCTCGCTCCTCCACCGTTAATTACCATTTTTGGTTGTACTAATTAGGTACAAGTTACACATTTTTATGAAATAATAAAAGAGAGTACAATTAATAATATAACTCTACAGACGGATTGATTGAGAGGGGACAAGGGGGATTTTAGGGGGAAAGGGGTGATGACAGAGTCGTCACTCTAGGACAAACATCGCACGCGTCCCTTCTCAGGGACGCTTTGAATACGGAACCGCGGTATCTGATCACTCAATGTTGATGGTGTGCGTTACCCAGGCCAGATGTTGTCTATAATGGTCATTTGAATCTTATAGATAATTAGTTGTGCGACTTCTGTAATTGTTGTGCACATTTTAAATTTGTTGCGCTTATATTTTTATAATTATTTTACAAAAACATTTCCGGCTGGGGTAACGTTACCCCAGCCAGATCTTTTTCTTTCTAATGGGAATCCTTACTATCCTTACTAATATTATAAATCGGAAAGTTAGTTTGTTTGTTTGTTTGTTCCGCTTTGACGCCGTAACTACTAAGCCGATTGCTTTGAATTTTTGCAGACGTAAAGTTAGAAGTCCGGATTAAATAATGGGGTACTTTTTATCCCGGAAAGATTTGATATTCCCGAGGGGAAAGAAGTATTGGTATAGATGGCGCTGTGTGTATTGGTATATGTCACATAGGCTACTTTTTATCATTTTGTGACGCGAACGAAGCCGCGGGTAAAAGCTAGTATTTAAATAATTTCTAGCTATAAAATTAGTTGTCTAGATGAAATAAATGTTGTGCATTTTTTTACATCGGTATATGGCAATAGGCTCATACCCTATTACATGTGAAACAATATAACATAAATAGTGAAAAGTAGGTGTTACATTATAGTGTCATAATGTGCACCTCTGCCTACCCCTTCGGGGATAAAAAGCGTGATGTTATGTTCTTTCATCGGTTGCGAAGTTATTCGAGATTTTGCTGGGGTTTTGGTTTTGCTAGATCTATGAAATGGTTAAGCGGATTCTTATCATATTTTGTACATGGCTTCTTAGAAATTAATTTAAATTTGTTCGACAATAAAAAAACCAAAATAGTAAATAGCTTAAAGGTTATTTCATCATATAGAAAAATACTTCAATTGGTCCCAGCACTCTCGATAAGAGCTCTAAAGACTTACTTTAAACGTTATTTTAAAGCTTGTAACTACCTTCAAATGTGTGAAGACCTAGCAAAACCAAAAAGGTTACCCCAGCAAAATCTCGAATAACTTCGCAACCGATGAAAGAACGAATACAAAACAAGGCACAACATTTACTTCATCTAGGCAACTAATTTTATAGCTAGTAATTATTTAAATATTCCCATTAGAAAGAAAAAGGTCTGGCTGGGGTAACGTTACCCCAATAGGAAATGTTATTGTGAAATAGTAAAAAAACTATAAGCGCAACAAATTTAAAAATGTGCTCAACAATTCCAGAAGCCTCAAAACTATATTATAAATATATAGTTTATATTTAATATATTGTATTTTATCTTTAAGATTCAAATGACCATTTTCGATAACAACTGGCCTGGGTAACGGACACATCTTGATGACCAGTTGTTTAGGAAATTAGATTATATTAGCTTCTGCCCACGACTTCGTACGCGCAATCCCGTTTCTTCCTTCTCCCGTTCGTGATTTTCGAAAAAAGTACAAAAATTTGGACAGGAAGTATCCTATGTCCGTCTTCTGGTTCTAAGCTACCTCCTCACCAATTTTCATCTAAATCGATTCAGCCGTTCTTGAGTTATAAATAGTGTAACTAACACGACTTTCTTTTATATATATAGATTATACAATACCAACTGTTGCCGCGCGAATAAACTGCAACTTCGTCCGCGTAGAATATGAATTTTGGAACATGATTTTTTTTTGTTTCAACTTTCCAAAATAAAAGTAGCCTATGTTACTCTTTAGTACATCAGCTACCTGCCAATTAAAATTTTGCAGAATCGGTCCAGCCATTCCAGAGATTATCCATTACAAACAGACAGATAAAAATTCTAAAAATGTTATTTTGGTATGTGTATCGATGTATATGTAGTAAAAAGCGGTTATTTTAATATTACAAACTCACACTCCAATTGTATTTATCTGTAGGTATGTATAGATAATTGAATTTTCTCCACAACTACCTCCATTATGGATATCAAACGAAAGGGCTTGATTGGTAGAATATAGCTCATTGAAGCCGTTTAACATAAAAAATATTTTTATGACAGCCTTGTTGGTGTGGTCGCAAGTGCGACTGCTGGACATGGGGTCTCGGATTCGATTACCACATCAGGCAAAGTATTACTGGTTTTTTTTCCATTCTCAGTTGTAGCACGGAGCCTGAAATTGTGGCCGGTATATGGCAATATGCTCACCCCCTATTACATGGGACTCGTAACATAAATACTGAAAAGTGGGTGTTACATTGTACAGTGGCATAAGTACCGTAATGTACACCTCTGCCTACCCCTTCGCAGACAAGAGGAGTGATGTTTATGTTATTGTTATCATTTTTATGAATTACTTATGTGTGGTTAACAGACAATGACTGAAAATTAGAATGTCAAGGTAAATAATAAATAAAAATAAAGAATTTTTCAATAAAATTTTATTTGTTTTTCTTAATAAAATATATTTAATGATAACAATTCATTATAATTATATGTCTTTTCAATTTCGAACACATCATGTTTTAATAATAACTATCGTGCGACATTCTAAATTTACTTAAAATCGCGGGTTACTCACGCGGTGCTCATGAGAAAGAACCCCTTTGTGGTTCGAAACTAGTAGAGCTTTACTCAGTATATTCACGTGAGTAACCCACGATTTTTAGTTTACATCATATGTTGCTTTATTTTATATTAATAATTTAAAATGACATATTTAACAGCTAATCATAATTGATATTAAACTAGCTCTTGTCAACGGCTTCGCCCGCGTTTCCGAATTTAAAAGTATGAAAGTCAAAATCATTTATTTCAATTAGACCAGGAAGGCACTTTTGAACGTCAACAACAAAAATTTAAAAGTGACGCTATTTACTCATTCCAAGTATAGATTCCTAAAAAAGGCGACGCAACATAACAAAGGCGAAGCCCGTAGCAGAAGCTAGCTAGCTACTATAATATAATATACAGCATGGCAAAAAAGAGTTAGGAACAATTGAGGTCGCTAATATCATACCTATGGTATTTGTCTTCAATTGTAAAACATTATCCAATGCATTTCACGGTGTACATCATTTGCAAGCTTAAATGGTAAAATATGGTCGAACCTATTTTTACGTTACCTGTAATTGTTACCCATATTTGCAAAATAAAAGTATTTTTATTTATCTTTATGTGGAAACCTGGTACACTAAAGATAAAGCTCAAGACTCAACCGGTTTCGATATTTGTTATTTTTATCGAGTTCAAAAAGAGGAGGTACTGTGTTCGGATGATTGTTTATTCATGGGATATGGTCCGAAGTGGGTGATTCATTCCAAGTCTATATTAGTTGCAGCTGTCACCGCGACAAAGTCGTTTGTTGCCAAGCTGTATATGATATAGTACAAATATTATTTTTTAAGGCAAACACCTTGTCTTTAATTTAGGCGCGAAAGCGTACTGAACGAACTTTACATTAAAATTTAATTTCATTATAAATATTTGTTTTGGACAGATTTATAATAAATTTTAATTTATTACTTTAATTTAATTCATTAGAATAAACTAATGGCCTTTTACCAAACACTCCTAAATTTTAAGGAACCTCTAAGCTAGGTGACTCCTAACAATATTTTGGTTTGCACCGACCTGTAAGTGTCGCCTAAAGCTATTCAACGGATGACGTCATAAAATCCTACATCGCACATGTTAATCAACATGGATAGAAAATCCCAACGAACAACTGTTGGGAGAAAGTCCGCCAGATACTAACACCTCGCCTGGTCGGAGGATCCTCATTTACGGATCTTAGGGCACTCTACTCACTGATCTCTAAGACTATGAACTCTTAGCTAAGAGATGGTTTAGAAGTAGTTGGTGAATATAGCCACATAATTATTTATTACCTATAAATATTTGTGAAGATAATTAGCACCATTTACATGCATGCTAAAACTATATATATATAAAACTTGAACTATCTAAAAAAAACTAGCAAAATCGTAGCAAGGATTTTACATACTGAATGCATATTTTTGAAACCAATCACAATGTCAATTTAATTTCATTCCAATACAATCTCAATAATAGGTGATCGGACAATAATAAAGAAAAAATATAAAGTGTGCACACGGCTACACATCGAGCTTTACATAACCAGTATAAACTGAACGTTAAATGTGCGGAAAGATGATGCGACGCGACACCAGGATAAACTGGTTTTGTATAGATTGATGTGTGGCCGTGTGTACATAAATAAAATCTGCATAATAATTAACGAATTTACAACAAGATTTTTTTCAGAATAAACTAAGTTTTATATTTTTAAATCAAAAATCAAAATCTGATAATTACGACATTTTTAATCTGTTCTCTATTTGTAACGAATCATTAATCACGTCGCGTGACGTCATACGTGACTAACGAACGTATATCAATACAGATTACAGGCGCCTTACTGGATTTGCACTGTTTATTTACCCACGTATGACGTCACGCACTCTAGTTTGACAGTTGGTGGTGTTTCGCGATGTTTTCGCGGTAATTTTAAAATACGTATTTTAATTTTAATAATAAAGCAGTATCGAAAAAAAAATATTTTTACGGTTACAAATAACCATGAAGGTTAATTTAAAATAGTTTTTGAAAAGTTTTCAGACCCCCTGGTAACGCCTGATTCTATTCTATATAGTATAATATTACAAGATGTATGACCACACATATTCACTACAATAATAACATAACTATATAAAGTAACAAATGAAAAACAACTTTATTAGTATTGCTATAAAGACTAATATTATATCATAAGTCTTACTGGGGTATTCTAATATAAGTTCCTATTATATTTAGAAGATTACTTTCAAACGGATTGATAATATTTGCCTATTCACACGTACCGGTTGCCGGGCAGCCGGCGCCGACTTGTGAAAAACGGTGCGGTGTGTTTCCTGTGGTGAAATGAGACCAGGATAATTACTCTTGAAACCAATCTCAATGCAATTTCAATCCAGTAAAATATCAATAATTATTTAATGTCAACACTATACAACCACAATCGTAGCTGTTATAATAGCATTCAGAGTACGGAATATAAAGCCAAATCAATACCATTTAGTTCTTTCAATATCCACGCAATACGGAGTGTGCGTTATCCAGGCCAGATGTTGTCGAAAATAGTCATTTGAAGCCAGATGTTGTCGAAAATAGTCATTTGAATCTTATAGATAATTAGTTCTGCAGCTTCTGTAATTGTTGCGCACATTTTAAAATTTTTTGCGCTTATAGTTTATTAATTATTTCACAAAAACATTTCCTGCTGGGGTAACGTTACCCCAGCCAGAACTTTTTCTTTCTAATGGGAATATTTAAGTAATTACTAGCTATAAAATTAGTTGTCTAGATGCAGTAAATTTTGTACCTTGTTTTGTATTTGTTCTTTCATCGGTTGCGAAGTTATTCGAGATTTTGCTGGGGTAACGTTTGTGGTTTTTCTATTATAAGAATCCGCTTAACCATCTCAAAGATCTAGCAAAACCAAAAACGTTACCCCAGCAAAATTTCGAATAACTTCGGAACCGATGAAAGAACAAATACAAAATAAGGCACAACATTTACTTCATCTAGACAACTAATTTTATAGCTAGTACCTAATTACTTAAATATTCCCATTAGAAAGAAAAAGGTCTGGCCGGGGTAACGTTACCCCACCAGGAAATGTTTTTGTGAAATAATTAAAAAACTATAAGCGCAACAAATTTAAAAATGTGCGCAACAATTACAGAAGCTGCAAAACTAATATATATATATAAAAGAAAGTCGTGTTAGTTACACTATTTATAACTTAAGAACGCCTCAATCGATTTAGATGAAAATTGGCAGGGAGGTACCTTGGAACCAGGAGACGGACATAGGATACTTTTTATAGAATACTTTTTTTTACTTTTTACCTAAAATCACGAACGGGAACGGGTGGAAAATGGGATTGCGCGTACGAAGTCGCGGGCAGAAGCTAGTTATCTATAAGATTCAAATGACCATTTTCGACAACATCTGGCCTGGGTAACGCACACCAATACGGATGTAATGGGCGCTAGTGTTGCAACTCAAGAGTACGACACAATACCAATGTCGATCGATTGGAATTGGATTCAAGAGTAAGCCCCAGTTCAGCACGTGCAAGACAGGGCCTTGCGCTGGTATTCTACTGGTCCCTTAAGTGACTCTGTAAGTACGTGTGAAAGATACAGTACATGGCTATACACTGCGCTGCCGGGTACCCAGTTTTTTTATATTTGTTGGGCCGACGTTTGACCACTACCTAGCCTGGTGGTAAGCGATGATACGGCCTACGATGGAGCACGTCGTCCCATAAGCAACCTATTCACTCGGGCCTTAAAGATGAGGTTATACCCTTCAGGAAATACAGATACCGGTTACCCGGCAAGGTAATGTGTGACAAGGGACTTTAGCCGATGCGTTGCTGCCCAGATACAAATACTACGCGACTGTACTCGCGTCGATAGCAAAGGCGGTACCGAATATAAAAAAAATAGTACATGCGAAAGGGGACCGTGTTACCGGACAGTCGGCGCCGGCTACCCGGCAACTAAGTGACCTCAAGTTCAATTCTCGGATTGAGCAAAGCACTTCTAGTGGCAAGGAGTCTAGAATTGTTGTGCCTGACGCGGGCTTGTGAACGCTTACCTTGAGTCACCCCCATGAAAATTTATGTCATTCCTTCCTCATGCATTTTCTTTTCTCTAGGACGATCATACTCTTCAATGCACTGGCTATAGTATACCTGAGTTCATGGAACTTATCATACGACAGCCGATATATATTTGTCTGTCCGTCCGATAGATGCAGAATTAATATCACATGTGTATCTCGATGAATAATTTCTTTTGTTCGCTGTGAAGATGGCTTTTCGGTTGATATTGTTGATTGACTGTAACAGAAATTTGGTTATTTCATACTAGCTTTGATGTAACAGTAAAAAAAAATTTAAAAATATATGTAGACTAATTGGGCACTTGCTAACTATATAGTCAAATTCAATACTTTTTCGAACTGTCAAAAACGACAGTTTTCTATGAATTTTGTACGAGATCGTGTATTGTGACGTCACGTTTTTTTAGCGTCGCACAGCATAGTTGTTTCTTAAATATGTATATGCTGGAAAAGATAGTAAAATTAAGTTGGTCATAAAATCAATTAATGAAAGTGTGATTATTTTTTAATATTTAATTGATTGTATTGAACAGTCGAAATAATATATTTTTGATAAAGGAAAGTACTCGATAGGGTAGATGACTAATTTTTATTTTAATATCCGTCTGGTAGATTATTTTAAATCATTAAACACGTATTTTTTATTTTCTTACAGAAACGAATACTCTCGACGATATATTGATTTGAAATATCGCGTGACGTCACTTCTTTGTACATTTTATACGTAGAAATGACGTTTTAGCCCCCACTCCTAAACTTTGATTCGTTTTATCTAAGTATTGTTTTACTATACGACAAAATAAAAACAATACGTGTCTAATATTTTTTCATTACCTAACTTACGGACTAATTAGATTTTTAATGTTTATACCCTGTCATCATCCCAATTATTAATATTAGTAAGACTTGTAATATTAGTAGAATTTTCTTACCAGAGTGAGATGTCTATCTTCCAGCTGATGCTGACCAGGCCTGGCTTCACTCGGAGGTGTGTGGGAACATTCTCATACATTTTGTCTGTACACAATAATGCTGTGAGTTCTGATACACAGTCCGGTGAGAACCTGTAGAGATAATATGAATAATGTGTGTTAGAAGAGGCCTTTGATCAGCAGTGTTAATATACCACACTGCCTCGTTGGCCGAGTGGTCGCAAGTGGGACTGCCGGGCTGCAATAACAGAAGTGCACACTTCTTTTTACGATCCATGTCACGACCTAGTTTTCAATTTAAAATACGTTTAGTACGGTTGACTAGTTCGTTGGTCTAGTGGTCGCAAGTGCGACTGCTGGGCCAGGGGTCTCGGGTTCGATTCCCGAGTAGAGCAAAGTATTACTGGGTTTTTTCAAAAAATCTCAGTAGTAGCACGGAGTCTGAAATTGTGCCCGGTATATGGCAATAGGCTCACCCCCTATTACATGGGACTCATAACATAAATAGTGAAAAGTGGGTGTTACATTGTACAGTGGCATAATGTACACCTCTGCCTACCCCTTCAGGTATAATGATGTTATGTATGTTAATATACCACGCTTGCTAAATGCTGGTTGGCGATTTCAAACTAATAATTAGAAGGTCTCCTCACATTGTTTTCCTTGACCTGGGCGCTTACCCTTGAAACCAATCTCAATGTCAATGCAATTTCAATCCAATACAATCTCAATAATTATTCAATGTCAACACTATACAACCACAATCGTAGCTGTTACAATAGCATTCAGAGTACGGAATATAAAGCCAAACTCAACACCATTTAGTTCATTCAATATCCCCGCAATACGGATGCTATGGGGGCTAGTGTTGCAACTCGAGAGGTAGGAATTGTATTCAAGAGTAAGCCTCTGGTGTCTAAATAATTTTAGAAAGTACATATAACTCGCACAAAAGTCACATTGGTACTTGCCAGATTTCGAACTCACTACAACTAACTGAGTAAAGCAATAATGAGAAGAGCAATATCACATTTAAAATGTTTCCAAACCCGCAATCTCATGCATGAGAAGCAGAAGTCTTAGCCTGTTGAAATTCATCCCTTAAATTCGTTCATACAAAAGTTGGCTCTAAACATCCTTACTTATATCCTTACTTATCCTTATCCTTACTTCCTTACTAATCCTTACTAATATTATAAATCTGAAAGTGAGTTTTCCTTCCTAATATTATAAATCTGAAAGTGAGTTTTCCTTCCTAATATTATAAATCTGAAAGTGAGTTTTCCTTCCTAATATTATAAATCTGAAAGTGAGTTTTACTTCCTAATATTATAAATCTGAAAGTGAGTTTGTTTGTTTGTTCCACTTTAACGCCGTAACTACTAAACCGATTGCTTTGAATTTTTGCAGATGTATAGTTAGAAATCCGGATTAAATAATCGGGTACTTTTTAACCCAGAAAAAATTGATATTCCCGAGGAAAAACAAAAGTATTGCTATAGATGGCGCTGTGTGTATTGGTATATGTCACATTGGCTTTTTATCCTTTTGTGACGCGAGCGAAGCCGCGGGTAAAATCTAGTTGGAAATAAGGTCTACAATGAGACTTTCGTTGGTAGTGGTGAAGGTTACGCACGTGCTTTTATTGGTACTACGATTGTTGTCAATTTTAGTGATCTTTTTCATAGTGAACTAAATTGAAATCTTTTAATTTTGTGCTGTGTAATTGTGTGTGTAAGTTTTATTAAGGTGTAGTAGTCTTAAGTTTTGTTTCCCCTTCCCACCTTTTTTATTCCTATACCTAACAATGGATGAAGAGAAGCCTCCTGACCCTCCCGACAAATCTCCAGAGTACAATCCCATTTTATGCGTCACGCTCCCCCATGACAACCAGGATCTTGAATCAATGGATTCCGAAAACAATGCTAACAGGAAACGACCTGCTGATTCTCCCATTCTATCCCGTATCAATCCTCCGAAGCTAGCGAAGAGTATTAATGGTAGGCAGTGCTATACGGCTAGAGACAATCCTCCCTATATTGTCCATGTTTCTCTTAAAGACTCCCAGACGAGTGGCACTACTCTCCACCCAATCAAATTCGGGATGTTCTTGACAAAGAATAACATCAACAATATTAAAATTGGAGGAGTTAAGCGACTCGGTAGAAACAGAGTGTCGGTTGAGTTTGTGCCTCACCAGGATGCGAATAGCTTCCTTATTAACTGCGTGGTAGCACAAAATTATATTACCTCAATCCCTCAGTTCAACATAACTAGAATGGGCATTGTGAGGGATGTTCCCATTGAATGGTCAGAGGAGGAAATTATTAGGAACATTAAGGTTCCCGCTGGGTGTGGGATTGCAATTAAAGCAAGACGGATGAACCGTAGAGTTTCATCAGACAATGGTACGGAATGGAAGCCTACCCAAACTGTGGTTCTCACTTTCGATGGGCAAATTTTACCAAAGAAAGTTTTTTGTTTTTATTCTGCTCTCCCTGTAGAATTGTATACATACCCTACAATACAGTGTTACAACTGTTGTCGCTTTGGGCACACCCGCACGTTGTGCCGCTCCAAACCGCGTTGCTTCAGATGTGGTCAGGATCATCCTGGCGATGGCTGCCTAGTGACGGAAGAAGTTGCACATTGCATAAATTGCAATGGCAATCATTTTGCCAATAACAGCTCCTGTCCTGAGTTAGGACGCCAGAAAAGTATTAAGGCCTTAATGGCTGAAAAAGCGATTTCCTATGCGGAAGCAAGCCATGTGTTTCCTGCGGTCAAAAAATCTTATGCCGAGGTTTCTAAATCCAAGTCTGTCAACTACATTCAATCAACACCAAACAAAAAATCATCCCCACAAAGACAGTCTTACAAAAAAACAGTTTTTGTCAAACCCAAATCCCATGCTCCTCTTTCTCCCGGCTATGATAAGAAGGCCCATCAGGCCCTTATCCATGATTACTCTTTTTCTCCATCCCAGAATGGTTGCGCTTTCCCTGTGGAATCCGGAACCAACACTCGTAGCTCTAACATTTTAGATGTAATTTCCAGCATGCTCATGGCAGTGTTATCTAACCCTAATCAAAATGTACCTGACCACGTCGCCCATAGATTAGCTACTATCCTAGACTACATATATAAAATTCCACCCACTTACAATTCTTCAGTGGAACGTGAGGAGTACTCTTCCCAGGAAGAGTGACCTGATACATTTAGTTAATAAATTCAAACCATCGATTTGTGGACTTGCTGAGACATGGCTCCGACCGAATATCAATTTCGGGATCCCGTGCTTCAGCATTGTCAGACAGGACAGATCTGATGGTTATGGAGGTTGTGCTTTGTTAGTTAACAACAAAGTACCCTTCACCCAGATTCCTTTACCCTTCGTCGGCGATGACATAAATGTTGTCGCTGTTAAGGCTGAGGATATAAATTTTTTTATGTTTTATATTGCGCACCCTCTTGTTACTCATTTGGCTTTAATTAAAAATTTATTAATGTCAGTAAGTGGTCCATTATTCGTAATGGGTGACTTCAACTGTCATCATTATAGATGGGGTTCGGATTTATGCGACAACATGGGCAGCAAGTTCGTTGAAATGATGGATGAGCTCAACCTATGTAATATTAATGACGGCAGCCCGACCCGTAGATCTGCATTTGGACAAAGAAGCAGTTGTGTGGACTTAACCTTCTGCTCATCTAATATGGCAAGCATGCTGAACTGGAGCTGTTTGAATATGACTTATGGTAGCGATCACTATCCCATCATAATCAAAAATCCTTCCAAATCCACTCCTGATAAATCCCTCCCCCCTCTATTAAAATATCGATTAGAAAAAGCAGATTGGGACCTGTATTCAAAATTATTAGACTTCCGCATTTCTTCTCTCCCACCCATTGATAACCAGAATGCTTTGGAGTGTTTTTCAAAGTTTTCTGAGTTGATAGCTTCCACAGCTGAAGATTGCTTCCCAGTGAAAAGCACACCAAAAGGCAAAATCCCTTCCCCTCCTTGGTGGGATAGTGAATGTACTGCCATGATAAGAGCCAGGAATGAGGCTGAAAAGGCATATAACCACGACATGAGCCTGGAAAATCTCCTTAATTTCAAGCAGATATTGGCTAGGTCAAGAAAACTGTTTAAAAAGAAGAAGAGACAGGGGTGGCAGAGATTCTGTGGTTCCCTAAGCCCGTCCACGCCGGTGGCAGCAGTGTGGCGGAGAGTGAAGAGCTTCAGAAATTCTTCGAAGCCTCCTTCAATTTCCATTTTGCCTGAAGGTCTGAGCCACAATTTCTTCACCAACATTGCTCCACTGTATGTCCCTGGCGAGGATGAATGTTGTCCGGGTCAACATGAGGATTCACGAGACCCACTCGATAAAAATTTCACCATCGATGAGCTCCAAATGGTCCTTAATCATGTAAAGGATTCCGCACCAGGCATTGATGGGTTTCCTTACTCCTTCTTGGTTAAAGCAGGAGCCAAAACCAAGCAGTACTACCTTGACTTAGTCAATTTCTGTTTTACTTTCGGCTATATTCCTCCTATCTGGAAGGTTCAGGTTATCATGCCGCTGTTAAAAGCTGGCAAGGATCCTGGTGATCATTCGTCTTACAGACCTATTGCCCTATCGTCCATACTTATCAAAATCCTTGAACACCTAATAAAGACCCGGTTGGAATGGTCGATGGAAAGCCGGGGGCTGTTCCCGGCGGCTCAGTTCGGCTTCAGGAAAGGTCTGGGTACGGCTGATAGTGTGGGTACCCTCACGTCAGCCATCCGACTGGCCCTTAGCAGGAATGAGTCGTTGGTGGCGGTCTTTCTGGACGTCTCGTCGGCCTATGACTCTGTCCTCCTACCCCTTCTCAGGCAGAAATTGCAGGAGCTGAGAATCCCGAGTAGGATTTGCCAAATTATAGGCTGCATCCTTTCCAACCGTACCCTCCAACTGAGAACTCCTGAGGATGACCCTACACAGAGAACCGCCTGGAGGGGTTTACCTCAGGGGTCAGTCCTTAGTCCCATCCTATATAATATCTATACCCACGACCTCCCTTCTTGTCTAAATTATGATTGCAAAGTCCTCCAGTATGCTGACGATATCGCATTAATGGTCACTAGCTGCTCTATAACAGACGCTACCGCCTCCATGAATGTCTCTTTGACCTCATTATACCAATGGCTTCTTAATCATGGGTTATCTTTAAGCGCCCCAAAAAGCTCAGCTGTCATCTTTTCACGCAGACGGCGCCTTCCGGACACTCTTATAGAGATAGACGGCCAACCTATTCCAGTTGGGAGGAAGGCTAGGTTCCTGGGCGTTATCCTCGATTCTAGGATGTCGGGGGTTGATCATGTGGAAACAGTAGTTAGAAGGTGCGAACGGTCAGTATGTGTACTCAGAGCATTAGCTGGGGTATGGTGGGGTGCTCACCCCTACACATTAAAGCTCATATATAATGCGTTGGTCAGAAGTGTGATAGACTATTGCTGCTTCCTTATGGCACCTTGCAATAAGGAAGCACTTAAAAAGCTAGATTCCATTCAGGCCAAATGCCTAAGAATAATTATTGGAGCTATGAAGTCATCCCCCATAAACGCTCTCCAGGTTGAATGTGCAGAACCCCCCTTTGACCTTCGAAGACAATACCTGGCAGACCGTTTCGTTTCTAAAGTCCTTACCCGCTCTTCTCATCCCCTCTTCCTATCCTTGAGCAAATCCACAGTTCTTATGACTCCTCTCCATATTGGAATAATAAACCTGTCCCACCTGTGATTGCTAGGTATAGGGAGCTTAAAAACCTCTCTGCACCTATCAGTCAATTCCCTATTCTCCCGGTTTTTTCTTCCGCATACGAGGTCATTCACTTTAGGCCAAAGCTAGTTCTGGGGTTGGGCATTTCAAAGACATCAGTGGACGCTAAAGGTGATTTTGAACGCGCGCTGAGCAATTACTGGAACGGCTGGAATGTGTTTTACACGGACGCATCCAAATTGACCCGAAACGGATGCACAGGAGTGGCAACATATTACCAGAACTCAAGAATTGCTCTGCTCTCCAAGTGTCCCCCTGAAGCCTCTGTCTTCACTGGGGAATGTGTCGGCATTCTGGAGTCCATTAAATTTATTGAATCGCACAACCTCAGAAACTCAGTTATTTTCTCAGACTCTCTAAGTAGTTTACAAGCGCTCGGTCAAGACCAGCTTTATTCCCGGACTCATAGTAGTCTGATAATACAGATAAAATCTTTACTTTTCTCCTGCCAAAACGACGGACTAAATATCGAGATCGCCTGGATCCCTGGCCACTCTGGTATATGCGGTAACGAGTGTGCTGACAGATTGGCAAAGTTTGCGGCCGTGAATAATGTTGAACGTCACCACTACATTGTGTATGGGTATGACATACGCGCGGATACAAAACTCAAGCTTTTCGACTCGTGGGCTGCAGTGTGGGTGGACTCCTCCAAGCGTAAAGGAGCTTACTTTGCAAGTATCCAGCCCGACATCCGGCGGAAACCTTGGTTTTCCAAGTATAAGAAGCTTCCCAGACAAACTATTTCGTCCTTGTGCAGACTCAGACTCGGCCACTGTACTAGTCCGGTATTCCTTGCCAAGATCCGTGTACGTGACAGCTCGCTGTGCGAATGCGGTCTCGATGAGGGAACCCTAGACCACATATTTTTCTCTTGCCCTCTAAATTCCCAATCCTTCGATTTATATGGAAACCTTCCCAAAATCCAAATCCCGCTTCCAATCAACTTCCACTCCCTCCTAACAAATTTTTCTCCCAAATTAATTAAGTGCTTGTCCAAATTTATTAAAGAAAATTGTATTAAAATATAACGGTGTGTATTCATGTAAATATTGTGTGTTATGATTGTTTCTATTTAATTATTTATCTGGTGTTAGGTAATAATATTATAATTTTAGGTCTATTGACGGTATATGTTTACTAACCCAATTGTTTTTGTCTCTTCCAGTTACTAACAACTACCAGAAAGTTAAAGTTCGACGGTGCATTAACTGCCGTCACCACTCGACACTGGCAGTATAGTCGACAACATCGTATTGGAGACTCAGTTGCCAAAGAAAAAGAAAAAAAAAAAAAGGTCTACAATGTAGTTGGTGGAGAGCGGTCACCGGTGACCGCTTAGGGATATATGGGTTGAACTTCAGCACCACACACGACACGCTGCCTTATCCCATGGAAATTAATCTTACCTCAATCCTTCCAGGAACACCTGAACATCCTCAGCACTCCATGGTTCTTTAGTAGCGGACCGCAGCCTAGAGAAGTGTCGCACCACCGCCCTCACCGCTGCAAACTTGTCCGTGTTCATCAAACTAGAGGTCCTACTGTCTGGATTACCTTCTAACTCTTTTAGAGCCACTGCGAAGATGAATGTTCTGTTATAGGACTTTGTTTTATATTTTTTAAATTCTCAGTAGTAGCACGGAGTCTGGAATTGTGCCCGGTATATGGCAATAGGCTCGCCCCCTATTACATGGGACTCATAGCATAAATAGTGAAAAGTGGGTGTTACATTGTACAATTGCATTAATTGCCGTAATGTGCACCCCTTTGGGGATAAAAGGTGTCATGTTATGTATGTATGTATGTATGTACTGGTAGCATTGCCACTTTGAATGGTAGTGCTTGACCATAATTTTTATACTGGACTTAATTATGAGCTGCTTTGTGTTTCAGTCAAGATGATCTAATATATTTTGAATTTTTAAGAATTCTCTTTCAATAATTATAGCTAGCCTTTGTGTGATCCACAAATTGTTGTTTCGGGTCTTTGTGTCCCGTGTATGTGAATTTGTATGTTTGTAAACACACAGAAGAAATAATTGAGTTTAACAAATTAAAAAAAAATTTACAATTATATGCAATTAAACGCATTTTTGTAGGTAGTTAATATACAAGCTCATTTATTTGTAAGTTAAATTAAAAGCTTATTTTTTACTACACATTGTAAAATAGAGAGGGGGCGACTTTATGCATGTTACATTAGTTGTATGATTATGATAATGATTCATAAAAATAATTTATGCGCAGTCTTTGCTACATCTTAGTCTTTCAGTATTCTTAGTCAATGTTTACGTAACGTAATAAACCATAAAATAAAGTAAAGAAACATTTAAAACTTATTTGAAACTTTTTTCGAAATTATACTTACAAATAACAAAAGGTTTTATTTCCTTCTTTTGAATTTCTGGCGTTAATAACGAAACAGCTGTCCATTGTGAAGGGCTCTCTGTTAATAATTCTAGCTGTTGTGACATGTTATTGAGCTAATTATTTAAATAAAACATTAAAAACAATAGGTAATCAAAATAATCGCTACACCAACAAATTCGACAACTTAAGTTGTCAATTTGACATTGTCAACACAACCCGTAGAGTGGACACCCATGTAATATAAGATGACATTTAAAAATTAGACGATTCCCGAATTCGTTTTTTGAATCGACTAATGTATCAACTTGTTTCCGGTTTTTATTATCTATGACCAAGACGGCGCGTCACTAGTCATTTAATGGCTGACGCTTGTTTGGCGTTGTAGTCTCAGTGTAATAACATTTTCAATAGCGCGAAAACGACTTCACTTTTAGCCAAATTTCACCAAAAATATAATAAAAGTTTTATTTAAGTTACGTTTTATTGAAATGGCAGCAGTGCAAGGTGCTCCTGGTAATAAAAATTGGCCTGCAAGACCCGGTATGCAGCATCAGAACAGTCAGGGCCCTGCTTCAAGTATGACACTAAACAGGACAATAAATTTATATCCACTGACTAATTACACATTTGGCACGAAGGAGCCGTTGTTTGAGAAGGATGCATCAGTTCCCGCCAGGTTCCAGAGGATGCGTGAAGAGTTCTCCAAGATCGGCATGAGGAGGTTAGTTTTTTGATAAGTGTTAGGTAGTGAAAATAACACGTTAACTTGCGTTTGTAGCTTATTATGTGTTAAAGATAGTTTTTTATTCATTGCAAATCATTCAGTGTTCTGCTAAGGAGTGGAATTCTTTGCCATTGTCTGTGTTTTCTGAATGGTATAACCTGGGTGTCTTCAAGGCACGAGTGAATAAGTTGTTTATGGGCAGATGTGCTCCATCGTAAGCCGCACCATCGCTTACCACCAGTCGCTGTAGTGGCTAAACATCAGCCCGTTAAATATAAAAAATTAACAGATCGGAAACAAACTTTTTCACATCCAGATTTGCCTGTTGCAAGCAAATAGACGCAATGCATGTGGTATTTTAAATTCTCATTAGTGTTATTAATGTTAATATGTTATGTCATGTTAAGCAAATAGGATTACGGTGCATGTGGTATTTTAAATTCTCATTAAATAATTACTAATTAGTGTTATTAGTATAGTTTTCTGTTTCGCCAGTTCTAATGATGAGCTGGAAGTACAATACTACAAGCCTTAATAAAGAACTTATTTGTAAAATATAATAAAAGTTTTGGTTGTGAATTGCTGATGCCTGAACGAGGTATAAAACCTTATATACAGGTCACCGGGCCAATAATTGTGTATCCTTGCTTCATCTTTAGGGAAAGCTAGGTACTGTCGCACAATTTCTCCCGCTACTCAGCTCCTATTAATCTCTTATCTGCTGGCTATGAGACACAATAGAAAACATATTATTATTGTGTATCGCATATATTCGCATACATTCCATGATACCATTATTTTTTATTGGAACACAGTGCTTGGCACAAAGCACAAACTCGATTATAGATAAAATAAAATTTTTAAAGCAATAGAAAAGTAACATGCTAAGAATTGATTTGGAATTCTTTAAACTTAAACTCGTAATAAGGCCTCAGCCAAAAATTTAGTTAAACGAATTTTTTGGTTCGTTGTCTTTCTAGTAACACCACCTACTATTTATTTATAACTAGCGACCCGCCCCGGCTTCGCACGGGTGCAATATGTATATACATACAAACCTTCCTTAAGAATCACTCTATCTATTAAAAAAAACCGCATCAAAATCCGTTGCGTAGTTTTAAAGATCTAAGCATACATACGGACATACAGCGAAAGCGACTTTGTTTTATACTATGTATTGATATAGATATTTTTTAATATCTTCAATGTACAGAATAAGGTAGATGCCTTATTTTTATTTTAATGTCCGTCTGGTAGATTATTTTAAATCATTAGACACATACTTTTTATTTTCTTACAGAAACGAATACTTTCGACGATATACTGATTTGAAGTGTCGCGTGACGTCACTTCTATGTATTCGAAAAAATCACGTTTTAACCTAACGGGTTACCGGGGCTCCGGCTCGGCGTGCAGGAGTACGAACGGGGTGGCTTTTAGTCAGTAAGAGTCTGACACTCCCTCCCGCCTCACCCAGGCGGGAGCAGTCATTGGATGATTTACCCCCCTTAAACTGTCAAACACCAAGCGGTCACCGGTGACCGCGACCTATTGTTCTTTAATTGTGTCTATAAAACCGGTACTCGACGAGTTAAAAAAAGCCCCCACTCCTAAACTTTGATTCGTTTTATCTTATTACACAACAAAATAAAAAATACGTGTCAAATTTTTTTTATTACCTAACTTACGGACTAAATAGATTTTTAATTTTCATACACCGTCATCATCTCAATTTACAGTTCTACAATTTTATTATAATATGTATAGAATATGAGATGAGTATAGATAAGGAAAGAAAGAAAGAAAGAAAAACCATTTATTAAGGCTTAATGTTATGTTAATTTTGTAACGTTCCAGATCAGTGGAAGGTGTACTGCTGGTACACGAGCACGGTCTGCCACATGTGCTGCTATTGCAGCTCGGTACAGCATTTTTCAAGCTGCCCGGTGGAGAGCTCAACCCAGGAGAGGTGAGATTATATTAGTTTATTTTTGTTAAGTCTTCGTTTGAGAGTCCATATTTATATCTATATAAAAAAAATGAATTTCCGATCATTAGTATCTCTAAAACTCAAGGATGGCTGAACCAATTTGGCTAAATTGGGTACATCAGCTTCTTAGTACTTACATCAGCTCAATAAAGGTCTTGCAAAGTCGGTTCAGCCATTCCAGAGATTAACCAGTACAAACAGACTGACTTGTAAATCTTTATATATATAATTCTTCTGTGAGTGTGTATGCCACTGAACTTCTCTCAAACGACTGGACCGATTTTGATGAAATTTTTTGTGTGTGTTCAAGGGGATCTGTGAATGGTTTAGATTCACAAATCAGCCCGGCAGATGGCCCGGCGATGTTTAGGTTATTTATCCTAAACAGCTGAACTAATTTGAATGAATTTTTGTTTATACATTCAAGTGGATATGCAGGACAACATCTGTTGGGTCCGCTAGTGTAAAGATATAATACTGCATATGAAGTAACTTTTAGGTAATTCAGTATATCTTATGATGCTTATTATAATAATAATATGTTTTCTATTTGCTTTTAGGATGAAATTGAAGGTTTAAAAAGGTTATTGACTGAAACGCTAGGCAGACAGGACGGAGTCAAGCAGGAGTGGCTTATTGAGGATACCATCGGTAAGATAGCTTTACACAATACAGCAGACTTCTTACATATTTTTAGAATTGAGTATCAGTAATCACTTCGTTGCGGGAACCAAGACAGTTACTCATGTCCCTGGGACGCGCCGGACTTCAATGTTCCGGTGTTTTCATGGTTGTATCTACTGTAGATCCTGGCTTACAGGAGTTGCAGCGGTTTTGGTAGGCTGTGGCGGGCTTGTCCCATTAAAAAAAAATCGAGTATCAATATCAACAGTCAACAGCCTATAAGTGGCCACCGCTGACCAAAAGCCTCTTCTCACACGAAGAAGGTTTGAGCCACCACACTTGCTCATTGCGGGTTGGCGATTTCAAACTTATAATAAGAAATTATTAGCCCAGTTCCCAAAAAAAGCCGGTAACACACTTGTAACGCCTTCAGAGGGCCAAGCACGAATAACTATCGCATTCGTATCGTAACAGTATCGAGCGAGTTAAGCGTTCTGATTGGTTGGTTCACTTGAGCCGGCCAATCAGAGCGCCGAACGCGCTCGATACTATTACGTTACGAATGCGATAGTTATTCGTGCTTGGCACTCTGGTATCCATAGACGTCGCCGATTGCTTACCATCAGGTGATCCGTCAGCTCGTTTACCGGCTTATCCCATAAAAAGTCTATTTTCTTTTATGTTCCAGGCAACTGGTGGAGACCGAACTTCGAGCCGCCGCAGTATCCCTATATACCACCGCATATAACAAAACCAAAGGAACATAAGCGATTATTCCTAGTACAACTACAAGATAGGGCGTTATTCGCTGTCCCTAAGAACTATAAATTAGTAGCAGCGCCATTATTCGAGTTGTATGATAACGCTCAGGGCTACGGACCAATCATATCTTCATTATCGCAAAGTTTATGTCGATTCAATTTCGTGTACATGTAAGATTATATTTGTATATAATAATATATACTCGAAAATTTGACATTTACCTTCGTACTCAGACCTGTACCATTATACTCGGAGTTGGGAATGCAATCAGAGCTTGGGACGTGAACATGTATCCGTTAGAACTACAGACTACAGAATCATAATAGGGTAGTTTCCTAAATTTCAATTTAATGTCCGTCTGGTACATTAATTTAAAACATTAGACACGTATTTGTTCTTTTCTTACAAAATTAAATACTTTCGACGATATATTAACTCGTCGAGTACCGTATTTATAGACACAATTAAAGAACAATAGGTTGCGGTCACCGGTGACCGCTTGGTGTTTGACAGTTTAATTTGAAATATCGTGTGACGTCACAGCGTGTCACATTTTGTAGCACGTTATGACGTAACAACCTCCCACTACTAAACTTAGCGCCATTTTATCTAAGTATTGCAACTTAATTCGAGAAAATAAAAAAATACGTGTCTAATATTTTTGCATTATCTAACTGACGGACTAATTGGAATTTTAATTTTGATACCCTGGTTTTTGATACCTTACGTACATGTTACTTGTTTTTTAGACGGAAATAAGGTTTTTTCTTTTTTTCTCGATATCGCGAGATCCTGTCCATGTTTAGCGAGATTAATGTCGTTTTAAAATGGACGAGATCTTGCGAGATAAACGAGGTTGCTGTACTAAACATTTTTTTGTTTAAATGAGAAGATTGTTTTTGTCTTTCGTTCATTGTTTCATAGTTGCAAAAGTCTAAGTACAAGTGAGACTGCTTAAAATTCATTAAAATAACTTATTACTGCCCCCAACTTCATAACTCTAACTTATAATGTCTACTGATTCACTTCGTTGCGGGAACCAAGACAGATGTTCATGTCCCTGGGACGTTGGACTTCAGTGTTCCGGTGTATGCATGGTTGTATCTACTGTAGATCCTGGGGCACAAGCGTTGCAGCGGTTTTGGGAGGTTGTGGCGGGCTTGTCCTCAAGTTAGTCCTCGTATCTTTAGGCAGAATTATTTGGTTCTAAAAAAACATTAAAAATCTAGTTACAGCCCCCATCTTCCGCATAACTTTAGTCTTAAAAAAATCGTTACAAATAAATGTTTATCTTATAAATAATACAATTGTTTTTCCTAATTTATTCAAATGTTATGTTTATTTGCTAAAAAAACATATTATAGTCAATTTTGAGATCTCGCGATATTGTGCCCCTGTCTCGCGAGGTCTCGCTTGTGCCCCTGTCTCGCGAGCTCTCGCTTGTGCCCCAGCCTCGCGAGGTCTCGCTTGTGCCCCTGTCTCGCGAGCTCTCGCTTGTGCCCCTGTCTCGCGAGCTCTCGCTTGTGCCCCTGTCTCGCGAAGTCTCGCTTGTGCCCCTGTCTCGCGAGGTCTCGCTTGTGCCCCTGTCTCGCGAGGTCTCGCTTGTGCCCCAGCCTCGCGAGGTCTCGCTTGTGCCCCAGCCCCGCGAGGTCTCGCTTGTGCCCCAGCCTCGCGAGGTCTCGCTTGTGCCCCAGTCTCGCGAGGTCTCGCTTGTGCCCCAATCTCGCGAGATTTGCATTCCCTAACTCAGAGTTATTGAATGGATACTTAACAGAGTCTTTAACAATTGTTTTCGGAATTTAAGCTGTTTTTTTTAATAGATAGAGTGATTCTTAAGGAAGGGTTTTTATGTATAATACATGCATATTGCACCCGTGCGAAGCCGGGGCGGGTCGCTAGTTAAATATAAAACAGTGAGTGCGTTCGGTAATGTCGTGGATTCGATGTCCGTATAGTGTAAGTGATTATTACAGAATAGATAATATTAATTATCTCTGCTTATGCGTTTTATTTACCTGTTGTACTCCGAGGAAGAAGACTGTATTAGATTTTAAGTTTTATTTTTTTCTATGTGTGTGTAATTATATTGTATTTTTTTTTGTTTTGTTAGAAAAGTTTCCAATCAACACGCCCTTGTAAAACTAAGGTGGGATAATAGTAAGTTTTTAATTGACTTGCGAATATTGCGAATATACTCGAATATTGCGAATATACTCGAATATTGCGACTGCCGGGCAAGGGGTCTCGGGTTCGATTCCCGGGTCGGGCAAAGTATTACTGGGTTTTTATAAATATTTTCAGTAGCACGGAGTCTGGAATTGTGCCCGGTATATTGCAATAGGCTCACCCCCTATTACATGGGACTCATAACATAAATAGTGAAAAGTGGGTGTTACATTGTACAGTGGTATAATGTGCACCTCTGCCAATCCCTTCGGGGATATAAATCATGATGTTATGTATATTTTTCATTTATTATGATGTTTTCACATTACTCACGTAATTGTTTTTGACGAGGTATTATTGTTAAGCTTAATTGCGGTTTTTTCGGTAGATGACTAATTTTTATTTTAATGTCCGTCTGGTAGATTATTTAAAAACATTACACACGTATTTTTTATTTTCTTACAGAAACTAATACTTTCGAAGATATATTGATTTGAAATGTCGCGTGACGTCACTTCTTTGTACAATAGATAGAAATAACGTTTTAGCCCCCACTCCTAAACTTTGATTCGTTTTATCTAAGCATTGTTTTCTTATGCGACAAAATAAAAAAATACGTGTCTAATATTTTTTCATTACCTAACTGACGGACTAATTAGATTTTTAATTTTCATACCCTGTCATCATCCCCATTATTGTTAAGTGTTATTGCGGTTTATCTGTTTTTCGATAATTTTATAGTACCTATGAGTCTGGAATTGTGCCCGGTATATGGCAATAGGCTCACTCCCTATTACATGGGACTCATAACATAAATAGTGAAAAGTGGGTTTTAGGAACATAGTGTTTTTTGTTAAAAGAATGTTCCTAATCAACGGGCTCTTGTAAAAACTAAGGTGGGACAATAGGAATTACGAGGATAAATATAATGACCACCATTACGGGGATAAATCTACTTAACACCAGAAAAATAAAGTCTAAAATACAATAGTACCAGCTATTTTAGTCACGACTCAACTTTAAATTGTATTCGACCACCAAATTTAGTAAATGATCACCAAATCTTGACGACCGAATCTTGAAATAATAAATTAATTTAATGTATTATTATTGCGTAAATAAATCACTGTGATTGCCATAAAATGTGGGCTTATTATCAAATAAAGTAATATTTTGCATGTCATTTTAAATTGAAATGTGGTTAATAATTTGATTTTCAATTTAAAATTAATATTTTCAGTATCTTTGGGTTTGAATTTTTTGGAGTCAGTTTACTTAACTCGTCGAGTACCGGTTTTATAGACACAATTAAAGAACAATAGGTCGCGGTCACCGGTGACCGCTTGGTGTTTGACAGTTTAAACAGGGTAGCAAGATGTAAAAACTTTGATTATGATTTTATATTAAAATGGTATAATTTAGGTGATCATTTACTACTTTTGGGTTAACAATGATTTATTTGGATTCATTTTGCTTAAATAGGATAGCAAAGTGTTAAAACTTCGGTTATAATTTTACATTAAAATGCGAGTTTCATTTTGGTGGTCATTTACTATTTTTGCCTGCTATCTGTTACTATATCTGGTGGTAAGTTAAACATAAGCCGTAATTAACTGATTAAAAAAATTAGGTTCCCGTTTGACCCTTATGTTTGTGTGCGGGTATCTCAAGATTGGCTGAACCAACTTAAATGCGGTTTTCAAAAAAAGTATTTTAAATTTTAATGTGTACAATTTAAAATTTGTAATTATTGTATACTTGGCTGTAAATTCAAGAGACTGATTTAATCTGTGATAAGTATATATATTTTTGGGCAGTGTATCCCATGTAGGTAGTAGATTTTTTTTTCTTCCTTTGGCAGTAAGTATTAGATATTCAGAAATACCTAGCGTCACCGACGGACTGACTGACAGACTATTATTTATTATGTATTTGTTGACGTTTCAAAACTACCAAATTATGGTTTAATTGAAATAAATTCTTATATTTAGAATATTTTTATATGAAAAATACGATATCATACGGCAAGATAATTTGTATAAGTATCACATATTTTTTTTATATTAATGGGTAAATTTGGTACCTATTTATTCTACACTTAAAAATACAATAATAATGTAGCGAGTAAAAAACATTATGTAGATGTCGAATGATTTCGCATTCTCATTGTCTCTGCCGTGCCCTACCATTGCCTACCGCAATGGGAGATACGCTTAATCATAATATGTAGATATATACATTTGAGAGCAAAGAAACGGAGCCACTACCATTTTTCCATATTTTTTTTGTTCATTTTGCTTCAAAATAATCAATTGACAACAAAATGCTCTCTTTGTAAAGTTAACTAAATTGCCTTTTATACGACATACGTCACCATTTAATAAAATAATCAATTGACAACAAAATGCTCTCATTGTAAAGGTAACTAAATTACTTTGTATACGACATACGTCACCAATTAATGAAATACTTGAATCAGAAAATATTTATCAAGAAATGTGGATGAGAAAATTGCTAGTGGCTCCATTTTTTTGCGCCCAAGTGTAATATACACATTGACAGATGTGTTTGTCCACACTAAAAAGAAAAAGGCTAGTTTTCTGAATTTTATTTTAAAACATTAGACACGTATTTTTTCTTTTCTCACAAAATTAAATGCTTTCGACGATATATTGATTTGAAATGTCGCGTGACGTCACAGCGTGCAACAAAATGTAGCACGTTGTGACGTAACTACCTCCCACTCTTAAACTTAACTCCATTTTATCTAAGTAATAGCTTCTGCCCGCGACTTCGTACGCGTATCCGTCCCATTTTTTCCCGTCCCCGTTCGTTATTTTCGGTAAAAAGTAAAAAAAATGGTTAAAAAGTATCCTATGTCGGTCCCCTGGCTCTAAGCTACCTCCCTACCAATTTTCAGCCAAACCTATTCTGCCGTTCTTGAGTTATAAATGGTGTAACTAACACGACTTTCTTTTAGATATATAGATTTTAATACGTTATACGAGAAAATAAAAATACGTATCTAATATTTTTTCATTATCTAACTGACGGACTAATTGGATTTTTAATTTTCTTACCCTGGATGGAAACTACCCAATTATTAAACGTAATAAAATTGACTGTGTTAAAAAAATCATTTTTTTTTGTAACTGACAAAAAAACTATGATAAAGTATTTTACAACTAGTCAAATTTCATCAACAACCTATAGGTAGTAGGCCATTGTAGATCAAAGGCCTCTTCTCACACGGAAAACACAATGTATCTTCTATTATGTCTCATATCGGTGCATTCAAAAGGTTAATCGCCACGCTTGCTCAATGCGGTTTGACGATTATCTTTATATATATAATTCTTCTGTGAGTGTGTATGTCACTGAACTTCTCTCAAACGACTGCACCGATTTTGATGAAATTTTTTGTGTGTGTTCAAGGGGATCTGGGAATGGTTTAGATTCACAAACCAGCACGGCAGATGGCGCTGCAGTCGATGTTTAGGTTATTTATCCTAAACAGCTGAACTAATTTGAATGAATTTTTGTTTATACATTCAAGTGGATATGCAGGACAACTGTTGGGTCCGCTAGTAAACTTATAATTATAGAAATTATAAAGTCAAATTCAATACTTTTATTGAAATGTGAAAAGCTATTTTTCATTTATTTTTTACTATTTACGAGACCACAGGGTCCCGGTCATTTGGGAGGCGTACGAGGGGCCGAAGCCATCTGCTCAGAGGCCCTTTAACAACTTAATATAAATGTAATGGAGACACAAACCGGCGACTATCCCTGTATGCACTATGGAAATGCACCCAAGGACAGTCCCCGGTTAGTGTAGGACTATTGCAGGCTATGGATGGGTTGCTCGATCTCCGGCCACCGTAAGCGCAGACCTGCGGACGGCGAACATGGGTGGCTCCCCGTCCGACCAGAAACAGACCTGAGTGTACGGCGCGTCGCGTTCCGCGCGCGCCTTAAAGAGCCATCAGACCACCACAGATGGGGCCCAATAGGGCCGATGCCGATTCGGACTCGCGGAGAACCTAACGGGTAATCGGGGCCCCGGCTCGACGTGCAGGAGAAGGAACGGGGTGGTTTGGTGATTGGTGGTTTACAGTCAGTAAGAGTCCGACACTCCCTTCCGCCTCACCCAGGCGGGAGCAGTCATTCGATGATTTTCCCGGTTGATGTGAACTGGTAAATTGGAAACTATGGATGAGTATGGCACCTGCCGAAACAATCTAATTATTACACGTAAAAATGGCAGGCCATAAATATTTTTCATTTACTATTATGGTTTCGGCTTACGTAACTCTTCGACTAATTTCAAGCCATGCTAGAGGCTCATACTCATGTGCAACATTCCGCGACACGACGCGGTGAAATTTAGTTTGTCTCACGAAAATTATAATACAAACATACTTTTCTATAATTTTTTGTATGAATTATTGTTAAGCGTTATTAAGGTTTTTTATGTTTGCTGCAATCAATATAATACTTGTATCAGAAATTAAAGTCAAAAAATGAAAAACAAAAAACGCTAGTGGCTCCGTTACTTTGATCCCAAGTGTATTATGTAATACGACTTTGTTTCATATCAAATAATAACAAAAAAGTTAGAAATTTAATTTAGAAATATCGTAAAATTTTCAATATAATATCGATGAAAACTTTTATTTACATCGATTTTTAGGATGCGTCGGTTGCTGTGTATTATTTTTTATATTTGTTATGTTGAATGCAAGTTATGGCCGAGAGGGGTTGTGCATTATGCTATTAATAAAAAGGATTATGGTAAGTACGTACTAACGTACCCAGTGGTAATTACAGGATGGCAGGCTGAATGCCACGGGCCCCCAGCTGGAAGGGGCCACGTTCAAAGGTTCTTGTATGAACTTATGTTTTTATTGGGAACGAGGGCCCGATTGGTGAATTTGGCACGGGCCCCGAACGGCACAGTTACGCCATTGTAACTACCCATTTACATAATTTAAGCCTTTGACTGTCGACAGAAAACTGCTGAAGGCAAATCCTCCGCTAACGTAGGTCACCGGTGACCTACGCGGCGGTTAACGTGATAAGATTCCTTTGGAGAGATCATCACTGTCAGAGTGTCAGTCTGTAAGTGTCTACTGCTGAGTAAAGGCCTCTTCTTACAAGGAGAGGTAATGACCATCAATGCCATGCTTGCTCTCTTGCTCGTGGCGGATTGGCGATTCCTTAACTTCCTTCCTACCTTTTTTGTCAGAATTTTTTATTAGAATTTCATCTCTATCGTTTAATTAGAAAATCGAAAATCTAATGACAAAAATTGACACAGGTTGGTAGGTTGATGTGTATACACCGTACATACATACATACATACACAGTGTAGCCACTGTACCTATGTATGTCGCGGAGAACCTAACGGATAACCGGGGCTCCGGCTCGACGTGCAGGAGAAGGAACGGGGTGGTTTTTAGTCAGTAAGAGTCTGACACTCCCTTCCGCCTCACCCAGGTGGGAGCAGTCATTCGATGATTTTCCCCCCTTAAAAAAAAAAAAAAATACCTATGTACCTATGTATGTATGTACAGACCACGGTGTATAGACCACGCTGGGCCGCTGGACTCTCAATTCGGGGCCCTTTTTGAATGTTTCTTTTTTTTACGTTGTCCCACACTAGGATTTTCTTCTGTATCGTGGGTGCGTTTACAAACATTCAAGTTCATATACACATGATACCCAGACCTAACAACAATTTGTGGATCACACAATGATTTGCTCCGTCCGGGAAACGAACCCACTACAAGTTGCGCGGCGCTACGCAATGTTTGGCTGGTGTGTGTCAGTCGTTCAGGCCCGAACGCCCTTATGGTACAGAAGGTACTGCCTATGTAAAGGTATGTTTAAGTGTGGGAGAGCCATGCTTCGGCACGAATGGGCCGGCTCGACCGAAGTGATATCACGGCGTCACAGAAAACCGACGTGAAGCAACGCTTGCGTTGTGTTTCGTCGTGTAAGTGGGGTTACCGGAGGCCCAATTACCCTCCCCTTCCCCAATTCCTGAATTCCCAATGATCCTCAAACTCTTAATCCCCAAAAGGCCGGTAACGCACTTGTAACGCCTCTGGTGTTCCAGGTGTCCATGGGCGACGCCGATTGCTTACCATCAAGTGATCCGTGTGCTCGTTTACCGGCTTATGCCATAAAAAAATTAATGTTTACCTATGTAGGCAGTACCTGTGAAGTGGAATATTGCAACTAAATTTTGAAGCAGATATCTTCAACCGATTGAGCTGAAATTTTGTATATTTACACGTTTATAAAAACTATTTTTTAAAAAATGTTTTTGTGGTTTTTATAATAACTATCGTATGACATTAAATTAACTAAAAATCACGAGTTACTCACGTGAATATACTGAGAAAAGCTCTACTAGTTTCGAGCCACAGAGGGTCTTCCTCATGAGCAGCGTGCGCGGTCGCGGCGACGTCGCGCAGACTACTGACACGAGTAGGCTAGAAACTAATAGAGCTTTTCTCAGTATATTCACGTGAGTAACTCGTGATTTTTACTTAATTTAGATTTCTTTATTTGTCCTCGTATTTTAGATCCTCATTCCCGAGATATAATAGCGAGTACGTTTGAGCAGCTCGAGCGAGAGGTTTGCGTGAAATTCTTCAATACTCCGCTAAACTTTAACGCTACAAACGATGACAAAATATTATATATTTCCAACCCTGATAAGAGGAAGGATTGTCCCCCAGTAGACTATAATTATGATAAAAATATTGTGGTAAGTATCTAGTCTTTCTTAAGTACGTACAGCTTGGCAAAAAAGAGTTTGTAATAGTAGAGGTCGCTAGTATCGTACCTGTGGCAACCTGGTTGCAACTACGACTCAACCGGTTTATTTATTTAAGGACAACCAACAAAGCATACCTACACCAAAATAAGTACATGATAGGTTTTTTAACATATTTTAACACTCTATAGTGTAGCTTTAATTAAAGGCTGCCACGACATGCAATAACTATAAAAGAACAGGATATTACAACAAAAAAAAAAACAAAAAGTTCGCTTATCAAAAAAAAAGACATCCTGTTCCAACACAATTGTTAAATTTAAATTATTACTTCTTTTTAATTTTTAAACTGTAAAATTTTGATTTGAATATGTAGTGCATATAGTGCAGTTTAACTCTGTGATATTGTCCTACGCAGGACAGCTTTCACTATAGATATTTGTGATTTTTATCGAGTTTAAAAAGAGGAGGTACTATGTTCGGATGATTGTTTATTCATGGGATGTGGTCCGAAGTGGGCAAGTGGGTGCCCATCATTATGATTCAGTACCAAGTCAATATAAATTCCAGCTTCAAACTCTTTTTTGCCAAGTTGTGGGTAAGAAGGCATATGTATAATTATACTACCTGAGCCCGCGATTTTCTCCTGTATCGTGGGTGCATTTACAAACACACATGTACATGAAACCCAGACCCGAAACAACAATTTGTGGATCACACAAACATTTGCTCCTTACGGGAATGTAAACCGCTACACGTTGCGGGGCAGCCAGTGGCTTTATGGTAAAGACGGTACTGTAGGCAAGTGCCAGGCGCCAGGTCGCAGAGAGGCACCGCGAGACGCCGAGACGCGCGTAGAGTGGCGACGGGCGCCAAGAAAACGGGATGCCTACAGGTGCTTACCTTGGGCGCTGTCTAGATTCAATCCGCCACTGAATACTACTCGCTTAACAGTGCACAAAAGATGTTAATTCAAGAGGGCAGTGAATAGGTTTTTTAAGGGTCGGCAAGACGCATGTAATGCCCCAAGTGTTGCAGGCGTACATAGGCCACGGTAACCGCTCACCATCAGGTGGGCCGTGTGCTTTTTTGTCACCGTCGTGGTATAAAAAAAAAGTGAAAAGTTATATGAATTAGTAACTATTAGGTACATAAAAAAAAAATCTTTGCTCCACATAAGGATTTTCTCCTGTGTCGTGGGTGCATACAAGTTCACATACACAATGACACCCAGACCCGAAACAACAGTTTGTGGATCGCACGAAGTGCCATCGCACCAACCGTGCAGTCAATAAAATCAATTAATTATTCACAAATTCTTGTATATTTGTCAGGATATGCAAATCGGTTACAAGTGTTTGAACGAGCACGATATAGCTCGCATTGTTCTGGACATGCTGCGAGCGAGCGTCGTCAAAACAGGTCAGTCAATTTAAATTTTTATTTAGCTTGCTTAGTTTATTTGGGTGAAAAGTAATTAGAATTTCAACCCCTTCCTGATGACAGATCAGGGTGCGTAATCTTGAAACCAATCTCAATGTCAATCCAATGAAATCTTAATAATTATCCAATGTCAAAACTATACAACCACAATCGTAGCTGTTACAATAGCATTCAGAGTACGGAATATAAAGCCAAACTCAATACCATTTACTTCATACAATATCCACGCAATACGGATGCAATGGGCGCTAGTGTTGCAACTCGAGAGTAAAATATTTCACAATACCAATGTCGATCGATTGGAATTGGATTCAAGAGTACTTAAGCATCCTGGTATTTAGTGCAGACGCTTAATCTTGATGACCATTTAATATTATTCGTTTTTCCACAACTTATAGGTATCAAATGAAAGGGCTTGATAAGTAGAATAGAGCTGCTTAAAATTATTCAACATTAAAATGTTATAAGTAGTATTACTTGAGCACAATTATCGTCATTTAAGTAAAAAACAATGATTAAATCAATAGGGATGATGACGAGGTATGAAAATTAAAAATCAAATTAATCCGTAAGTTAGGTACGTGAAAAAATATTAGACACGTATTTTTTATTTTGTAATATAATAAACAATATTTTAAGAGTGCTAAAACGTCATTTCTACGTATAAAATGTAGGTAGGTACATATAAGTGACGTCACGCGACATTTCAAATTAATATATCGTCGAAAATATTCGTTTCTGTAAGAAAATAAAAAAGACGTGTCTAATGATTTAAAATAATCTACCAGACGGACATTAAAATAAAAATTACACATCTACCCTATTACTTATTTCATTTGTTTTTCACAGAAAAACCTAATAGCAACGATTTATTACGAAGATTCCAAGAAGTGGTAACTATATCTACGTAAAATTACATAATAATTTATACATACATACATAACATCACGCCTTTTATCCCTGAAGGGGTAGGCAGAGGTGTACATTATGCCACTACATGCGATTTATTACATACAATATGCTATTACATGGGACTCATAACATAAATAGTGAAAAGCGGGTGTTACATAATAATTTATTTACAACTTCCTCGTTGGCCGAGTGGTCGCAAATACCGGGCAAGGGGTATCGGTTTCAATGCCAGAGTCGGGCAGTGTTACTGGGGTTTTTAAACTTTCTCAGTAGTAGCACGGAGTCTGGAATTGTGCCCGGTATCCTTACTAATATTATAAATTTGAAAGTGAGTTTGTTTGTTTGTTCCACTTTAACGCCGGAACTACTAAACCGATCGCTTTGAAATTTTGCAGACGTAAAGTTAGAAGTCCGGATTAAATAATAGGTTACTTTTTATCCCGGTAAAATTTGATATTCCCGAGGGAAAACAAAAGTATTGGTAAAGATGGCGCTGTGTGTATTAGTAGCCACATAGGCTACTTTTTATCTTTTTGTGACGCGAGCAAAGCCGCGGGTAAAAGCTAGTACCTAATAAAAGTCTAATTCCTGGTTTAGAAACAATCCAACGCAGAAACATTGCTGTCGGCGGCCGACAGGAACTTCATAAACGGACATTATTTAGAGGAATGTGAGAATTTGGTCAAGAAACCAGTGGACACCCGTCGGTCCACCACGTGGACGATGGAGGTGTCAGCTAATAACGAAAAATATTACGAAGACAAAATCTGGCCGTTCGGTATTGTTATGTACGGGTGTGATCCAAATATTTGTAAGTAATTTTCTATATATCATTATTATAGAGGATTCGGTGCCCCCCATAGGTGATGATGGTGACCTCCGGGGTGGTTTTAGTGAGGTAAGAATCCCACACTACCTAGTTTTCTATCCCCAAAAAAGCTATGCGCCTTTTGAAGGTTTCAACCCGTTATCAAAAAAAATAAATACATTCATATATTACGTCACAGGAATTTCATGATTCTTGTGCCCGGGGAGGGGCCCCCGTCCTTGTCACAGCTAGTCACATTTGTGAGACCCCCTAGTGTGACGTCACATTTTGCAGAATGCCCCGGTAACCCGTTAGGTTCTCCGCGACTTCGAATCGGCATCAGCCCTGTTGGGCCCCATCCATGGTGGTCTGATGGCTCTTTGAGGCGCGCGCGGAACGCTACGCGCCGTACGCTCGGGTCTGTTTCTGGTCGGGCGGGGAGCCACCCATGCTCGCCGTCCGCAGGCCCGCGCTTACGGTGGCCGGAGATCGTCCCGCGATCCCCGACGCCCGGTGTGTCCTTCGCGATGGCTTGGTTGCGAGGAGGCAGCGTTTCGCTGCCTCACGCGTCCCGCCTCCTCCTTAGCTAGCATGACTGCTTCGCAAAAGGAGGAGACGGTATCCCGGTCCCCGTCGCTCCGTATCATGACCTGCACTAGGCCTGGACGCGAGAGGTCGCCATCGCCGATCACTTCCCTGAGGGCACGGCGGTGCTCAGCCCACGCAGGACATTCTGCTACAGTGTGTTCCACTGTGTCCTCGGGGCGGTCCTCGCAGTGATGACACCCGGGCGTTTCCTCCCGCCCCATCAGACATAGGTACCTCCCGAAACTTCCATGTCCGGTGAGGACCTGCGTCAGGCGGTAGGTGAGGAAAATCTATGTGTATTGGATAGTGCATTTAGCAAGGAAGCGATCAAGTTCTTTTATGTTGTCTAATTATAAGTTTGAAATCGCCAATCCGCATTGACCAAGCGTGGTGATTAATGCTCAAACCTTCGCTGTGTGAGATGAGGCCTTTGGTCAACAGTGGGTTATTATAGGCTGTTGATGAAATGATGAATGTCCCACAGTATCTCTGCCGGAGTACAGCAAATTAAGCTATGCCATGATGGTCATCGAGCTCGCTAGCTGTGTAGTATTCAAGTCTTTTGCGGTGAAGGACCCGCTGCAGCCTAAGAACTTACTCTGGTTCGGTTTACAAGGCGAAGAGATGCCACACCTCGGCTTTATGGAAGGAAACCAGGTCGGTTAATATAATGTTTATACCTACCTACCTAACTAGCAAACCCGGCAAACTCCGTTTCACCACCAGATGGCTTCGTTTTATGTGACATTTCGTTTGGTTAAAAGATGATGCGAAAAAAAATATTTTTCCTGTATTTTCTTAGCTATATACCTTGGAATTATGTAAAATATCCGCTAATTTGTTATACCTATTTTTATTATCTTCTAGTTTTATAATTTAGCTTTTATTTTTTTATTCTCACTCTCTTGTGTTAAACTTTTATATTGTTATTTTATCAAATTGTATTGTATTGTTATTTTTTGCTCCTTGCATTCATGCCGTATGCCGAATAAAACTCTTTTTATTTCATTTCATTTCAATCATTTCATTCAGTTATACATTATATGTAACCTTAAAAACTATGTAGGTACTGTAAGCTTCATCAACATTAACATTACCTACACATAATTCTAAAATAACTTATACAAAGAGAAACAAAAGATAATACGCATCGGTTTCCCATCAGACACTATCTATATCGCACATGGCGTACGGTGCGCCGGGACATTCGGCGCATACTCTGAATGCTCTAATGAGAGTCCTCGGCATCCCAATGATGTCTAACCGGTACGACAGAGATAACTACGTCACCATCAACTGGAAAAATGTTGCCATGAGTGAGTTTTCATACTATCTATTTATGGTCAAAGGTCAAAAGTCCACTGCCACGTAAGATTACTATCGGTTGTTCTGTGGTTGCGCTGCAGCGCTTATACACACACATACACGCATATTTGTATCCGTGTTCGTACGCGTGCGTGTGTTTATGCGTACGGACGCGTTTTTATGCACATTAATATGAAATTACTTACGCATTACCGTGAGAACATCACTCACACTTTTGACATTTGACTGTACATGCTAACTTCTGCCAATGGATTTACTCGCTTTTATGAGATAAGCTGGTAAACGAGTAGACGGATCACCTAATGGTAAGCAATCGGTGCCGCCCATGGACACCCGAAACACCAGACGCGTTACTAAAGTATTGATTTGAAGATTGTTGGGGATTCTGGAGGAGATAATTGAGCCTTTGATAACCTCACTCACACAACGAAATACATGCAAGCGTTGTGTCACGTCAGTTTTCTGGTCGGCCGTGGTATAACTCCGGTCGAGACGGCCTATTCATGTCGAAGCTTATCTCTCTCTCGTTTTGAATCTTAGTTTACATAAACCGGCGTGAAACAACGCTTGCGTTGTGTTTAATAATAATGTGCGTCTATACTGTACACACCTCGTGCGCCGGTCATGGGATTGTGGAATAAAAGACGACACTTTGTAAATAAACACTATTTATTGCACTGTTACTGATTTAGAAAAGTACGATAATCTATACCTACTAAATTAAATTATAAATGTTTGAAAAGCTTTCTTATCCTAGTAATTGATTTTGCACACACTTTTAAAGCGTTCGTAGCGAATTACATGCATAACTTTTTGGACTACAAGAGTTCCACGATTGAAAACGGTTTGCACGAAATTGATAATGTCACTGATAACAGTTTGTTTTGTAGTTATAGTTATTCTACACTTAATTCTACTGAGTCTATACACTATTGTGTCTTTCCACGAACACTCAAACACTTGCACAATTTTACTGTTAATAGAGAAAATGCGTTATCACTAAATTCACTGAGAGTTATCGGTGTTTTGATCGCGGGTTTGCCGAACCGCGATCTTGTTACGGATTTCGGTATACTAGGTCGCGACTTTGCCGATTCGCGACACCGAGGCTAGTTAAGATAACTAGGACAGCTGTCGGGCAGCGGTTGCCCAAACTGCACGAGGTTCCGATAAACTGTGACCGATGATTGCCGACGAACTGTGTCGACGGGCTGTAAAGCTGTTGCTATAGTTACCCCGGACTGTGTGCCGTACGTACGGTGACGACACACCGATCGCATTTTCTGCTCTGTCCAATCCCAGCCCGAGCGAAGGAGAAGTTCTCTCGTCTTGCTTACTTTCGGGCGGGGAGACCTGTTTTGGACAGAACAGAACTGCTTTTTCCGGGGCCTATTTTAATGACATTTTATTTATTTGCTCGTCTCCTACACCATTTTATTACTAATTTAATAAACTACGGTTATAAATGGTGTAGGAAGACGGCGTCGATAGGAAGTACAGCCCGTCGATACGCTAATTATGGAATTTACTTTGGTAAACTATTAATTCGTTAAATTTTTGTGCAAGTGTTTACAATGTTATTCACTATCTTATTATCTAGACTAATGACTACTTATTATCTAGGCTAATGACTACTTATTATCTAGGCCTTAATGTCTTTAATTGTCGTCGTCCTGCACAAATAATGCTAACCTGCAGTGTCTGAACATTACTTGGAGCGAGTCTCGGAGGACGCATGGCTCCGTAACACGGAGGGCGAAGGTGCCCCGTACGACTATGACAGCGTGACGCACGCTCCAGCCAATTTTATGTGTGCGGACTGCTCGTTGGGAGAACAAACTGTGACACCAGTACAGGTAAGGGAACACTAGCTACTGTTAGTGGCTTTGCCTCCGTACCCGTGGGTTGAAAAGTCCATCTACTCCATGTGTTATTTAAACCATAATGTAATGTAATCCTGTTCCTAATTAATTTTATTATTCACATTTATTTATTTCAAATTCTCTATAAATTCCATTTTTAAATAGGTAGGTACTACTTACAAAATAAAAAAAGAATATTTAAAAATATAAAAAATAGGAGCCGACCAGTAGTGGGAGCATGGTCCAAGCTACCGGTGGTTAGGGCTCTAGAGTCAGAAACCTCCTCACGATACGTGCCGTTTTTAGGAGAACTGCCTTCTGTATCAGGCGCTTGATCCATCCAACTAACGCCAGCCTCCTGAGATGGATGGATATATAATAATAATTATTATGTATGTCTTTACTATTCACGGGACCACAGGGTCCCGGTCATTTGGGAGGCGTACGAGGGGCCGAAGCCAACTGCGCAGAGACCCTTTAGACAACTTTAATATAAATGTAACGGACACACAAACCGGCGACTATCCCTGTATGCACTATGGAAATGCACCCAAGGACAGTCCCCGGTTAGTGTAATACTATTGTGGATAATGGAAAAAAAAGATAGGGCTATGGATGGGTTGCTGTGGACTGGAAAATTGGGAACTATGGATGACTATGGCACCTGCCGAAACAATGTAATTATTACACGTAAAAATGGCAGGCGGAGACTCGCCAACTCACCGACCGGGCCCCGGGAATGGCTGCTAGATATAGCAACAGAGGGGCAACGAGAATGTGAGTGGTTGAAGGGTTAAGAAACTACCACCGCTTTCTACTCAGATCATCTGCTCCAGCCGAAGCCTCCTGCATCCCTGGCCCACTCGCGACTTACGAATAGTTTCTTACCCTCCGAGCAGGATCACTGCTCTCGCGACTCCACTCTGGACGGCCAATGAAGGCAAGCCAGAGGTGGGAGACCTGTTCCTTGTCATCTTTCACTCCAGCCAGCCAATTAAGGCAAGCCGGAGAAGAAGGAACGGTGACTTCTCCCTGGAGCACTCGGGATGATGGTAGCCCGCGGGATCGCTAATGCCCGTCACCTCGCCTCAAGGTGCCCTGCGGGCTTATTTATTATTCAATCCGGTCCCTTCAGCGGTTCGACGCGATAGTGTAACAAACATACCACGCTTGCTCGATTGGGTTGGCGATTTCAAACTTATAATGAGAAATTGTACCCAACCGTATAAAAACGTACCTACATAACTGCTGATGGTAAGCAATCGGAGCCACTCAAGACTAGCTGCTTTCGCGCGGTTTCACCCGTTATGACGTCCGTTCTATTGATCGTAGCGTCTAGTTTTTTAGCCTATAACTTTTCTCTATAAATGTGTTATCCAGCTAAAGACTTTTTCAAATCCTGTAAGACCCGTAGTTCCTGAGATTAGTGCGCTCAAACAAACAAACAACGAAACAAACTCTTCAGTTTTATATAATAGTATATACCTTAATTTTTGAACTGGGGAAGGGGGTAATTGGGCCCCCGGTAACCTCACTCACACGACGAAACACAACGCAAGCTATGATAAACTTCTGTTTTCTGTGAGGCCGTGGTATCACTCCGGTTGAGCCGGCCCATTCGTGCCGAAGCATGGCTCTCCCACACTTTTATATCCTTACTAATATTATAAATCGGAAAGTGAGTTTGTTTGTTCCGATTTCACGCAGTAACTACTAAACCGATTGCATTGAATTTTTGTAGACGTAAAGTTAGTAGTGTGGATTAAATAATAGGGTACTTTTTATCTTGAGGAAAACAAAAGTATTGATATTCCCGAGGAAAACAAAAGTATTGGTATAGATGGCGCTGTATGTATTAGTATATGTCACATAGGCTACTTTTTATCCTTTTGTGACACGAGCGAATCCGCGGGTAAAAGCTAGTAATCAATATTTTGTTAACAGGACCATCTGTGGCAACGGACTCTGTCTATGGGCCATCACACAGAACTGAGCGCCGTCGACAAGGAAACTATAGCACTACTGTACAATAAAGAGTGTCAAAAACGTATCGCGTCTGATTATAAGAAATAAACACTTTGTTTCAAATTATTAGTCGTTTTATTTATGCGGCAACATACAGGGGCGGATTCAACCTAAAGAGCCTAGGGAAGCATGAAGCACCCCATATACAAGTGTTGTTTTAAAGCCGCGTCATTTTCTAGGAGGTAACTCGGCTATCGATTCTGACTCCGAATCAATAAAAAAAATATTGTATGGAAATATTTTTCATTTTTCTGTAAATTACGGAAATCCGTAAGTGCGAACTACACGCCGCCGTCTTGTAACTAGCTTTATAACGCGGCTTAACACACACAAACTCAAACACGTAATTGATATTATTCCTAATTCCATAAAAGTCCAATAAGAAACATTGCTGTCGCTTATTCTGAAATACTATCGAACTTAAACGATTTATTATAGCCGTATTTTTAACTATTGGCCCGAAATTTTCTCTTACATTGAACCTTTATGACTTCTGTGACATACCCCCGAGAAATGACACGGTTTCAAAACTACACCTTGTATAGGCACCCCTTTATTTTGGTACTGCCGTCACTCCTCAACTCTCTGGGCAGTTGGGCACACGAACCCTCTGTAACCTGGCGCCCGGCACTTGTCTAGTGTTCTTTTAAACTAAGAACTCACGGCACGATTTGCTCCCGTGCCCGTCGTGGTGGCGGAATGGAAGCGGAACTTTTTAAATAACTATCGTGGGAGATACTAAATTATTAACTAAAAATCGCGGGTTACTCACGTAAATGTACTGTGAAACGCTAGCCAGTAGGTTGCGCGATATCGCCGCGATCGCGCAAGCTGCTCATGAGGAAGAACCACTCAGTCAAAAGTCAAAGTCAAAATCATTTATTTCAATTAGACCAGAAAAGTCCTTTTGAACGTCAACAATAAAATTAAAAGTGAAGCGATTTGCTTATTCCAAGGTGTAGATTCCTATAGAGGAGATCGAGCAAGAAACTCCATAGGTTACTCTTTTTCAATCAGGTTCACAATACAATTCTCTAGTTACATAGTTTACTGTTTGGATTGTGCGAGAACAATGTAACATTAAAATCTAGTCAAAATCTCTGTGGAGGTGGACTTTTTAAAACTCACGAGATCACAGTTTTCTGCGATCCCGTAGCCGCCGCAGTCGCGATTATCGCCCGCAAACTTGGCAGTTGATTATCGCAAGACGGGCGGGCGGTTAAACTATCAGTCGGTTTCGAGCCAGTCCACACGGCGCGTTGCGTCGTCGCAACGCAAATATTTTGACGCACAGCCGGCCACACAGGCGCTCCGTCGTCGCAGCGTTACTACGACGCAGTCTCAACGTTCGGCCGACGCAGCGGTGACGCACAGTTGCGGCAAGCATTTTTGTAAAAACATCGCATTCAGAATCAATGTATCTAATGAAGTAATCCATATCAATTTCTTCAATGGTATTCATTTTACCCTGCACAAAACTGAATACAAAAGTACGTATGTAAAACCTCGGTTATTTCTATGTAAAACAACGCAACGGCAGCGCTGCGTCGACGCAACGCTGACGCAACGCACCGTGTGGACTCGCACTTCCAGACCGGCCGTCCTATTGCGATCGCCCGCCAACCGATCGCAGAGTGTGCGGGTGCTACCCGCCGCGGGCGTAAAACGCGCCGCGAAAATTGCCTTGATTTTTTTCAAACATTTGTTTTCTAGGGCCCACAACCGCGGCAGGCCTTATGCATGTGTTCGAGGCTTTGAAGCCGGGCCTCCACAAGCTCAACATGTTTGATGAGCCTCTTGTCACGCCTCTCAATGTGCTCTAATGCGTCCAGCTGATATTAATAGCTTATTTTATTCTAAACTTTATTGTACCTAACTGCCGGGCAAGGGGTCGCGGGTTCTATTCCCGGGTCGGGCAAAGTATTACTGGGTTTTTAAAAAGTTCTCAGTACTTAGTAGCACGGAGTCTGGAATTGTGCCCGGTATATGGCAATAGGTTCACCTCCTATTACATGGGACTCATAACATAAATAGTGAAAAGTGGGTGTTACATTGGACAATGGTATAATGTGCACCTCTGCGTAGGCAGATCCCCGAAGGGGTAGCCCTTTGGGGATAAAAGGCGTACCATAAAAACAAAGACAAAAATAAAAAAATGTGTATGGGTGGTCTTATCGCAGAATGCGATTTCTTACAGACCTTTAAATGGAGCCAAAAAGAAAGAAAAATTTATTTGTCAGAATGTAGTTACAATCGGTGTTTTATCTTAATTAATGTCTCATACATTCTACTGAATCGGTATACAAGCAACTGTCTAGGTAGTCAGCACCACATATTGCACACACACACCTTTTCTGTGCTCTGAATGTTTGGATCAAATCCAGCAGCCAGTAATCAGGAGTTGGAAAAAAGGAGGTCGTCCAGTACCTTGATATTTGTTCAATCATAAGCAGGGCCGCGCCGCCCCTGTGTGCGAAGTGTGCGGCGCACACAGGCGCCAAGACAATAGGGGCGCCGTGTCGCGCCACCACCTCTACTTGAATTATTTTTGTTACCTTAATTATTATATTTTTGGTAGTAGAGTATCGATAAGTAAGTAGGTACAATAGGCGCAACATAGGCCTTGTATACAACAAAACTTATATTACGCTTATTAAACAAGTTTCTCAATATTTATGTTTATTATTAATCACGTTTATGGTATCATTTTACACTTAGGGTTTTAGTTTACATTACTTACGAGTTACCAAGATCAACGTTAAAACGGCGGCAGATCTTTTGAACCACAGATAAAATAGGTACCTACTAGTTATATTGAATCATAAAGGCGCCGACTTTGTATGAGTAAGTATGAGTGAGTTTGTGAACGCAACCCGATGCGATGCGTGCGAGGCTATAGGAGTAGGGTCACAGGGATTCCCCGATTTTAACGAACGAGAGAGTCAAGCTAAAACAAAACAATTGAACAATCATTTGATTGAAAGTGTGTGTAAGGTGTGCATTGAACTTTGTACTGACTTTAAAAAAAGGAGGAGGTAATTCCCCTTGGTTTCCCTAGGATCCCATCATCAGATTCTGAGCTCATGGAAATGGGACCATTTCGAGAGTATACCCTTTTAAACAAAATAAGATTTTTGGAAATCGGTGTACAAATGGCGGAGTAATGTGCGAACAAACAAAAAAAATCAATCAGCCGAACATAGCACCTCCTGCTTTTTTGAAGTCGGTAAAAAAGAGGCGCTCCATCGATTCCGCACACAGGCGCTGACGGGGGTCGGCGCGGCCCTGATCATAAGATTTGCTGGAACAATCCTAACAATGTTTTTGCCCGAACTGGAGAACTCTTACTCGATCTTCGAACTTCCAACCATTCATTCTTCCATCATAATAACGTGTGAGAAGAGGCTTTGCTCAGCAGTGGGTATTTATAGATGATGATGATCATAATTTGACTGCACGGTTTCTGCGGTGGTTGGGCAACCGACTGCCGCGCAACGTGTCGCGGGTTCGATTCCCGAACGGAACAACTCTTTGTGTAATCCATAAATTGTTGTTCCGGGTCTGGGTGTCATGTGTGAACTTCTATGTTTGTAAACGTACACACGACACAGGAGAAATAATAGATTAGGGCAATCTTTTAAAAAAAAGAATACGTACTAAAAATTCATTCATAAACTACGTTTAAAATAACAGACTTCAACCTCTTTTTTGAAGTCTGTTAATTAATACATTAAAACCTCCTAAGTGTAACAACGACTATCCTGTAAACCGCATCGGAATAGGTGTAGCCTTCACGAGATAAACGCGCATAAACATACATAGATACATACATTTTTTTTTAAGGGGGGAAAATCATCGAATGACTGCTCCCGCCTGGGTGGGGCGGGAGCGAGTGTCAGACTCTTACTGACTACAAACCACCCCGTTCCTTCTCCTGCACGTCGAGCCGGAGCCCCGGTTACCCGTTAGGTTCTCCGCGACAGATACATACATATACTTTGTTCTTGTTGAAGTTGGTTAAAAAAACATCATTTCGAATAGACATATTTATTATGTTAGCATTTAGCTACATGATACTTACTACATTGTACAGGTAGGTATTTTACATTATCACAATATTTTCAAAACTACTACTACTACTACTACTACTCAACACATCAGCCTTTAAACAATACAGATACAGCCAAAATACAGGGCGCGACAACTTTAATGAACATTAAATTTACAGTAGGTGGAGCTTGGCAAAAAGAGTTCGACGCGGTGACAGCTGGTACTAATATAGACTTAGACTGAATCACCCACTTCGGACCACATCCCATGAATAAACAATCATCCGAACACAGTACCTCCTCTTTTTAAACTCGATAAAAATAACAAATATCAAAACCGGTTGAGTCGTAGTGTACCAGGTTGCCACAGGTACGATACTAGCGACCTCTATTGTTCCAAACTCTTTTTTGTCAAGCTGTTTAAATATATACATTTTTATCAGAGCCGTGTGGTAACGGCAGGGTAGAATACATCTGTCACCCATACTATTTCCGTGGGTATAATACATAATTATAGTTAGACATAAGACAACAATATTATACTATTTACATGTAAAAATGAACCAACTCATTACTTAGACCAAGATCGACGTGAGATGTTCACAAACAAGCCATAAGTATTGTATTTGTCCGTGTATATGTACCCGCTACGTCCGTCCCACTCCCGCCCTCTCTCTCACTCTATTTACTGACAGTTCTGAGTGATGACACAACTATACATGCACACAAACTGCTATTTGCTGCGGACAGATGTACTCGCACCTTTGTGGCTTGTTTATGAACATTTCAGTCGTACTGACCAGCAGGCATCCTCTTGTATCTAATCTCAATGTCACTTTTAATCGAATTCAATACAATCTCAATAATTATTCTATGTCAACACTACAACACCAATTGTTACTGAAGCATTCAGAGTACGGAATATAAAGCCAAACTTGATACCATTTAGTTCATTCAATATCCACGCAATACGGATGCAATGAGCCCCCAGAGCACTAATAAAGTGTTTTGTAAAATATTCACAACATTATTTATTGGCAGTGCAAAGTTTTACCTGTTCACACATGTAGCGTATCTAACGCTATAGCGCATTGTCGGCTTTATGAGATAGATAGATAGATAGCTTCATTAATTTACCTGAAATATGGTGGTTTACAGATTTTATAGCATAACAATAGATCGTGAGAGAGAACATGTAGGTAAGTACTGCATACTGAGTCCATGTTCACACTAGGACAGATAGTGAGCATATTCAAAGTTAGCGGCCGACAATACGTTTTGATGTGAACTGTGCCTAAGATAAATTAGTACCAGCCCGGTAGACATCTTTAAGTTTAAAAACTCATAAGGTTTTTTTGAAGGCTGAAATCACATCATGTCTGTGTAAACAACTAAAAACTATATACATTTAAGTCTGATTTAACACATAATTATGACTCCATGGTATTCGAGCTACATCTTTACAAGACAATATATGTTTTTTGTAAATTTCATTAGTTTCGGCAAGAAAATTACAAGAGTCACATGGCAAAATTACCGCCTTTTTACATTTTTGACATTTCTCGCTAGAGTTGTCCGTACTATCGTTTTCGGTTTTTGAATTATCACACTCGCAACGTTTTAGTCGATTTTCTTCGTCCATCACTTTGGTTTTGCAATCAATTTCCTTTTCTTCATTATCTGTAATCTCTTCTTTGACATCTGTCATAGAAATGGCGGGAATCGGACTATCACCTATTTTTATACGTTTACTGCTCTTGCATTGTTTAAAAAAATCGTCTAATTTTCCACGAACGCTATCTATTACTATGTTTTTTGAATTTTCGACTGATTTTAGTTCATTACTTAAGTTAAAGTCATTTTTAAATTGTTCAGGTCTTATTTTACGGACAGTTATTAATTTATTTACATTGTTTGTCTTCTTATTAGTTAAACTGGCATCGCTTATTTCAGTTATTGAGTTATTACTATTAACAGAAGTACAACCCAAGTCTATATTACATTTAGCATCTACACTATTATTTGAATTAGCATTTTCAGCATTATTCTTATCATTTTCTCGTACAGTAACCTCACATGGAGAATTTAAGTCTGGTTCCTTGTTGTTATTAGAAACCTCAGTAGTGACTGCGTATTCTTCTTTTATTTTCGGTTTTACATCAACAGGAATTGATGTATCATCAATGTTTTCAGTTTTTTGTATTATTCCACTATTGGATTGTACAAGACTTTCTTTTTTCACTTCAGTTGCGGCATCTTGTTCACGTTTAACCAAAGTTTCAACCGGTATATCCATATTTTCGAGATTTTTCAGTATTTCTTCTTCATTGAAACTTAAATCTGATATTTCTCCTTCGCTTTCAGACAATTTTATAACAGGCTCGTCAGTAATTTCATTTTTTGGATTATCAATATGTTTAATACATTTATTCTTTATATTGCCTAGTACATTTTCGAGCTTTAATTTTTTCTTCACGAACTTTTCGTCTGTTGTGTTATCAGTCGTTTTAATTTGTTCGATCTTATTTTCTATATTGTCGTTTGGCGGGTTGATGAACATTTTACGTTTTTTATTTCCTGTTTTCTCTGTTGGTGGTTCTGGTGATATCATGATTATTGCATCTGAAATGAAATAAAAAACAGATTAATTTCAATTACCGTAAACCCATGGGGTTTTTTTTAAGGGGGGATCATCGAATCCGAGCTCCCTCTCGGGTGTGGCGGGAGGGAGTGTCAGACTCTTACTGACTAAAAACCACCCCGTTCCTTCTCCTGCACGTCGAGCCGGAGTCCCAGTAACCCGTTAGGTTCTCCGCAACAAATCTATGGGGCTGAGTAGGAATTTTTAGTCCGCTGCAGCCTCCGCCCCTGCCCCCTCCGAAACCGTGTACCTCCTGTGCCCCAGGATCTACACTAGATACAACCATGCAAACACCGAAACACTGAAGTCCGGCGCGTCCCAGGAACATGAATAACTGTCTTGGTTCCCGCAACGAAATAAATCGAAAGATATTAATAGAGAAGCAAAAAACGAATGGTCTCACTTCCTTCGATGTTTCATAATGCAGGACACAGAATGACTTATACCTTTCAACTTCAACAGCTTATAAGTTGTCACTGCTGACCAAAGGCCTCTTCTTACACGGAGAATGTTTAAACAGTAATCACCACGATTGTTCAATAGGGGTTGGCGATTTCAAACTTATAATTAGGACCTACCACTTTCACACGTCAATCTTGACTGGATCTGACTACTCTGAGAAGAAACGCCGAAACAAACTCTTCTAAAAACTGATTCTGTGGTCTTTTGAGGAAAGATCTAAACAGTTTGAGCGGACCTGTTCTGTCTAAATAGTGTAGTGTGTGTACCTCGCCCTATAAATAAGTAGCGTAAGATAGATATTAAAACACTTAATTAAAGTTATTCATAACAGTAACACGTCTCCCTCATTGCTTCACATTGCAATAGTCTTAAGTACTTATGCCTTTAAAAATTACCTTCAGAATAGCCGCCATCGGGAGGATCCTCCCACCATACTGGACTGGGGCACGTGAGGATCTCCATGAAGTCCTCATCGCTCAAACTCCTAGACTCCTCCATGATGCGCACCATCTCCTGCACGGTTGGCTCTGGACTGGATGACCGAGTTGCTCGAGTCTTTCGAGACTTTAAAAGTGAATGCGATGCAGTTGACAAGAGTGTAGGTGACTTTATACCTGTAATAAGATTTTTATTTTCTTTTGCATTCTAATTTTACGTCCTGCGTCTGCGGGGACAAACTAATGGATCATGTGAAAACCCGACTTATTGGAGGAGGCAAGAATTATACTATTACCTTTCTGTGGCGTGGCCAACTTTCTTTTATTTGTACTAGCGATCACTGTAAAATTATGTTTCGGTTTTAACCTGATCTTCTTGGCGGCAACATCTCTTTTTAACTTATCCGGATAGTACTCTACTTGCTCAATAACATCATCAGGAATTTTAATAGGCTCAGGTAGAGTCTTTTTCGGACATTTATCGGTTTTTAGGTTAGTCGATTTTATTTGTTGTTTAGTAAGTTCCGGTTTTTCGATTTTCTTTTCTTTGTTTTTAAGTTGACGTCTTTGCTGCGCTGATTTTGTTCGTGTGACTATCGGCTCAACTTTGGATCGAGTTGGTACTTTACGTGAAGTTTTTGATGACATTCTGTAAAATGAGATAATTATAAATTAGTTATTTATTAAAATTATTAGTTGCAATTAAAACACATGGCTACGTATAACATGTCCTGGATTGGGACGTACAAAAGTACGCAGCCAGAAATCGTATACCGTTGTGCGGCAACTAAAAATAGGGTCGCCTCAATTGATATGTACATTTTTTTAACGCTTTGGTACATTTTTTTATTGGGACAAGCCTTCCACAACCTCCCAAAACCGCTGCAACTCCTGTAAGCCAGGATCTACAGTAGATACAACCATGAAAACACCGGAACACTGAAGTCCGGCGCGTCTTAGGGACATGAATAACTTTTATTTATTGGGACAAGCTCGCCACAACCTCCCAAAACCGCTGCAACTCCTGCGCCCCAGGACCTACAGAACAATTTGCTTTTAAAGTTGCCGTGGCCACTAAGAAATTGGGCAACACAGTGATACACCTCCAACCATGTCCTCTCCAGCCGCTCATGCACGGATGGGAAGAACTGATAAAGGTGGTGGCCCGTAACTCTTCTGAGTACCGTCATTATAGACACAATTAAAGAATAGGTTGCGGTCACCGGTGTCCTCGCGGTGTTTGACAGTTTATGACATAACATACATAACATAACATCACGCCTTTTATCCTCGAAGGGGTAGGCAGAGGTGCACATTATGCCAGTGTACAATGTAACACCCACTTTTCACTACTTATGTTATGAGTCTCATGTAATAGAGGGTGAGCCTATTGCCATATACCGGGCACAATTCCATACTACGTGCTACTACTGAGATTTTTCAAAAACCATAAAGACTGTTAAAAAAATACAATTTCAACTACCACTAGAAATAGATAATTAATAATTAATTAGTAACAAAATACTTTTAGCAATTTACAGTATACAGCTTTGCAAAAAAAGTTTGGAGTTATTGATTTGGACTGAATCACTTTGGACCATATTTATTTATTTGTTTATATATATATATATATTCATTTATTTATTTATTATAATAGAATGTGGTATGCAACAAAAAGCCAATTACTGGTTTCCACAGTTAGTAACAGAGAGTAGAAACATGCCAACACACTACATAGTAGAGTTACTTAAAAATAACAAATTACTTATTAAACTCATTAAACCACAGGCAATCTATAATGATGCACAAATTACTCCAAATATTAAAGAAATCAAGGTTCAGCTGCCTGCGCACCACAGTAAGTTTTGTGTTATATGGGTTGAAAGAAAAATCTTTACAGAGTTTATAGAAATCATTGCTCGCTCACACAATATACAAATGACTCCGATAGTTGGTTGAGGAAGAAGGTATCAATATCAGTAAAATGAACCTAAATGACTTACGGGGAACATTAAAATGAAGTCTGCAATATTTTAGGGCAGTCAATGTCATTAGATAGTATTTTTAACATAAATGAACAATCCTGCCTCGTTGGCCGAGTGGTCGCAAGTGCGACTGCCGGGCAAGGGGTCTCGGGTTCGATTCCCGGGTCCGGCAAAGTATTACTGGGTTTTAAAAAAATCTCAGTAGTAGCACGGAGTCTGGAATTGTGCCCGGTATATGGCAATAGGCATATTACATGGGACTCATAACATAAATAGTGAAAAGTGGGTGGTTACATTATACAGTGGCATAATGTACACCTCTGCTTACCTCTTGGGGATAAAAGGCGTGATGATAACATAACATAATGTTATGAATAATCATCCAATCAACATCCAGTTTACAAGGGGTTGCAAGTGATAGTGATAGTCAATTTTAGGTGATAACATAAAAATTTTACAAACCGCTTCTGGATCCTTTCAATTCGATCGATATATCTATATATATAAAAGAAAGTCGTGTTAGTTACACTATTTATAACTCAAGAACGCCTCAATCGATTTAGATGAAAATTGGCAGGGAGGTAGCTTAGAACCAGGAGACGGACATAGGATACTTTTTATACAATTCTTTTTTATTGAAAATCACGAACGGGAACGGGGGAGAAATAGGATTGCGCGTACGAAGTCGCGGGCAGAAGCTAGTTTATTATAATAATAATAACGTGAGTTCCATATCTGAGAAGCATGTTCGAGGATACTTCTTACAAATGTGCAGTATAAAGTTTTGAATATCTTTGCTTGTTTAGAACACCCGGATATTCTCATGACAAACACTTTTGAAGCCTTAGCTATTATTTGGTCAATAAGTATATCAAACTGAAGTCTTGCATCATGATAAACACCAAGGTCACGCTCTCCATCACACCTTTAGAGAACTACTACTACTACTACAACTGGCAGTATTCATCCAGGCGCTTTAAGTCATCCTGGAGAGCGATATGCTCCACTGATGTTATTTTGGAGATTTTTATTTTAAACGTTGCTTTACACAAGGATTTTCTCCTGTGTCGTGGGTGCGTTTACAAACATTCAATATCACATACACATGACATCCAGGCCCGGAACAACAATCTGTGGATCACACAGAGTTGCTCCGTGCGGGAATCGAACCCGCGACACGTTGCGCGGCAGCCAGTTGCCCAGCCACCGCGCCAACCGAGAGACGACTGCATCGTCTTCATGTCGTCAGTAAATATAAGAAGATTAGAACTATGGAAGCAGAGGTCGATATCATTCACATATAAGATGAAAAGCAGGGGACAATTAGAGATCCCTGCGGAATAAACAATCAGTGTTACTTGTATCATGCTATGGGAGTGATAAGCTCTCTCAGCACTAGATACAGTACAGATTGTACACAGCTGTAACTACTGCGCGCAGCAAGCTGTGTAACATGTAGGGGGATGTATAGGGAAGTGCTGAGAGAGTATTAGACTGTACACAGCTATAACTACTATGCATAGCAAGCTGTGTGACATGTAGCTTGCTAGAGGGGTGTATAGGGGAGTGTTGAGAGAGTGACAGACTGTACACAGCTGTATCTATTGCGCATAGCAAGCTGTGTGACATGTAGCATCCTAGGGGAGTGTAGGGTAGTGTTGAGAGAGTGGCCGATTGTACACAGCTGTAACTACAGCGCGTAGCAAGCAGTGTGACATGTAGAATGCTAGGAGGGTGTATAGGGGAGTGCCGAGAGAGTGACAGACTGTTCACAGCTGTAATTACTGCGGGTAGCAAGCTGTGTGACATGTAGCATCCTAGGGGAGTGTAGGGGAGTGCTGAGAGAGTGGCAGATTGTACACAGCTGTAACTACTGCGCGTAGCAAGCAGTGTGACATGTAGTGCGCTAAGGGAGTGTAAAGGAATGCTGAGAGAGTGATAATCTGTAAATGGTATTACTACCACAATATAAAAAAAATATTCAAAACCTCCATGGGTTAGTTTCCATTTGAAGCCTATAGATGGCGACACAGGTCATAGTATCTTAGTATGGTGATAGCACCTATCACCTTAAAAAACCACCTATATAACTTTACTTGGGAGCAGAGGCATGCTGTGGAGTCACTAGCATTTTCCTTTTCATGTTTTGATACAGTTTTTCTGATACAAGTATTTTATTCATTGGTAACATGTCATATAAAAGGCATAGTTACCTTTACTATGAGAGCATTTTGTTGTAAAAGGATATATTATATTTATTTTAGTTACAAAGGGTTTGATAATATTAAAACAAAATTAAGTGGCTCCATTTCTTTGCTACAAAGTGTATATCTACATATATATCACTATCTCAGTATATCCTGCTATCCACAAAGTCATTACTGATTGACATCACGGTATAATACTTAAGCACGTAGAATAATAGCAGTATCATAGAAAAAATATATATATATCCTCGTCTTTTCTCAAAAGAAAGTACTTAAAAGACAGAATTTTATGGTACGAAATTGAAACCAGTACATGCCAAAATACACCCCTGAGCACCAAGATAGTGGGTATCCTAAAGGCAGACGTATACGCGGAGACTATTAAAACATAATTTAACTCATCAATTTAAGTTTTATCTTACTTAAACAATAAAAACAGGACGAAACCTTGTCTATTATTTTACGCAAACAAGAAAGTATGAATAGTATTTTACCTGGCGAGTTATTACACTCAGGTGCGAAGTAGCCCGTCAAATCTGTTGGTAAAATTGCCTTGACACTCGTAATTAATGTTCCACACAATTTCTACGAATACTTTAGTTCATTGGCACATAATCACGAAAATATAATTCATTTCATTCGACGTGCAGATACCATGAGTTCAACGGGAACTCGGAGACTAGAGTAGAGAGTAGAGACACGCAAAAAGTACCGATGCTTTGTGGTATCGAGTACATTCCCATTCGATACCGATTCTTTTGTACTCGATACTTTTACTTAATAAGTACCTTTTTCCAGGTATCGTATTGAATAAAAAATTTTGTTTAACAGTGTCATCTAGCTCTCTCTTTGAAAACTTTTTGATTCGATCCATTGAACTTATCCTTACCGTGCGGTTGTTCGCAGTTCAATTCCCAAAGTAGTATATCCAAAATTATATAAATTAACACGAGAATGTATTTCCAAACCTGTGACGTCATACTTTCAGAACTGTCATTTTCTAAAGCAGGAAGTACCATCACAAAATCCGAAACCGCTTACCTCCAAAAAGGCTCAACATAAGTATTCTATTTTCAGGAATGGGATCTTTAATCTACTAAGCGGGTGAAATCGCGGGACACTCAACTACTATTTAATATACCTCAAATAACTTTGTTTCTTTTTGCTACATTATCGATGTGTTTGAATCATACCAATTATTTTTTTTCTATTATTTTACTAAATTTGTATACCATTACCATTTGTTTTTTATTTCCTGCCGAACTAAAGTAAAACCGACAACTTAATAACTGACCTTTGCTCTATGCTAATTTTGATCTGAAAAAAGTACTCGATACCTTGAAGTATCGATACTTTTGTTTCGATACTTTATTTATTTTTATTTATTAATTACACTTTCTGTATATAACATACTATGGCGGACTTAATGCCGGGTGGCATTTTCTAACAGTCAACCATGGGGTGATGCAGTGGGTGTAAATGGTGTAATAGGTATTATGATTTAATTTATGTGACACAGAATAATTCTATATAAATAAATTCATAATTATGCATAACTGTAAATACATAAATATAACCGTATATATAGGTATAATATAAATTATATAAGATACATTAAATAGTGTGGATGATCAATATTACTAGATAACAATTACTATAATAGTAAATAAATAAATTGGGGATAAAACTACATATACATATATATATTAAATACAATTGCTAAAATGATAAATTAAGTACGTGAAGCGTCTGTCTGTTCCCTTCGCAGTAGTTCACGAACTTTAATGAGTACGATACTTTTTTATCGATTCTACTCATGAGTACAGTATCGATACTTTTGCTTCGATACCGTCTCCCTAACGGAGACTTGCGACTAGTGATGTGCAATGTCTCACTCTGCACTATGTTATTTTAGTTTTAGTAAATGATAAGCAAATGAACCTATTAAACATCCATGAAATGTACAGGTTGTACCGATTTGACTAATCGATTATATTTTAGCGTGGAATCAAATAATATTTTAACTTAAAATAAATAAAGTTAAGTAAAGTACCTAAGTAAAATAAAGATGAACCCTAGAGTCTAAACACATAGACATCACAAGACCAAAACAAAAATAATTATTTAGATTTGGTTGACTTATTGCATGTTTACTAATACAAAGTAGGTATCTTAACCTTTGTGAACCCACATTCTAAGAGCTGAATTTTGCTTGAATTTTCAAACAACAGATAATCTTTATAACAGATTATCTTTATTTATAGAATAAAGCCAATACCATATGTTTCAGGTGTTCATGAACGGCAACGATTAAGTACTTACCATAAAGTATTTTTTTCAATTCATTTACTGCGTTGCGTTCGGCGCTCTGATTGGTGGGCTCCAGTAAACCAACCAATCAGAGAGCCTGACGCGCTCGATACTATTACGTTACGATTGCGATAGTTATTCGAGCTTGGTACTCTGGCCTATTTATACCAAAAAAGAATAACATCGTCATCGTCATCATCATCATTGTGGATGTGTGGACATCGTGGCCGCACTGTACAGTGCTGGACTAAAGCTCCTTCCTTTGTAACGGAATAGGAAGCAAACAGGTACACGAATCAACTGGTGGTGTACCTACTTAAGCTGTTTACAATTTTATTACAGATTATACCTGTGACCATTGTGGCGGAGAACCTAACGGGTAACCGGGGCTCCAGCTCGACGTGCAGGAGAAGGAACGGGGTGGTATTTAGTCAGTAAGAGTTTGACACTCCCTCCCGCCTCACCCAGGCGGGAGCAGTCATTCGATGATGCTCCCCCCTTAAAAAAAATACCTGTGACCATTACTTATCTAAGATATATTTTGTTACAATTTTATTACGGATTATAGGTACCTGTGACCATTACCTAAGATATATTTTTTTTACGGGTATGTGGCACCGACTTCTAACCTATCTGTGTAACCTTTAAGTACCTATGACTAATAATAGTTATTTTTCGCTTTTTAGTTTTTACTTTTCGTTTGTTTTTTAGTTTTTGAAGTCGGTTTTTTTAAACGGAGTTTTTATTTTTATTTTATACTAGCTTTTACTTCGCTTCGCTCGCGTTACAAAAGGATAAAAAGTAGCCTATGTGACTATCCATCCGTTCAACTACCTTCAGTTAAAAAATCACTTTAATTAGTACCTCCGTTCTGCCGTTTAAGACAGGCAAACAAACAAATAGCTCGCGTGGAATTAGGTTATGTCGCGTTATTTACATTTTTCCAATAAGTAGGTAATTCGTTGACTGGTTTCAAATGACATACAACGCCATCTATACCAGTACATACAGCGCCATCTATACCAATATTTTTTTTCCTAGGAAATATCATTTTTTTCCGGGATAAAAAGTACCCTCTTATTTAATCCGGACTTCTAACTTTATGTCTGCAAAAATTCAAAGCAATCGGTTGAGTAGTTACGGCGTGAAGGTGGAACAAACAAACAAACAAACAAACTCACTTTCAGATTTATAATATTAGTAAGGATTTTTTAGTTAAGTACCTATTTACTAGAATATATTACATTATGTAAGTACACCCCACATCGGTGCAAAGTTTTCACCAATACATATTATTCAAGCTCAAACACCAGGTAGCTACTGTTAACTATTCGGTAGCTACTCTTAGCCGTCATACTACTTCATCATTGGACATTTAGTGACAACCACACCACAGCCACACCTAGGTGTAAAGTCCTCATCAATACAATTTAATCGAACCCAAACACAAGACAGCTACTGTTAACCGTTGAGGAGTTCCCTCAACTATGGTACTACTTCATCATTAGACCCTTACAACCACACCACACCTAAGTGTAAAGTCCTCATCAATACAAATTAATCGAACCCAAACACAAGACAGCTACTGTTAACCGTTGAGGAGTTCCCTCAACTATCGTACTACTTCATCATTAGACCCTTATTGACAACCACACCACACCTAAGTATAAAGTCCTCATCAATACAAATTAATCGAACCCAAACACAAGATAGCTACTGTTAACCGTTGAGGAGTTCCCTCAACTATCGTACTACTTCATCATTAGACCCTTATTGACAACCACACCACACCTAAGTGTAAAGTCCTCATCAATACAAATTAATCGAACCCAAACACAAGATAGCTACTGTTAACCGTTGAGGAGTTCCCTCAACTATCGTACTACTTCATCATTAGACCCTTATTGGCCATCACATACCACCTAGGTATAATGTCCTCATCAATGCAAATGAATCATACCCAAACACAATGTAGCTACTGTGAATCGTTGAGGAGTTCCGTCGACTGCCTCTCGGCTCCATCATCAGACCAACTCCAGACCTTTATCAGATAGTAGTGGTTTTAAATACTTAACGAAAAAAGTAACAAATGCAATAGTCGCCCCTATAATTTTTAAAAGTTCCCCTCGGTTCCCCTGGGATTCCATCATCAGATCCTGCCTTCATGACAATGGGACCAAATAACAACACCTACCTACCCTATTTGTCGCGGAGAACCTAACGGGTAACCGGGGCTCCGGCTCGACGTGCAGGAGAAGGAACGGGGTGGTTTTTTGTCAGTAAGAGTCTGGCACTCCCTTCCGCCTCACCCAGGCGGGAGCAGTCATTCGATGATTTTCCCCCCTTAAAAAAAAAAACCCTATCAAACAAAATAAGAACGACTTTGGTATAGTGAAATTTCGTACTCTCGAGTTACAACACTAGCGCCCATTGCATCTGTATTCCGTGGATATTAAATGAACTAAATGGTATTGAGTTTGGCTTTATATTCCGTACTCTGAATGCTATTGTAACAGCTACGATTGTGGTTGTATAGTGTTGACATAAATAATTATTGAGATTTTATTGGATTGAAATTGCATTGACATTGAGATTGGTTTCAAGAGTAAGCACCCTGGCGTCTTCGAGTAATCTAGATACAAACATTAAAAAAATACAGTCGAATTGTGAACCTCCTCCTTTTTTTGGAAGTAGGTTGAAAATTTAATGTTAAGGTCAAATATAGCAGGTTTACGTCGTAACAAATAAAGCATGTTTCCAAATAATAGTGGTAAATTATTGTCGATGTTAATACGTACGTCAAGCTTGTAGACACTATTCGAGAATAGGGTAGATGCCTAATTTTTATTTTAATGTCTGTCTGGTGGCGCAGACAACTACAAGTTACGTCTAATGTTTCATGTGGGGAAGTTGATGAATATCTTTTAAACTAAAAAAGACTACATCTTTATTGTTTTGAGTTTACTTTACGCATCGAAAGCACTCCTTATAAGCGTTGTTTTACCGCGGGATGAAAACGACATAAACAAGGTGTGTAATAGGAATAGGGTAGATGCCTAATTTTTATTTGAATGTCCGTCTGGTTGATTATTTTAAATCATTAGACTCGTATTTATTTTCTTACAGAAACGAATACTTTCGACGACATATTGATTTGAAATGTCGCGTGACGTCACTTCTATGTACATTTTATACGTAGAAATGACGTTTTAGCCCCCACTCCTAAACTTTGATTCGTTTTATCTAAGTATTGTTTTATCATACGACAAAAAAAATACATGTCTAATATTTTTTCATTACCTAACTTACGGACTAATTATATTTTTAACTAGCAACCCGCCCCGGCTTTGCAGGGGTGCAATATGCATGTATTAGGTATACATATAAACCTTCCTTAAGAATCACTCTATCTATTAAAGGAAACCGCATCAAAATCCATTGCGTAGTTTTAAAGATCTAAGCATACATAGGGACAGACAGACGGCGGATAGCGACTTTGTTTTATAATATGTAGTGATTTTCATACTTTTGATCATCCCAATTCAACTGGTTGCAGGGGCTCCGGCTCGAAGTGCAGGAATAGGAACGGGGTGGGTTTAGGTCAGTAAGAGTCTGACTATCTCTTCTTAGGGGTAAGGTAGGTATCTATCTAGGTATCTATCCTTAGGGGTAAGGCGGGAGAAGTCATTGGATGATTTTCGCCCCTCAAAAATAAATATAGGTAAGTATTAAAATTGATTTTATTTTATAATTTTGATAAAAATGTTTGCAGCTCTTGTTACTTATAATCAGGAATTCTTTCGTGTGGTTTCAGTGCGTAGGTAAACGCTTGGTTTCCGTTCAACCATCCATAGTGGTGCATCGAAGACACATTATCAGAAAATAACGAGAACTGCACGAATCTGTGGTCAAAATTATTAACTACTGTACTAAAACTGGATTGAAAGTACTGGATTGAAAGATGATGTAGTGACAAGGATTGAAAAGGGAATGTTACGCTGGTTTGGACATGTAGAAAGGATGGATGAAAGTAGAGTAACGAAAGAAGTATACTGAGCGGATATGAATGGGGCCGTCGGTAAAGGCCCTAGACGGACATATAGTGACCAGATTGGCGATAGAAGGGCCAAATTAAAAGTACCCTTAACCGACGAGCATGCATGAAAAGATTGATGACTGTTAATGAAGCGAAAGAGGTATGTAAGAATCGTAGTAATTGGCGTTCCTTAGTCTCTGCTTACCCCCATGGGAGACAGGCGTGAAGTTATGTATGTATGTATGCACTAAAACTATCGAAAACATAATAATTAATGCAGTATTGGGACGTAACTGACTGCCTCGTTGGCCGAGTGGTCGCAAGTGCGACTGCCGGGCAAGGGGTCTAGGGTTCGATTCCCTGGTCGGGCAAAGTACTACTGAGTTTTTATAAATTATTAGTAGTATCTATTACATGGGACTCGTAACATAAATAGTGAAAAGTGGGTGTTACATTGTAATGGCATTAAGTGCCGTAATGTACACCTCTGCCTAACTCAATGGGGATAAAAGGTGTAATGTTATTATTTTAATATTCTCACAATCAATGACAGGCGAGAATGAGATTGAGCTCATTTCGAATGTTCAAATTAACTGTTAGACATTGCACAATTGTCGCGGAGAACCTAACGGGTAACCGGGGCTCCGGCTCGACGTGCAGGAGAAGGAACGGGGTGGTTTTTAGTCAGTAAGAGTCTGACACTCCCTCCCGCCTCACCCAGGCGGGAGCAGTCATTCGATAATTTTCCCCCCTTAAAAAAAAGACATTGCACAATTGCCTAGTAGGAGTAAGAGCGGTATGGTGTTCAGTCAGTAAGAGTCTGACACTCTCTCTGGTCTTATAAGATGGGAGGACACATTGCCTGATTTCCCTCCTTTAATTGGGTCTATAAAACCGGTACTCGACGAGTTAAAAGGTATTTAAGGCTAAGTCTGTTGAGTAAGGAAAATGTATGAAAGCAAGGATTTACTCGAACGCGCCGCAGAAATTCCAACCGACTTCAGTAGTTAAAACTTTTGGCTGGTCTTTATCTGGAGGTGTCTCCAACTCTGTGAACAAATAAAATAAATAAATAAAAAGTGTTTATTGTAATAAAAACATTAGACACACAGTTTATGAATACTAACATCTAAACTAGGCCGAGCCTGTTCAGTACCTTAGATGTTAGTTCCTTCCAATTGATACAGTCAAAGTCAAAGTCAAAGCATTTATTTTAATTAAACCATAGTTTGGTAATTTTGAAACGTCAACAAATACAAAATAAATAATAGTCTGTCAGTCAGTCCGTCAGTGAAACTAGGTGAAGCTAGGTGCTCATTCCAAAAAGTAGATTCGAATGGAGAAGAACGAGCAAGAAACTCCATTCGTTATTCTTTTTAAAAAAAGTATGTTCTACAATGTCTCTGATACATATTTCAATACTGTACCTACGCATATGTAAGAACAATGCAAAGACATGTTTGACGAATTATACTAATAACTTACTAAAATTAAAAAAAATATATAAAAATGTATAGTCGTAGTATATCAGTAATATATCAGTATATTATTTACAATTTATAGTTTGTAAATGTTTTATAATTACATTGATATCTAATGCACGAGTATGACAAATTAGTAATTAGTATTAATAGTAATTAGTATGACATAATTAGTAGTAATTAGTATGACAATATTAATATTTTGAAACCGTCAAGAAGTACCGATAGATTGAAAGAAATGCTATCTGTTTTTAATCTGCGTTTGCAAATTAAAGAACCAACACGTCTTAAATCAGGTACATGTTTGGATAATTTTATTGATAACATACGAGGTAGCACATGTAAAGTTGTGGAATTTGCTATTTCTGACCATACAGCACAAGTTCTGACGTGCCCAGTTAAACCAAGTAGCAGTCTAAAATATTGGTATGTAGAAAAACGGGACTTTAATAAGCAAAATATTGACAAATTTAAACAATCTATATCATCTTTGACATTTTGTGATATTTTTAATTGTGACAATCCTAATACTGCATTTGACATTTTTCATGATTTATTTTCCTTATTTTTTCAATTGTGTTTTCCCTTAATTGTTAAAAAAATACGAGCTGAAAAACGACCTACATGGATTACCTCAGGTATAAGAAAGTGTTGTAAACGCAAACGGCAACTCTTATGGCAATATAGGAAAAATCGTACCGAAATAAATAAAAGTAATTTTAAAGCTCTTTCGTCTAGACTTAAACGTGTTATCAATCTCACACAAAAATCCCAAAATGATAATTATATTAACACTGCAGTTAATAAGGGTAGGGCTACTTGGCAAATAATAAATTATATTAAACACAATTTACCTAAGGCCGAAATAGAGGAATTGGATGTAAATGGTAAAATTATTAGTGACCCCGCACAATTAGCCGAATCTTTTAATGACTTCTTTATTGACCAAATATCAACAAATACATTGAATGCTAAGCCGGGCAACCATCTTGGACCGGTCAATTCCATTTTTATTGCACCCACAACCCCAGCTGACATAGAAAGCATAATAGGCAGTCTGAAAAACACGTTGAGTACTGGTTATGACGATATAACAACAAGCGCCTTAAAGCATGCGGCAAATAGTATATCCCCGGTATTAAGTCACATAATTAATCTATGTATATTAAATGGAATTTTCCCAGAAAAACTAAAACAAACAATTATAAAACCATTGTTTAAGAAAGGAAACTTAAAGGACATGTCATGTTACCGACCCATTGCACTTGTTCCAGTCCTATCTAAAATATTTGAGAAGGTTATATATAACAATTTGTATTCCTTTTTTGAGTGTTACAACCTATTTGCTGAAGAACAAGTTGGTTTTAGGAAAAAAAAAAATATTAGTCTTGCTATTTACAGGCTTCTTAGAATAGTTATGACAAATGTGGATAAGGGGATCCCAACATGTGCTTTATACATGGATCTCACTAAAGCCTTTGATCACGTAGATCATACTCTCCTCTTGAAGAAGCTTAATGCATATGGTGTTAGAGGAACTGCTCTGGATTTAATTAAATCATATCTATCTAACCGAAGTCAATCTACAGTAGTTACGACAATTTGTAAAAATAAAAAAAAACAAATAAAATACATGTCGAAATTTAGAAAAATAAACGTTGGTGTACCTCAGGGTAGTGTGTTGGGGCCTTTATTATTCATCATATATATAAATGATTTCCCGAATATTACCCAGCATCCAACAATATTATTTGCTGATGATAGTACAGTCCTTTTCCAAGGACAAAATCAAAACCTTCTGGAAGAGGATATAAACAACATGTTAATTACTATTGTTGACTGGTTGACAAGTAACAATCTAAAGATAAATTTGACTAAGACTAATATAATGACATTTAGAAATAGAAAGGAATTAATAACTAATGTTCTAATTAATTATTCAGGACACAAAATACAAGAGGTACAGTGCACAAAATTTCTAGGACTGCATATAGAGAGCAACTTAAAGTGGCGATCTCATAGTGAATATATAAGCTCCAAAATTAATCAGTTCTCGTATGCACTATTCAAGCTATCTAAGGTTGCTAATGCCGGAACACTTATAACTGCATACCACGGACACGTTGTTTCTCTTCTTCGGTATGGGATAATCTTCTGGGGCAACTCAACTTACAAAGAAATGATATTCATATCTCAAAAGAGGTGTGTCAGGGCTATTTGCAAACTAAGCCAGACCGACAGCTGTAGACCGTACTTTATTAATTTAAATATTTTGACGGTACCATGTATCTACATGTACGAAGTGTTAGTATTTGTAAAGAATAATATTAATCTGTTTGACAAAATGAAAAGTAAACGCTATAATAATCACATATGTTTCCCGAGTAATAGAACGCATTTTCTTAATAATAGCGTTTTTTGTATGGCCCCAAGATTATACAACCATTTGCCAAACGAATTGCTACATATACAATCTTTGAAGGTTTTTAAAAATAGAATAAAAAGGTTTTTAATCTCTAAGGCATATTATAGTGTTACTGAGTACTTAGACGACAAAATATGATGTATTTTTATTTTATTTTGTTTAATAATTTTTATCTTGTTTTTATTTAACTATTGACATTCTGATTGTTTAATATTGTGACATTTAAATTTTTAATCCTATGTGACCTAATAATTAATAATTCTAATGACATTAAGTAATAATAATCAATCCAAATCTTTGTTTCCAACTATATTCTAATTTTGTATGCTGAAAAAGCCAACATAGCGTTTAAAATTGTTATTTAAGACCCTAATGTTACCTATGTTCACAATTGAATAAATGAATTTGAATTTGAATTTGACAATACAATAAAACAACCTTGAGAGACAGGAGGGTACCTAATAAAAACATACTGTATACAATATCAAACTTTTTATGAATTACCCGCACAGAATGAATTCACTTAAGTATAGTTAAACCACTAAGACAATGAATTTAGATAAAAATAATAATATTATGTATATATTTTTATGACTTTATTATTTTATTTATGTGTCTGTAAAGTGTAGTGTAAGGTGGTGTATGCAGGAGTGTGATTAATGTTGATATGATATTAAGTTTTATTTATATACATATTATAAATAGTGATTAGTATTTTTATACTAATCACTATCACTATATACATATTATAAATGATGAATAAAATAATTTTTTTTAACAACGTGTACAGCGCCGGGGTTTTAGCTACCTGCCAACCAATAAAAATCTTGCAAAATCGGTCCAGCCATTCCAGAGATTAGCCAGTATGAACAAACAAACAGACAGACAGATAAAAACTGTAAAAATTGTTATTTAGGTATGTGTGTAGGTATATATATTAATACGCATGTAGTAAAAGCGGTTATAGGCGGGTACCTAGTTCAGATTACGATAATAGGTAATTTAATACTTTGATTCCGATGAAGGCAATCTATTTTTCTTGTGGCATCGAGCATTTCTTTCTTTATTTAAACAAGTTTATTTTTATTTTTTTTTCTTGTATAGAAGCACTATTTTATATGGATTGTCAGTATACATATGTGAGGACCATGTCAGACTTAAGATACTTATTTGTTTTCTCTTGGTTTTGTTTTTTTTTTATTTTAGTACGTTCTGTTATTTGTATGTTGCGTCAGGTATGTCTTTACATTATTCTCACATGTGTGTACAAGTACAATATTGGAATATGTATCAGAGCAATGTAAAACAGACTTTTTTAAAAAGAGTAACGAATGGAGTTTCTTGCTCGTTCTTCTCCACTCGAATCGACATTTTGGAATGAGCGCCTAGCTTCACTGACGGACAGACTGACAGACTATTATTTATTTCATATTTGTTGACGTTTCAAAAGTACCAAATTATGGTTTAATTGAAATAAATGCTTTTGAGTTTGAGTTTGAGTTTGAGAGTTATTACCAACTTCAACAAATAAAAAGGCAAAACTAAAAAGCAAAAATAACTATTATTAGTACTGATAGGTTACCCACCCACTGATAGCTTAGAAGTCGGTGTCATAAGTTCCATACAAAATTATTCATTAAAACCTTAATAGGTACCTAATTCACACTTTTGTTGACATTAAGTTATATCATTATGATATGAGCTTAGTTTGTTCGCGCAGTACTCCGCCATTTGTGTACCGATTTCCAAAATTCTTGTTTTGTTTGAGATGGTCCCATTTCCAGGAAGTCAAGATCTGATGATGGAATCCTAGGGAAACTGAGGGGGATTTTCGAAACTTATGTGAGTATGAGGGGTGAGTAATGCGTCTATTATATTTTTCAATTAGTATTTTTAAACACTACAATTTGATAAGGGTCTGGAGTCGACCTGATGATGGAGTCGACAGACAGTCGAGGGAACTCTTAACGGTTTATATTAACTACCTTGTGTTTGGGTTTGATTAATTTGTGTTGATGAGAACTTTACACGTACATGGAGTGAGACTGCCATTAAGGGTCTGATGATGAAGAAGTGTAATTGTTAAGGGAACTCCTCAACGGTATACAGTAACTACCTTGTGTTTGGGCTTGATTAATTTGTAGGTATTTATGAGAACATTACACCTAGATGGAGTGGGACTGCCGTTAAGGGTCTGATGATGAAGAAGTGTAATTGTTAAGGAAACTCCTCAACAGTAGGTACACAGTAACTACCCACCCCACCCACTGATAGGTTAGAAGTCGGCGCCATAAGCCCATATCGTAATGATATGAGCTTGGGTTACTTGTATGCCTGGCTTACACTGAGTGGGTGACCCTTTTAGCATAGGCATGTTGTCAGCGTCTCTCTTCTAATTCTTCTGTTTTAATTTTTCAACTCAATGTTTTTATATCTTTATTGTCTTTTTTATATTTTACTAGCTTTTACCCGCGGCTTCGCTCGCGTCACAAAAGGATAAAAAGTAGCCTATGTGACATATACCAATACATACAGCGCCATCTATACCAATACTTTTGTTTTCCCTCGGAAATATCAAATTTTTTCGGGATAAAAAGTACCCTATTGTTTAATCCAGACTACTAACTTTACGTCTGCAAAAATTCAATGCAATCTGTTTAGTAGTTACGGCGTGGAGTCGGAACAAACAAACAAACAAACAAACAAACTTACTTTCCGATTTATATTAGTAAGGATTTATGCTGCATCGTACCTGGTGCTGAATAAATGTTTTTTCTTTCATTCTTCTTTCATATAACTTAATGGCCACAAAATTGTAAATTAGGTAGGTACCTATTTAGATTTTAATGAATAATTTTGAATAGAACTTATGGCGCCGACTTCTAACCTAACCTAACCTATCAGTGGGTTTTTTGGGGTGGGTAACCAATCAGTACTATTAATACTGATTTATTGCTTTTTAGTTTTTACTTTTTGTTTGATATTAGTTTTTGGTTTTTTGAAGTCGGTTTTTTAAACTGTCAAACACCAAGCGGTCACCGGTGACCGCAACCTATTGTTCTTTAATTGTATCTATAAATACGGTACTCGACGAGTTAAACACAGTTTTTATTTTAATCTTACAAAAAGACACCCTAATTGTATTTACCTGTGAAGATTAAACACATTAGGTATAATATGAAACAAATTCAATAAGTGAAACAAGTGAATTTATTTCTGCAAATAGGCTACAAGGCAGCACTTTTACACGTCAATTTTATCAAGCGAACGATGAGGTCGACATTTCCTAACTGACTACTCTGAGAAGAAATGCCGAAACAAACTCCTAAGAAAGATACAAATTCAATAATTAATGTGCTATGTAACAATAAGAATGTTGGTGATTTTGTACGTAATGTGTTTAAGCCAATGGATGCGGGTGGCGAGTTGTCGTTCGACGTGGAGGGCTAAGGGGGAGGCCTTTGTCCAGCAGTGGACGTCTTCCGGCTGTTGATGATGATGATGTGTTTAAGTCAAATACATGGGCGTTGAAAGAAAGGAGGACACAGTCTTTTGAACAACACCTACGGCACCTGACTACTTATACACTTAGGGGAAGTCCCGTAACGCCGGACGGCACCTAACGCCGGACACTGGGATTATCACGACAACTGATAACAGAAGCCAGAAGCGATTCAATTTTTACCGACTTCAAAAAAGTAGGAGGTACTATGTTCGGCTGATTGTTTTTTTTTACTAATAATCTTAGTTGTCTGCGACTGGGAGACTTCACACTAAAAATTGAATCGCTCGCGTTATTAGTTATCGAGATAATATGTATTTATTGCTTATTTATATATATATTATTATTATTACAATATAAGGAAGCCTAATTACCCTCCCCTTCCCCAATCTCCCCAATTCCTGAATCCCCAACGATCCTCAAACTCCTAATCCCCAAAAGACCGGTAACGCACGTGTAACGCCTCTGGTGTTCCAGGTGTCCATGGACGACGCCGATTGCTTACCATCAGGTGATCTATCGACTCGTTTACCGGCTTATGCCATAAAAAAAAATTATGACTGAGGTAACTTAAAATAGACAATTAAAAAAATATATCACCGGGCCAAATTTTGCAGTAGTATCTGTCGGCTTCACAGTGGTTTAGGAAGTACCACACCTTGAAGTATTTCCCCATCATCCTGTTCACCATCAAACATGTGGGACGGTATCCGTTCGTGCAATGATTTGGACATACATGGTTGTCAAATGAGTAGGCATATTCCTGGCGAAGAGCTGTACGAACAATGGACAAGTTTGAGTCTAAAAATCAATCTTAAAAACGAGGACATAGAAAAATGGCGGACACAGTCTCTTGAAGCAACGACTGCGGCACCTGGCTACTATACACTTACACGCAGGACACACACACATCGACACGAAGGACATCTGTCGTGTTCTCAAGTCTGGGAACGTGGTAACACATTACACACGCACACATACATAACCCATTGACATTTTGGTGCTTCAATCGTTTCTAAGTGACATTAAGTATATCCGGCTTTATTTCTCAACGTTGCTTCAAGTAAAGTAGAGCTGAACTAGAAATATTTTTGTAGGTTCGTTTATTAGACACTAGCTTTCACCCGCGGCTTCGCTCGCGTCACAAAAGGATAAAAAGTAGCCTATGTGACATATATCCATACAGACAGCGCCAACTATACCAATACTTTTGTTTTCCCTCGGGAATATAAATTTTTCCGGGATAAAAAGTACCCTATTATTTAATCCAGACTTCTAACTTTACGTCTGCAAAAATTCAAAGCAATCGGTTTAGTAGTTACGGCGTCAAAGCGGAACGAACAAACAAACAAACTCACTTTCCGATTTATAATATTAGTAAGGATGAAATAGAATATAATATTGGCATTGTTGCTCTTCGATTTTCACTGAAATTCGTACCGCGTCATTGCCATTTGGTGAATGTCATTGATCGCGCGTCAACTACTATATACAGGGTGACTTGTAGTTACTTACTTATTACTCAACGTATTCCTCTCGGGAGGTGATAATACAACCAATTGAATACAAAATTAACCCTGAGGTCTCTGGTCCGTAAGTGTCTAGTTTCTGAGATATTCAACATATTCGATTTTGGTGAAAAAGTCTCGATCGAACATCAATAACTAAGTAATTCAAGTTTTAATTTGTTGTCAGTATTTAATTTTATTAATACTAATACTTTCAGAAATATCATTCGGACCAGTGACCTCAGGGCTAATTTGTAGGAAATAAGTTGTATTATCCCGTACCGAGAGGCATACGTCGAGTTACAAGTCACCCTGTAGGTATAACGTATGATTGTCAATCATGTATGTACTTTTGGCAGCGGGGACCGCTTGATAAATAGCCTAAGATAAAAATTAATCAATTTTATCCGGACAAAAGTAATTAAAGTAGGAAAGTTAGTATTTTAGACAGTAGTAGATTTAATATTTTGAGTAAGGACAATTCTTTTTTTTTTGTCGCAGCTTTTATTACTCCTCGAAAATTAATAAAGGCATATTACCGTCGGCACGAGCCTCTGTGCCCGGTCCACGGTATTAAGCTGAGCTCCAGCCTTTTGCGCTGCGACGCACCATAGACTTTTTTGTTTCTAAATTCTTGTTGTGTGTCGTAGCAAAATAAAAGGTTTTTCTTTATTTCTTTCTTTCTATATGTACCTATTTGATTTAACGTTTAATATTAGATATAGCTGTATACCTACCTGCATTTTTGCTCCCACGATTCTTAATGCGATTTTTATTTTTTTTCTTTGGTAAGGTTCCATTTAATTTTGTAGCTGGCAAGGTCACATTTAATTTTGTAGCTGGCAAGGTCACATTTAATTTCGTCGTTGGCAAGGTGGTCCTTCTAACATCATTGCGACGTGAAGCTAAATACTGGGTACAATTCCCGGTGTCTGTTATGTAGTACTCTACAAACATTATAATCTTTTTTTTGAGGGTAGACACAGTAGTGAATACACATACTTTTTTTGCGCTCACAGTTTAATTGATTTAAATTATAATAGTGGTGATTATTTATGTCATAATATAGTACATGTGTTCTAAACCCCCCCTTTGCTAGTCAATTATTGTTATCAAGTGCCTACAACTAAGTTTTACCAATACCGAACTCATCAAGTAGCCATGGAAACCAAACTTGCCGCTAGCTTTGACAATATGAAGGCCCTTCTCCTCTCAAGGATGACTGCTCACGAGGAGAAGCTGGAGAAGGTCACAGCGGCAAATACACCCCCGGCTGACATCATCGAACTGCGGTCGGAGTATTTAAAATTTAAAGGTTTTGTGCTGGAAGTACTGAGCAGCTTTCGTACGCAAATTGAATTGCTGTCGCAGGGCCATGACAAGCACGAAACGGCTATGCGTAAGAAAGTGCTGCTTGTCCATGGTGTACCGGAGGTGAAGCAGGAGAGACTGCATGATGTCGTCACTGCAGTGCTGACCAGCCAGATGAAGTTGTCCGAGGTGGGTAGATCCGACATTCATGTGTGTCATCGACTGGGAGTTTCTAACCGCAGCCCTAGGCCGATACTCGTGCGGTTTTACAAGACGGAACACCGGCACCTTGTATGGGACAATAAGAAGTCACTTAAAGGCTCCGGGATCACTATTTCCGAATTCCTGACGCAAATGCGTCACCGTACCTTCACTGCCGCACGAAAATATTTTGGTATAACCAATTGCTGGTCAGTTGAGGGCAAGATAGTGATCATTGCGCCCGACAAATCGCGTCACAAGATCGAGTACATGTCCCAACTCGAGGAACTTATTGCCAAATTCCCACGGTGCCCATCTGATGGTGATGATCCAGTGAGTGTCGGTGACCCGGGCACGGCAACAGGTGCAAGTGATGACTCGTTACCCAAGACCCTACGGAGAACACGTAACACCCGCCGAAACTGAATGTTAGTATCTTGTGTTTATTTTACTGTGTCATATCGTGATGTGGTGGCTAAATGCATTAGTTTTCATCGCTGCCCGTACTAATTTATCTCATCACACATTAATATAACTGCATTTTTGTTTTCGTTTGCCGGTACATCAATAATTTGTTTTTGTTGTTTTGCTTATTTGCTTCATGTTGTCACTAATGTATCACAATTGTCATCTGTCATTAATGCCATTTATCTGTCATACGTCATGCTCCATTTCATGCTTTATGGTGGGTTTATGGTTCATCGATGCGTTTTATTATAACATATATCTATTTTTATCATTTATTTCTGTGGTACGCTTCTCATCATTCTCTTTTAATTTATTTTGCATTTTGTTTTGTCATACTTTGTCTACACATTTGGTACTCTAGCAAGTGGGGGAGGTTGCTTTTTATTGTAATTTACATATTAGTTAGCAGCCACCGCTCTTTATTTTTTTATTATAATATATATATATATATTTTTTTTTTGTAATATCTTTATATACAGTTATCTGTCTCATTATTATTTTTATGGATGATGTTATTGGTTTTAGTGATAGTTTTCTCACTTGCTCTCCGGCGTCCAGTCTTGCTAGTGCGGACAGTGATGCTTCCCAGTCACTCACCTTGCATGACAATTTATCCAATCGCTTTTCACTCTTCCCGAAAAACCTCAATATCGCTCATATTAACGCTCAGAGTGTTCCTGGACACTACTCCGACCTTCTGGCTACCTTTAGCAATGTGCATCTCGACGTCCTACTGATTTCCGAGTCATTTCTTAAACCTTCCCTCTTATCCACGCACTATGCCCTCCCTGGCTTTGTTTTGGTCCGCAATGACAGGACGGGCCGGGGTGGGGGCGGGGTTGCCATGTACATACGGTCTGATTTATCACACCGTGTGGTCAGCTCGTCCCCTTCTCTATATTCTGAGTCAGCAGAGTTTATGTTCGTCGAGATATCCATAAATCTTAACAAGATCTTAATAGCCGTCTTATATAGTCCCAACCTACACATTAACTATTTTGATAATCTCGACACACAACTCAATAACCTATGCCTTAATTATCAGCATGTTATTATCATGGGCGATTTTAACACTTGCCTTCTTAAACAGGATTCACGTGCACATAAACTCGAATCACTATTGTCATCTTTTAACCTACATCTACTTCCCCTTTCGGCTACTCACTATCCCCCCAACTCGTCTCCTTCCTTGCTCGATCTTGATTGTGTCGTCCCCTGGACATGTAGATGACCACGGTCAACTGACTGCTCCTTTCTCCTACCATGACCTTATTTATGTATCTTATCGCATTCGTAATCCTAAACCTAAACCTCGTTACTTGAATCTACGTAGTTACGGACGGCTGGATCTGGGGGCGTTACGGCACGATGTCTGCCTGACTGACTGGAGTTCTGTGGTTGATGCCGATGATGTCGATGTGAAGGTTAACCTGTTTAACGCGATAATTGTCGACCTGTTTGATAGACATGCACCTTTGCGCCGCGTGAGGGTTAGGCACGATCCTGCGCCTTGGATCACTTCTGACATTACAGAGGCAATGGCTCGTAGAGACAGGGCCAAGCGAAGGTGGAAACGTAGGTCTACAGATGAAAATCTTTCCTCTTATAAAAATCTTCGTAATCGCTGCAGTCGTCTGTGTAGGGATGCTAGGAGGCGTTACTTCGATGACAACTTGGCTAACCACAACGCCGCTGATGCCTGGAAGTTCTTGCGATCTGTGGGCATCGGCAAATCTCCTGTCAATGTCAGTAAGGATGTTGATCTTATCTCCTTGAATCATCACTTCTCCCACTCCCCTATTTCACTTGACAACCTTACAAAAACTAAAACTCTTCTCAACCTTTCCTCTCAACCGCTTCCCTCTTGTTCTCCTTTTGTGCTCTGTAGTGTGCCCGAGGATGATATAAAAAAATCCATGCTTGCCATTAACTCCTCTGCTGTGGGTAGTGATGGTTTATGCTCCCGTATGTTTATCCCCATTCTTGACCTCCTCCTTCCTATTCTCACGCACATTTTCAATTTTTCTTTATTCTCTTGCTCTTTTCCTTCTGCTTGGAAAACTGCCCACGTTATTCCGTTACCAAAAACTAATAACCCTTCTACCCTTTCACATTACAGACCTATTTCCATATTGCCTTTTCTCTCCAAGGTCATGGAACATATTGTTCATAAGCAGTTGACTTCCTTCTTGTCGTCAAACTGCCTCATCTCTCCCTTTCAATCCGGATTCCGCCCTGGCCACAGCACGGTCACAGCTTTACTCAAAGTGACCGATGACATTCGCTGGGCTATGGACAACAAATCTCTCACTGTTCTTGTGTTGTTGGACTTCAGTTCTGCCTTCAACTCCGTGGACTTTGACATTCTGCTGGGGGTCCTGAAGGCCAACAATTTCTCTTCTTCCTCTCTGGCCTGGTTTGAGTCCTATCTTCGGGGTCGCCGTCAGAGGGTCCGCCTTGAAGAAAATTTTTCTGATTGGTGTGACCTTGCTGCCGGGGTACCCCAGGGTGGCGTCCTTTCTCCTGTTCTTTTCTCCATCTTTATTAATACCGTTGCCAGGGTCATTTCATCTAATTTCCATCTATATGCGGACGATTTGCAGCTATACCGCCACTTTGGCCTGTCCGAGGCCCATTCTGCTATCGATGCCATGAATCGTGACTTGGATGGCGTTGCCGAGTGGGCTAGGTCTTTTGGATTGCAAATCAATCCTATCAAGTCTCAGGCCATGATCATCGGTAGCAGATATTATCGAAACGCTCTCGACGTCCCTAGCCTTGGTCCATTACGTTTGAATGGCACACGCATTCCATTCACTGATACTGCGAAAAACTTGGGGGTGCATATCGACTCGAACTTGTCGTGGGCTTTTCAGGTGAACGAGGTTAGTCGGAAAGTTCATTTCTCCATTCACTCGCTGAGGCGCCTCCAGACCTTGGTTCCGGTGAAGACTAAGATTCACCTCGTCCAGGCGCTGATCTTGCCTCTCATTGACTATGCAGATGCTTGCTATTTGGACGCCACAGAGGAGCTATTAAATAAACTTGAGCGCTTACAAAATGTATGTATCCGTTTCGTCTTTGGTCTTAGGAAGTTCGATCATATTTCTGAATTCCGTAACAGGCTCAAGTGGCTCCCAATCCGTCTTCGCAGGAACACTCGCATACTATGTCTCCTCTATAACATCCTCTTCAACCCAGCCTATCCTACTTATCTTCGAGACCGTTTCTCCTTGGTGCGCCCTCCTGAAGTCCTTACTCGTTCTCATCTTAAATCCTATCTTAAAATTGTGCCCCATAATACCGACTTCTACTCCTACTCCTTCTCCGTTCATGCAGTGAGACTATGGAACTCGCTCCCGCCGAACATTCGGGACGCCAAGTCTATCTCTATCTTTAAGAGACAAGTGAGAGAACATTATCTTTCCTCCTGAAATACAGATTTGTTTTTCTATATTTATTTATATATGTATTATTATTGTATTATATTAATTTGTTTTATTGTTAATTATTGTTAATTCTATTGGTTTCTTCGGTCTTATTACTTTTTTTATTAATTGATTTTTATCTTGTTTGTGTAACACACTATGTGTCTCTGTATTATTATTTCTTTTCCTGCCACAGGCCCACAGGAAGAAATTCCAGTTGGAATATGTGGGGCCTATGTACTCTGTTTTTTATTATGTATTGTCCTCTGTGTTGAATGTGTGTACATAAATTAATAAATAAATAAATAAATAAATTATTCGTTACCATCATATTCGCCGTAATCAGAGGCGCATTAAACCTAAAGAGCGCTCTCAGCTAAGTAGAGTAACGAAAGAAGTATACAGAGCGGATATGAATGGGGCCTTCGGTAGAGGGCGCCCTAGACGGACATATAGTGACCAGATTGGCGATATATTAAAGAAGGGCCAAATTAAAAGTACCCTTAACCGACGAGCATGCATGAAAAGATTGATGACTGTTAATGAAGCGAAAGAGGTAAGAATCGTAGTAATTGGCGTTCCTTAGTCTCTGCCTACCCCCATGGGAGACAGACGTGAAGTTATGTATGTATGTATGTACCGCTCTAAGCCAGTCTCATCGGCGATCGGAATTGGATTCAAGAGTAAGCTCCCTGGTGCACTAGCGGCATCCAACGACCCTGGTCATCTGTCCAGCTTATCAACAAACAAGTACTTTGCATAAATTTATATTTTTTGTTGTTTTTTTTTCTAAAAAAACATTGCCCCACATTAGGATTTTCTCCTGTATCGTGGGTGTGTTTACAAACATACAAGTTCACATACACAATGACACCCAGACCCGAAACAACAATTTGTGGACCACACAAAGTGTTGTTCCGTGCGGGAATCGAACTCGCGACACATCGCACGGCAGACGGTTGCCCAGCCACCGCACCAACTGTGCAGTCAAATTTCACGCCATACAGACATACATCCGCACGATTGTGCCGGTTCGAACGGAGTTATCATCACACTCTATCACACTAGTCCATAGCGTCGTGCGCAGCGTGCCTCCACTGCCCAAAAAACTATAATCCTATCAGTGCTGTCCATGAGCGGCGCTAATTGCTTACCATCAGGTGATCCGTCTGCTCTTTTCCCCTCATACTTTAACATAAAAATATTTATTTCCTTTATACATAACATTTTATTCCTGATGACATTACCGCACATAATGCTACTGTACAATGTAACACCCACTTTTTACTATTTATGTCATGAGTCCCATGTAATAGGGGGTGAGCATATAGCTATATATCGGGCACAATTCCGGACTCTATGCTAACACTGAGATTTTTTTCAAAACCCAGTAATACTTTGCCTGACCCGGAAATCGAATCCCTTGTCTGGCAATCGCACTTGACCAATCGAGACCATGTCCTATACATCCCGTTGTTCATGCATACCCGGTTTCTGATAGGCTAATAAAAAGTTTTAATTATGTGGGACGTGGGTAACACTGCCGGCGAAAATAATAATCAGACAAATGCAACATACCTTCAGATGGATGGTCGCACATATTACTTAGAAATAAATAACAATCATTTTCAAAATCTTTGTATTCCCGTTTATTTTCTTTGATTCTAACGGCACAGACCTGCAACAAATTCGATTTGCACACCAGATCGCGCTTCTTACAATATTCCATGACATGATCGAATTTTAAATGAGATCTTCTGTCTACATTTGTTGTATTTATTTCGGGCAAAACAAAATAAAAACTTTTGAATCTAGGTTTAATTTTTTGTGCACTAAAACACTGTACAATAACAAAAACTGCGACAATAAATAAAATATACGAAAAACTAAAGGGCGACGCCATTATTAAAAAAGGCCTGCAAATGTGTAGGTATTATTATTATTTTTTAATGGAAATGACAAGGTCAATGACTTTTATTGCTTTTACATAGTGCAGGTAGGTACAGAGGCGGAATAAATCTAGAGAGCGCCCTCTCCGGCTCGACGTGCAGGAGAAGGAACGGGGTGGTTTTTAGTCAGTAAGAGTCTGACACTCCCCACCTCACCCAGACGGGAGCAGTGATTCGATGATTTTCCCCCCTTCAAAAAATAGCAAGTATCTCAGGCGCCGCTGATTTATTTAGTACCGCCACCACTGTATGTGCACACGCGTCTCGGGGCGCCCCTTAGAAACCTGGCGCCCGGCACTTTTCTAGCTTGCCTTAGAGATAATACGGCTCTGGGTAAGTACCTATGTAGGTAATCTTCAATGAAAAGATCATGGTTGTGTTTGTTGGAGAAAATTCATAACGTTTGTAATCGTCAACCCGCATTGAGCACGTGGTGATTAATGCTCAAACCTTCTCCGTGTGAGAAGAGGCTTTGCTCAGCAGTGGGCATTTATAGGCTGTTGATGATGATGATGATGATGATGATGATGATGATGATGATGATGATGAAACGGTAAGCTTGTGTCCGCGAACGATCCCAAAGAAAAAAGATGGTGGCCGAGCGCCGCTTGTGTCCGCGAACGATCCCAAAGAAACAAAGATGGTGGCCGAGCGCCGCTTGTGTCCGCGAACGATCCCAAAGAAACAAAGATGGTGGCCGAGCGCCGCTTGTGTCCGCGAACGATCCCAAAGAAACAAAGATGGTGGCCGAGCGCCGCTTGTGTCTGCGAACGATCCCAAAGAAACAAAGATGGTGGCCGAGCGCCGCTTCCGCTCGCGTCTCTCCTCCCCCGCGCGCCCCGCCTCTCTTCCGGGAGCGTCCGGCTGCGTTCACGCGCAGACAACTACAAGTCTTAGTTACGTCTAATGTTTCATGTGGGGAAGTTGATGAATATCTTTTAAACTAAAAAAGACGACATCTTTATTGTTTTGTGTTTACTTTACGCATCGAAAGCACTCCTTATGGCAAGTCGTTTTACCGCGGGACGAAAACGACATAAACAAGGTTTGTAATAGGGTAGATGCCTAATTTTTATATGAATGTCCGTCTGGTAGATTATTTTAAAAAATTAGACTCGTATTTTTTATTTTCTTACAGAAACGAATACTTTCGACGATATATTGATTTGAAATGTCGCGTGACGTCACTTCTATGTACATTTTATACGTAGAAATGACGTTTCAGCCCCCACTCCTAAACTTTAATTCGTTTTATCTAAGTATTGTTTTATTATACGACAAATTAAAAAATACGTGTCTAATATTTATTCATTAACTAACTGACGGACTGATTATATTTTTAATGTTCATACCCTGTCATCATCCCAATTCATATGTTTAATAAAAGTGCCAAATAGAAAGTTAAAACTGACTATACAAGGTGTAGTTTTGAAACTGTATCATTTCTCGGGGGCATGTCACAGAAGTCATAAAGGGTTAAATGTAAGAGAAAATTTCGGGCCAATAGTTAAAAATACGGCTATAATAAATCGTTTAAGTTCGAAAGTATTTCAGAATAAGCGACAGCAATGTTTCTTATTGGAGTTTTATGGAATTAGGAATAATATCAATTACGTATTTGAGTTTGTGTGTGTTGAGCCGCGAAATAAAGCTAGTTACAAGACGACGGCGTGTAGTTCGCACTTACGGATTTCCGTAATTTACAAAAAAAAAAAAAAAAATTACTTACAATTTTTTTATTGATTCGGACTCAGAATCCATAGCCGAGTTACCTCCTAGAAAATGACGCGGCTTTAAAACAACACCTTGTATTGTACTGAAAAACTAAATTAAAAACTCGACTTTTGAGGGAGCAAACCTTTACAATAAAACACCGTCAAGTATACGAAAACTATACTGTTTTAGAGCATTCACAACCCAACTTAGCCAGTATATTTAGCATTTTATGCCATAAATCGGTAAACGAGCAGACGGATCACCTGATGGTAAGCAATTTAGCGCCGCCCATGGAGATACGAAACACCAGATGTGTAGATTAGGAATTTGAGTACTATTGATTATTAATGGTCTCCGGTAACCTCACACGACGAAAAACAACGCAAGTATTCTTTGATATTTTTACAATCTTCTTTGACATAATAACTATCGTGAGACATACTAAATCAAGTAAAAACGGGTTATACTGACGTGAATATACTCACGTGAATATACTGAGAAAAGCTCTACTAGTTTCGAACCACAGAGGGGTTCTTCCTCATTTCCACGGCGACATCGCCGCGACCGCGCACGCTGCTCATGAGACAGAACCCCTCAGTGGTTCGAAACTAGTAGAGCTTTTCTCAGTATATTCACGTGAGTAGCCCGCGTTTTTACTTGATCTTCTTTGACGTTTTTACATTCTTGCTTCGACACTGCTGGGCCAGCTCGACCGGAGTGATACCACGGCCAGACAAAAAATCTTTATGACACAACACAACGCTTGCGTTGTGTTTCATCGTGTCAGTAAGGTTAACGGAATCCTAATCCCCTTCCCCAATCGCTGAATCAACAGACGATCCTCAAACTCCTAATCCTCAAAAGACTACGGAGTCGCGGAGAACCTAACGGGTTACCGGGGATCCGGCTCAAAGTGCAGGAGTAGGAACGGCGTGGTTTTAGTCAGTAAGAGTCTGACACTCCTCCCGCCTTACCCAGGCGGGAGAAGCCATTTGATGATTTTTCCCCCTTAAAAAAAATTTCTCAAAAGGCCGGTAACGCACTTGTAACGCCTCTGATGTTCCAGGTGGCGATAGGCGGCGCCGATTGCTTACTATCAGGTGACCCGTCTGCTCGTTTACCGGCTTATGCCATAAAAAATCATGCTTATACATACGACACATATACCAATATAACATTTTTAATCTTGTTTGTCTATCTGTCTGCATGTAAACTTCGCATATGTGATGTAGGGCTTTATAACGTCATCCTTTGAATTGCTATCATTGATAGTCTATGAAAAACTACATACATAGTATCATCATCATTGATCCTTGAAAGACGATAAAAGCGTGGTCATAAACCAATCGACCACGAGCACTACCATAATAACAGTGAAAATGTCGGGTCATATCAATGATTGTAAATAGTTTTAACCTTACCCATGCATTAAATTATAAAAATACATATACCGACACAAGAATGAAAATACCAATGTGAACGTGGTGGACGAATATTTTTATACACAGTAATATGAAATTACCCACACATGTACACTGTGGAAATGATAGTAGTGTCGATGCGTAGCGCTGCGAACTAATTAGCGGTGTCGTGTGTACGTGAGCTGTCATTTGACAAGTGTCGCCACAGTTTAAAAAATCAAGCGCCAATTTTTTGTTCCCCCATTATACCCAATTCTCTCAGTATAAGTGTATCTACGACATTATCATCAACTACTTGATCAGGATGGTGTATTAGATGCAGTAAGATCCTCGGTTTACTGTTCGCCTCCCAACTGCACAGAGCGCATTTAAACAAGGCTGCCTTTTTATTATTTTGTTTCTTAGGTGTTTTCTGCACACCATGTATACTTGAAAGGTGATCCTGGTAAATTTTCGAACAAAACATTTTCTTGCATTCCGGACATCTGCAAAAATATTTAATATCGATATAATTATTAATAATAATAAGCGGAAGGTGCGGGAGCTACTTTTGAAGAGATTGGCAGAGTCGTAACTATCAATATACTATGTATTACGTATAAGTAGTATATGTAATATAATTGTGTAAGTTTATTGTTATGTCATATACATGTAAGTTTATATAGGGATTTATTTTATGTAAGTCTATACTATCCTTTTTTTATGCATTTCTGTTGAGTCTTAAATACGCTTGCTTCTTGCATCGACCATTGTTTTTGTCTCTGCATCACCCAAAGGTCTGGCTGGAGGAGAATGCCCTAGGCATTAAGCCCACCTTGTACATTAGTGTGTGCATGAAGTCTTTTAAAATAAATAAAATAAAATAATTAGGTAGTTTCCAGGGTATCGAAATTAAAAATCTAATTAGTCCGTCAGTTAGATAATGAAAAAATATTAGACACGTATTTTTTTATTTTCTAGTATTAAGTTGCAATACTTAGATATAATGGCGCTAAGTTTAGAAGTGGGAGGTTGTTACGTCATAACGTGCTACAAAATGTGACACGTTGTGACGTCACACGATATTTCAAATTAATATATCGTCGAAAGCATTTAATTTTGTGAGAAATAAAAAAATACTTGTCTGATGTTTTAAATTAATGTACCAGACGGAAATAAATAGGCTACTTTTTATATCACGGGCACGATTGACAGAAGCTAGTAACGACAAAAATCAACTAAAAGAACGTCACTAATTTAATTTCTATTATCGACAGCTCTAGCTGTCATGTTGACGATTTCATCTGTCAAATGTGACATATTATTAAAGTTTCCTCGTTGGCCTCGTTGGCCGAGTGGTCGTAAGTGCGACTGCCGGGCAAGGGGTCTCGGGTTCAATTCCCGGGTCGGGCAAAGTATTACTGGGTTTTTAAATATTCTCAGTAGTAGCACGGAGTCTGGAATTGTGCCCATGATATGGCAATAGGCTCACCCCCTATTACATGGGACTCATAACATAAATAGTGAAAAGTGGGTGTTACATTGTACAGTGGTATAATGTGCACCTCTGCCTACCCCTTCGGGGATAAAAAGGCGTGATGTTATGTTATTAAAGTTTCCAGCGCAAAAGAGTGGTAACGCGCGAGAGCGATTCTGGTGGGAAGTTTGACGAGCATAGCGGTATTCTTTTATGAATCCGTTTAGAATAAACTTTTTAGTATTCAAGTATTGAGTTTTACTTAAAACGAGCGCACTCGGGTCATGGCATTTAAGCTGAGCTCTGGCCTTTTTGCGCCGTCTTCACTGGTTTATTTGTTTTGTGTGTTATTTTACGGTCA